AAACTTATGCTTAGTAAGCTTCAAATGTTTACTCATCACATCCAAACCATGCACTAGAGACTCAGCCATACAAGCACTGACTGAAATCGACCACGTCATAGAATCCAACAAGGCTCCACCCATCAGTTCGACAATGTTGATAATCAGAGATTTACAGATCAGTTAGGTTTTGTCGTTGTTGTGAATATTTAAAGTCGGAAAAGAGGAAAACGAAGTAATATGTATACAAATTGGAAGATAAACTTAACTCGTCAAAAACCAAAGCACAAGAGTGGTTCGGTTGACTATGTTCTGTGTTTATTTGATAACATTTTTTGTACGTATTCGGTGTGAATTACTTCGCTGGCCTATTATACTTATCCTTCATGGATGTGACAGACAGGTTAATAGGAACTATACAAGATCATGTAAATTAGATGCTCGTTTTCCATATCCCTTCACATACACTCAGAAATGAAATCGACGATTCCTTAACGTTTCTCAGTTATTGTCTGCGCTAAGTAGGTGAGTTTATATATTTTTAATCTTTTGACGGTGATTCAGCTGTTGAAGCCTTGACGAATGATAAACATTATGTAGCCATTTCACGCCCTTTATGCTGAAGTGCAAGGAAATGTTCCATCTGGAGGAAAATGGTACCATAAAGAGTGTGAGGATATGGAGACTAAATGTGTGATGCATTAGATAAGTGTAGGCGTACTGGTGATGTGTTGTAAATTAAGGATTGGGGTGGTAGTCTTTATTGGGGAGACGAGGATAGAATACGAAGAAACTTTGGTTCGTGAACCTCTTGATAGTAGGAAATAAAGTAACGATAAGTGCATTAAATATCGAACGGATGTGAATAAGAGTATATGCAGTCTTGACTATATCCAGAAACAAATTCTCTTTGCTATAAAGGAAGAATAGCTGTGAAAATTATATTGAATTCATCATTGGAAATTTGTAGTCCTGTCCCCAAGAAGATGAGCCAGACAAGAAGAAGGGTTTGGATATTTTAAGAATATACTAAGCCTAACTGATATTCCGTCTACTCTTTAATTATTTATCTGGTGAATTATGTTTTTAATAATTGGAAGGAACAGTTGTGTAATTTCTGTACCATTCTCTTCCCACAGAGGTTACTTGTCATATCTTCCTACGAACCTCTGTTCTAATACGGCCATATTTCCCGGTTCTTGTAAAATCCCCTAGCGGCAATAAATCGCAACACGAAGTATCTCCCTTCTTTCTATCCAATCAGAACAAGTGTTACATCGACTTCGATCCTACTTACTAATGCAAGCAAATGTGGGGCCACAAATACCCCTCTTCTGCCGGGGTGTTGATGTGACACACAAGACATTTAATGGCTAGCTTGTCCGTTGTCAACAAGGGCGATGGAGACACCATTGATCCGCCATTACATGACTGAGTTCTGTCTAGAAGAAATGTTTGCGCATCGTGCAGGGGAAGAGGTTCTAGTTTTCCCGAAGCATACGGAAATTACCGTGACGTTGCGAATGACCACTTTTGAAACAACGTCGCTGATTGCACAACTAAATCTGATTGCAACCAATCACGAATCCTGAATCGTATTAGAACAGAGGTTCGCAGGAAGATATGACAAGTAACCTCTGTGGGAAGAGTATGATTCTGTACTGGTGATGAGGATATTGGTAATAGTGATATTACAATGGAAGAAGTTGAAACACCAACAGGTCTGAAGCAAGGTAAAGACGCAGGTCCAGTATTAAAACGTATCTGGTCTAATGTTGCAGTACTGGTATTGTCCCATGTGTGTCAATTGTGTATAATATTTTGTCAACTGGAAAGTTTTGAATGGCATGGGCTAAGAGTGTCATTGGGCCACTCAAGCATAAAGACAGACAGACAGACAGACAGACAGACAGGTTTATTTCATAAATGTGGCCATGAGGCCAATAGTACAAAATGACAACGTGGATTACTTTTTACAGAGCGCATGGACATGATTTTGTTTTCAAAAAATGCTAGACGGAGTATGATACTATGGTTCTTAGTATTTAGAAGATGTACACTTTTACAATAATCGCACATAGCTACACTAATGTCATTGTCTTTAGATCTTCTATAGGAAACTATTTTCAGATCGGTGGAGCCCGCATCTGAATTATGTTAAAACTCTGCGCAGATGTAACGAAGAGAGTGCAATCAAATACAATTCTGGAACAATATCAGATTTAAAAGCAGAATACATGTGCAATGATTTTGAGTTTCTTATATCTTGCGTTTTTTGGTATTACATGTCTTTACAACTTTGTTTAAAAAGATTTAGAAACAATTCACAGTTTCCAACAGTTTGATATATCCATACATAGGCAAAGCAATGTTGAAGTAACATTGATCGTACTGCCGAAGCCCAGTTAATATCTCCATTGTCGTCTAAACGTTTCAGCATAGCATACGAGCGACGTGAGTAATGTATGTCTGGTTGCCGAAGCAGACGTATCCAGTACGAAACAACTCGTGTCATATAGTTTACATGTAAAGGGAATCTCCCACATTCGGCTGACACTGCCTTGTTCGGTGTACGATAACCAACGTTTAGAATGTTTTTACAAAAAGTTTGAGTGTACTTTTTCTATTCCATAGCGGATAGCAGTTCCGCAAATTTCTGATCCATATAATAATACAGGCTGGATTTTACAATACAAAAATTTGAAAAATATATCGAGCGGAATTGTTTCATATCTGTACATGAATTTCTTAATAGGAAATGAGGCTTTCTCTGCTTGCTTACACAAAACATCACAAGCTCTCGTAAATACATTTCTACAAGATAACGTTAATCCCAGATCCTTATAATAGGAGACAGTTACTAGTTTCTCTGTTCCAATTGACCATTTTCCTCTTTTTGCTATTCTGCCACCCTTTTAAAAACTATAACCTTTGTCTTATTTGTATTAATTGACAATCCCCATTTCGTACAACACTCTTCTAAGATATCAATCTTTTTCTGTAGGTTCACAGCGCTGTCTCCAAATATAGAGACATCATCCGCAAACAGAAGAATTGACAGTGCATTTATAGTCTCATCAATAAAAGCGCCACTGTAGTCGCCGTTTACAATATCGTTAACTAGTTCATCAATGTACATAATAAATAGTATTGGTGATAAGATACAACCTTGTCGTACTCCAGTCACTGAGTTACATATTTCAGACATGCTGTGCTTCGTACATCTAACAGCTGCTTTTGTATGAGTATACATTGAACGTAAAACAGTGCTAGTTTTACCATGTAGTTATTGTTGAGAAATATATGTAGAAGCTTATTTCTGTCAACGATATCAAAAGCTTTATTAAAATGAACTAAAATAAAGTAAGGTTTTCCACGTTTTTTTCTTATGTACTTGTGGATAATCGAATTTAATACAAATATTTAGTCAATGCCATTGTAGTCTTCTCTAAGCATTAAAACTTGGGTGGTCTAATGGTGCAGTACTGTTTTTGTCCCATGTGTGTCAATTATGTATCATATTTCGTCAACAGGAAAGTTTTGAATGGAATGGACTAAGAGTGTTATTGGGCCATTTTCTTCTATTCTAAATTCGGGGCAGAAAAGTTTCGGATCTATTTATCAGTATGTCTGAATCACAGGCAGGGCTTAGGAACGGCTATAGCACAACGGATAATATTTCCACTTCGCAATTTCTTGTAAACATTTATTAACCTAAAAGTGGGGACGCTTTTACTGTAAATATGTAGACTTAAGAAGGCATTTGATTCTATTGATAGGATATTGCTATAGTATTCAATAATGAATAAAGGTCCGTGGTAACCTATTCTACTGCATTCAAAGCAGAATGTCCAACACTACTATTACTGATTAGTTTAAGTGGAGTCAGATAAGGCTGTGTTATAAGCCGGTATGTATTTGCAATATTTATCTCAGAATTCCAATCCATGACAGAAGATGTAGATGTCAGCGGCATAATAATGAGCGCAGAATATTTGGAACTTCTAATGTTTTGGTATCCTGATAGTGTATGTATTTCTGATGACATTGTTATTGATAGCAATGAAAGATTGACATTATATGTAAAAATTGTAAGTAGTATACGTCAGTGCGAAAGAATATCCAGTTTGACTATCCTCAGAAACACATTCCATTTGATGTAAAGGGCAAACTATAGCAGTGAAAATCAGTGATGACACCAGGTGTTTGCGCCCTATCGGTAACATGGGACCTATGCATACATAAGGATAACACAAAAACAGTAGGTTTTTCATAACGGTGGTCATTTATGACATAATAACAAGTGATACTCTGATGCAGAACTACTACAACGTCAACGCATCATAATTATTTAGGTGTTGTGGTTTCTTCTATGTTATCATGGGCAGTGTGTATTGATACACTTGTATCAAATGCCGGTAAAGCTCCGTTTGTAAATAAGCAATTAAAACATGAATACCAAAATATTCTTGTTAACATTTTGTTTGAGCTGTTTGATTATAAAACTATAACTTGTTCTTCTGGTATATGGGGTGGAGGTGTGGGGCTTCCTAGAAAGAGTTTTTATAGATAGATTTCGACTTCTATCAAGCAGTGCAGCTTTAGTTGCTTTTGAATTTATATAGACTCATGTCATACTTGATTGAGTGGCATATGTATCATTGAAAATACATACGGAATTAGGATTTTTCATCATATATTCTAAATTACTCGCCGACTGTAAGTCCTTAAAATGTGCTAGGCCCTTTAAGGAAGATTTGATCTAAGTGTAAATCTGCTCTGTTTACATGGGGCGATGGCCTACAAAGCAGAAGTGTAAAGAGAATTTAAATTTAACTTTTTGCTTCGGGATTCCTTCCAAAGTTGGATTTTGGATTTTGAGAGAGTTTCATGATCGCGATCAGCATAAAAACATTCATGTGGATGCTCTGTGGTTAAAATTCAATTTAAAAATAAAATTTAGGCAAATGATAAAAATATTTCAGGGCCAACCCTCTACAATCCACATTTCTTTCTTTCAGTGTTTGATTAGTTCTCTCTCGTTCTCGACGTTCTCGGTGGACCAGACAAAGCCCCAGAACCGCCTCCAGCTTTCCTTCACACTCGTCCTCACCGGAGTCGCCTTCAAGTTTGTGGCTACACAGTCCTTACCTAAAATACCCTACCTTACATACCTAGTAAGTGTCACTTGTTCTATCGTATATATCTAGTAAGTGTCACTTACTGGTCTCTATCTTACATACCTAGTAAGTGTCCCTTACTCTATCTTACATACCTAGTAAGTGTCACTTGTTCTATCGTATATATCTAGTAAGTGTCACTTACTCTATCTTACATACCAAGTAAGTGTCACTTACTCTATCTTACATACCAAGTAAGTGTCACTTACTCTATCTTACATACCTAGTAAGTGTCCCTTACTCTATCTTACATACCAAAGTGTCACTTGTGTATATATCTAGTGTCACTTAATCTATCTAACTATCTTACTCTATCTTACATACCAAGTAAGTGTCACTTACTCTATCTTACATACCAAGTAAGTGTCACTTACTCTATCTTACATACCAAGTAAGTGTCACTTACTCTATCTTACATACCAAGTAAGTGTCACTTACTCTATCTTACATACCAAGTAAGTGTCACTTACTCTATCTTACATACCTAGTAGGTGTCACTTACTCTATCTTACACTTACTCTATACCAAGTAAGTGTCACTTACTCTATCTTACATACCAAGTAAGTGTCACTTACTCTATCTTACATACCAAGTAAGTGTCACTTACTCTATCTTACATACCAAGTAAGTGTCACTTACTCTATCTTACATACCAAGTAAGTGTCACTTACTCTATCTTACGTACCTAGTACGTGTCATGAACGTTTCAGACTAAATCGAGACGAGGCAGATGGCGAGATAAGTAGCTCCGCTTTGTATTTCTAGTAGACCTTCCTAACCCAACACCTCCTTTCAGGACAGGTACATCCTCATCTCGATGTGCATCATGTATTTTGTGTGCATCTGGCACGCTGTGATCACCCGCTTCCAGTTTGACGATAAACTCTCTCGGTCCATGGATTTTTGGGCTTTCGTGGGACTTGCCTGCTTCTTCTTGTGCTTCCAACTCTTCTTCATCGCCACAGCCAGAATCAATGTAAGACTCGTGAATACCCAGGAGTTATCTCGTGTCAGTGTTATTCCAACTAAATATTGATCACTCTTGAACGCTTTTTTTTGGCTTTATATAAATTAATCTGTTAAAAACGTTTGGGAGAACCTCGTTTCGTGCAATCTTTTCCTGATTTCTCAGGTCCCCAAGTTCTCACTTTGAGAAGAAACCTGCAAACATTTTAGGAAAGTACAATTTTCATACATTTTAGTCTTGTGTCTATGAACTCGTTGTCTCTAATGTAAATATTTATAGAACAAAGAATGAAATGCAAGTTTAATGTCCTATGAACGAAATCGATTGTCAGTTTTGATTCCTGTTTCATGTATTATATAGGTAACATGTATTATTTACATTTGGAAGCAAATGTCACTATTCACACTGATGCATAAAATATATATTTCGCTCCAATACAAAGTATCAGAATCCATACTGAACCTAACATTTATAGAATCAGAATACACAATCACCTTGTTTCAGAGCGCCAATAGAAAGATGGCGGTGTACGACGCTGAGAGGAAATATAGAGTAAGCAGAATTATTCAGAACCTCTTCTTTATTTCCCATTAAATTGTTTATGCACAGTGTTTTATACCTGACAGCACTCGGGGTCATGATAAGTGTGGGCGTACAATGAAACTGTCTGGCGAGGATAACCGATGTTTAACGGGGTGCAATCCGCCAAGCATAGTAGTGTCAATATATGCTGTGTATGTTAAGGCATAGTAGTGTCAATATATGCTGTGTATGTTAAGGCATAGTGTAGTTTTGTTGCATATTACTAGTACCGTGATCGGGGATCACAAGTGAAGTTTCATTAAAGTGCAGGTTTAGTGGGCTTCAGCCATTTAGTTCAGCAGTTTGTATCAGTCGGTTTGTGAGTGGTCAAGAAGTACCATCTGGTCTCCCAAGAAAGTCTAGCATGATTTGGCAAGTTTAAATTGCTTCGGATCCTGAAATTAAGCATTATTCTAGGATCCATCATGATTTCATTTTATTTTGAAGGTATGTATTTTGAAATGGTATGATTCTATTCATGTGAAAAGATGTTTGTCTGAATGTCACCGAGCGTTGGGAGAAATTAAGCATTATCTTAGGGTCCATCATGATTTCATTTTTTTTATTTTGAAGGTATGTATTTTGAAATGGTATGATTATATTCATGTGAAAAGATGTTTGTGTGAATGTCACCGAGCGTTAGGAGAAATGATTCAGTGTAGAAAGTTGACTTATGCAGGGTTTATGAGTAATTAGAATTATCGGCTAGGACATAATTTACTTACATGGAATAGAAATAAAGAAAAATTGGATATCAAATTGAATAAAATACAAAATTGGTATAAGTTAAGGAATATGGGAATGTATCAGTTTTTAAACATACGGTTCTATTTACCGATAAGATTATAAACCTTGATCGTAATGGGTTTTTTAACTTTGACACCGCGACTCAACCATGCGACAAACATTCACTTCCTAGCCTTCTCAAAAACGATGGTATTAAATAAATAATGTCACTTCAAATACAAAAATGAAATTGATTTTTGGCAAAGCTGACATATAGACTCCTGTGCAATACGGCAAGCATACCACTCATAGAGAGCGGTTATTCAGAGATACAAGGTTAACGTGACCGGACTGCACTGCTGCATACCTGACTTAAATGTGGCTAGTAATAATTAATAACTAAAGCTTTAAATATGTTTTTTTTTTTATATAAATAAATATATACATTATAAACTCGCAGAGATATATTTAAGCATTGAACTGGTTTGTTATTCTGTTTATATAAACGCAGTTGTTTGGATGATTAGTTTTGGTTAACAGTTGGTCGGGCTTATTGACCAAACTAAAACTGTCGTAGGAACTATGTTTAGTGTTAATCAAAGCACGAACTAGTCTGACAGAACGATGTTTATAGTCTAGTCGAGTGAGTGAGTGGATAAGTGAGTGCGCGAGTTGAATTTAACTCTTCCAGTTAACAACAAAATATTAATTGGGGAGGATCTGGGATTTAAACCTATGAACACCCGCTAACCATGACACACTCAAAAGAAGCACATCGTCACAACGATGGCTAATTCATAGCTTACAGCATAGTTCCACAGTGGGATTATAGATAGCTGGAAATCACCTCGGCGTAATAACATTCATTCAGTTTCCATAATATCAAATCCCCTGTGGTGACGACACTCCCTGTATATTCGGGTCCTCCATGTTTCAGAGAAAGGCGGACAGGCTGCAAGGTGCTGAAGCTGACAAGAAGCGCTGGAAGTTAGTCAGAGGAAAAACTAAGTTTAGAGTTGGTGTCATGTAACACAAAATCTCGTACATAGCCTCCGAGACTTTTCGATATCCGAGGATACCCCAGGAGGACGTCATGTAACACAAAATCTCCTACATAGCCTCCGAGACTTTCCGATATCATGTGAATCTCTTCCAATGAGATGGTGGTGGTGATTCTCTTGAAATGTACTTTACACAGAACGGTCTCCTTGAGTCTCCTGACGGCAGTCTGACACGCTTCTTCATGTTCGTGGAAGATCGATATACTGTTCATATCTTGTGATGTAATACTCGCACAAAATAATAACAAAGTCATAATTTAGATTGAGTTGCGCCATCACTGAGAGACTGCAATAACATACCATTGTGGTACCACATGCACATTGCAGTCACTAGATAGCCAAACTTTGGAAGAACGTTCAGCACCACCTCAGTTTGTACATTCCAGGATCATTGTGGGCAGAGGTCAGATATCGACTGCTGTGCGATATAGAATCCTTGACCATGTTGTTTGCGTAGAATCTTTTGTTTATCTTGTCAATAAACATTCTTGTCAAATACACAAATATACCATGTGTTATATACTGAACATCATTGAAAACGCACCAGTCTAAAATTGTCCATACTTTCATCAAGATGGATTTCAGCATGACAATGATCAATGAATATAACTAACATGAAGTCGAAGGGCATGTCCAGTTGAAAAAATGCTTTAGAAACAAATTCCTGTCCACAGTATGACTCTTAATTCCAAAATGCATCACCATGCAGCCACGCAATGAAAAAAGCGCGGATTTCATTTTGAAATCATGCTGACTGTGACATTAAATGCAGGTGTATGAGAAACGATTCTCATTGCTTCACTAACGATTGTGAAACGAGGAGAGAGATGCCGAGGTTAATACCTCACGAAAGAGAACGTGCACTAGGCATGATTCAGGTTGGCACCAGCAGCAGGGATATTGCTCGACAATTTGGACTTGGCAACTCCATAGACGACATCAGTAGACAGGCAGCACCCGTGACCTTCAATGACCTTGGCAACAACGTGTAACGACGCTCCATCAGGATCGCCATATTGACCATGTCCATATCAGTGACTGAACACTGCCGACTGCCAGGACTGCTGCACTAGTTCAAGGTTGACGTGGGGGTCATCAGCGCTGACTCCACGCGACGCCGGCTACACGCAACAGGGCTCCATGCTCAACGTCCTTACGTTGGACCAGTTCTGACTGACAGACACCGTAATGAGCGTATACAATGGGCTAGCAGGCATTTTCAGTAAAGGTTACAACAATAGCATGGTGTGGTAGTCACTGACGGGTCACGTCTTCATCTACGTAATGCTGACGGCCGATTACGTGTTTGGCGTAGACGTGGTGAACGTTATGCTGATGAGTGTGTGGTTCAGACAGACCTTTGGTTGGTGGGAGTGTCATGGTCTGGGGTGGAATAAATTACAATCACAGGACTGCCTTCATGTCTGTCAAGCGAGAGTTAATGCCCTTTATTACCGTGAGCAGATTCTTCAGAATCACATCGTATCTGTCTTTAATCACCACCAAGATGTCCAAACTTTTCAACAGGACAACGCACGGGCACACACAATAAGACTTTCCATGCAGTATCTGGTCCAGCAACACATCCAGGTTATTCATTGGCCAGCACAGTCGCCAGATGTATGCCCCATGGAGCACTTGTGGGACGAAATTGGTCAAAGTCTTTCGCGGCGACCACAGATGCGAAACATCCGGGAACTTGAGGCTGCACTACTGCAGAAGTGGAATGCCATCCTCAAGACCTCTATTCGGACGCTTATTGACTCAATGAGGAGACGTTGAACTGCATGTGTCAATGCAAATGGCGGTCACACGCGATATTGACTTTCGATTTGACCCCACGTGTGTTTGATCCTTTCTGACTGTGGAACATTTCAATGAATGAGCGTCTTTTCTGTGTTGTTGTTTTTGTCAGTCGTCCATCTGTTATAATCCACTCAAAAAATATCAATTCCTTACACGTGCTTTTAATAATCTGAACTTTTATAAGTGGTGCGTTTTCAGTGATGTTCAGTATATTTCGTCTTTCCTGTTGAATAAGTGATGCGTTTTCAATGATGTTCAGTATATTTCGTCTTTCCTGTTGAATATATCTGCATCGTGATGCTGCAGTGGCTTCTGGTTTTAAAGTTCCCTTTGAAAAGGAAACATAATGTCGACTGTTGAAGTGAAAACCTCTCTGCGGATATGGTATTTTACACGTGGACAACCTTGTATGTACGCTAAGACCCTGGTCATCTGTAAACAAAGACGTGCCAATGGCAAGACCTAGTTGTCCGTATGTTCTAAAATGTATGTTTTAAAATTTAGATCACTTGCCCATAGTCTATAATTCATTTATTATGTAGATCGGTATCAGAATCAATTTTATTGATAAATGTGTATAAAGAAAGATCAAGGTGGCCTGGGTTTCCTTATAGTGTGCAAGGATAAGATCCCATCGGGGCTCGGAGGGTAACATTGTGATAATAAACCTATATTAGTTCACCTCGGAATGATATTTAAGGACGTGATGGGACACACAAGACGGAAATTACGAACAGAATGGACAGCCTTGCACTCGTCGTCACCGGGAGAACTGGTTCGAATCCTGTAAGTGCATGACTTCATGGTGTGAAGGTATCCACTCCGACACATCGCTGAAGTGATCAAGTTGAACAAAAAGGAGCATTATTTCGAAATACACGTGGCAAGCATCAGCCAACATCTCACCGCTGTAGAACCGTTTATGATATGTCTTCATTTGTATAAAACGTAACAGAGACGGAAATTGATGTTCATTTTCCGAAACTGATCTTCACTGATCATGCCGCCCGAATGAGATCAAAATGTCATACCGAAAAGAACAATTACAGATCGATAATACTTGCAGGTACATTATATCCGGCCTCCCACCACACAAGCCTGTACTGACACACGGGAATGCCACGGGGTCTGTCAAGGTCAGTTCCCAGCTAGCCCCAAGATTATGGCAAAGTGACCCTTCCAGTCATCAGCTGTATTGAGACTGAGATGACTGGATGGGAATCCGCATTTTTGTTTTTATTCATCAACCTGAGTAGATACATATTATCATCTGTCAACAACGCTATGGGGAGCGAGTATCTATACCATTGGATTTACGGTATATTACAACAGGGTTAATGCGATTTGATTTGAGTGACATACCTGCAAATCCGAAACGATTGCCACAAATTCTGAAGTCATGGAGTAAGGGACATATACCATAAGAGAGATATTTTGTTAAAAGGTTCAAACGGGATTTGGAAAACAGGAGGCGTCGACTTCCATCTTGAAACAATAAGGGATGGTGAGGTAGCATCACAGGTACAGCGTTCACTCGCTGCGCTGAACACCCGGGTTCCATTCTCCACATGGGTACAAAGTGTGAAGTCCATTTCTGGTGTCCCACCCACCCCCGCGTGATATTGCTGAAATTAATAAAAACACTAACTCACTCAAACAATAACTTAAGCCAGAAACCTATACGCAAAAGAATAATTAATAATATAATATTAGCATTAACATTATCTAGGGTAAACCCTCATTACAACTGACTGCAGAATACCCACAATGCCTGCACACAGCAGAATGACAGTACAAACTCAACTGGCAGTACAAGCGCCTGTACAGAATACAATAAAGCAGCGTTAACAGCAATGACGTCATTGGTTGTAAGGTTCACCTATAATGGCAGCAACAAGGGGTCGAGCTAACATAGGCCTTAGGCTGGATATCTAGAGTAAAAGCATGATCTTTCCACAACTGGTCTTTACGAGAGCTATGCGTGTGCCCACTTACATAGTCGGAATGTAGAAAGTTCCATATACTGGAACAGCCTATAGCTGAGCACGAGTCCATATCACACCCTACTTCAGCATCATTAAAATGTAGTAAAGAGGCTGTAGACAAGGTGATCCTCTATCGCCATATCTATTTCTCATAGTCGCAGAAATCCTTGCTCACATGTTACGTCAAAATGACAAAATAAAAGGGATACAAATGTTTGACTTAGAATATTTGCTAACACAGTTCGCAGACGATACAACTATAATCTTAGACGGGTCTGAAGGTTCTTTTCAAACAACATTAGAAGTGCTTAAACAATACGCATCCTTCTCTGGTCTTAAAATAAACATTGATAAAACTAAAGTATTGTGGATAGGTTCTAAACAATTCTCAAGTACACAGTACTGCAGAGACTACAATCTGGACTGGACGCAAAGACCTTTCAAACTGCTAGGTATCATATTTCAACATAATAAGGCAGAAATGGTGGAAAGAAACTATAAAGATAAACTAAAGAAAATGGATAGATTAATGAAACTTTGGTCACTTAGAGATCTCACACCATTCGGCAGAATAACTATCCTGAAAAGCCTAATACTGCCCACACTCAATCATCTATTTTCCTCACTACCAAACCCCAAAATGAATACAATTCAAATGATCCAGAAAAAAGATCTTCGCATTTATTTGGAGAGGCAAACCAGACAAAATAAAAAGATCTCTGATAATCAGAAACTATAAAGAAGGCGGCTTGAAAGTTCCAGATATACTCGAAACTATAAAATCTCAAAAAATATCATGGATAAGAAGGCTGTTTACAACAAATTCTAAATTCAACAATATCTTAAATAACATGGTAAAAAATACAAACCCAATAGAAATGGGCTCAAATTACTTGAAAACACACATCATCCCAAAACTTAAAAACCTTTTCTGGAAAGATGTTCTGGATGCTTGGGCTGATTTACAAGAACGGTATCCTTACACGAAATCCGACTTTTGCAAACAGTATATTTGGGCAAATAACAATATAAAAATTGGAAACAAATCTATACTATATGAACACTACTTAAAAGCAAATGTAAAATTTATAAATGACGTACTAAAAGATGATGAATCCTTTCTGTCTTTCACTGAGTTTAAAGAGATGTATAGAGTAGAGACAAATTTCTTAGAATATGCGGGATTAGTATCTTCAATAAAACAATATTCAAAGCAAGAAGCTACGCTATTGACAAAGCAAAGACATTTACCCTTTATTCCCCCGAATGTAAAAATACTCTATGAAAATAAGAGAGGCTGCAATATTTTCTACACAACGCTACTAAACAAGGCTAAATCTATTCCAAGTTTAGGATATCAATGTAAATGGGAAAACGACCTTCATCACAATTTTCCACCTGACTTATGGAATACCTATCATTTTATACCATTCAGAGCTGTTCATAACACTAATGAAAGATGGTTTCAATATCGTATTGCCCACAGAATTCTCACAACCAATAAAGACCTATACAACTATAATATATTAGAATCACCACTATGTACATTTTGCAAGGCTGAAAAAGAAACCATTGTTCATTTGATGTTTGAATGCAGATACGTAATAGGCTGTGGCAAGACCTTTTAAATTGGATTGAAGATAAAACAGACACTACTATAAACCTGGATCTGAAAACAATCCTTTTGGGCTTTCATGAAAAACGTAACGATGTTCTGAACTTAATATTTATCATAACAAAGGAATATATATATTCCAGAAAACTAGCAAATATACGTCCAACCCTTGAAAGTCTCAAAGCCAAATTAAACCACAGTTACAATCTCCATAAATATAATGCATACTCGGTATGCAAATATAGCAAGTTCACGACTTTCTGGTCATCATGCCACAACTTATTTACATAATCTACTCGATCTCACTTATGCTTGTTACTTCATTGTGCTGTGTATTTGAAATAATGTTGTGTATGAATGATAAAACTGTACCAATGCGTAAAAAAGAAATAAAGTGAAAAAAAAAAAATGTAGTAAATTCCACGTTACTGCTTAAAATATGTAGGGATACATTCCGACAACTAATTATTGTTAAAACATAGCATGAACAGAAGGAATGTATTCCAATAACACATGTCGCTCTGCCATTTGACCCAAGTGAGACCATAACATTATGCATTGTTATTCGCTTTCCTGAATAAGTCATGTTTTCACTGAAACCAAACAATGTTAATGTAAAGCGTTCACGAATTAGTAAGATGATATATTCTGAAAGATTTTTGTCCTTACGAACTTTGGATGAGTATAAGCTAAATTTATATTTAAACATTTATTCCAATCTAGCTGTTATACATTTATTTAAAGTACTTTTAATGAATAATATGTCTTGAGTTTGTTTTTAAAACTAATTTCATATTTTCAACGAAGTATATCTCTTCAGGGATATATTAGAGATATATTTTTAAATTTGGCCTTTTCTATTTGTTATCGTGAATGTTTTTCATAACGTCTAAAGTTCTGAAGCAAAAACAAAGCAATTAACAGCAAGCAGTCCACTGTGATAATTTGTGATGTTTGAGTTGATTCCCGTCATTGTCTCGACTTTCCATACATCCATCGAGAAGCGATAACACGGAATGGAGGATCGACGGGTTTTAATCCCATGTCACACATTGCTCGCATCCATGTTGCTTGGCCAGATACATATGAACGCGGGTTCGAATCCGGACTTATTTACTTTCCGCCTAAATGTAAGATGCGTTGTAAAAGTAGAAGTAGTAAATGTGAATTAAGAAATCGTTATAAAAGGAGACATTGCATAAGAAAATGGTGAAACGACGAAATGATTTGTGTATTGACAGCTCTCTGCCTGTTGCGACAGAGCGAACAAGGTCACATTATCCTGCAGGAACAAAAACAAGGTCACACGAATCTGCACTTCATGTCAATGTGTTTGCCTTCCCCATTCCACTGCAAGATCTCGGGCGCTCCGAACATACAGATCGGTTAACTGTTAACGTGTTAGAAGGAGACACTGCTTCACCCACACGTATTGTGTTAATCGGATCTTGTCGCTGAGGAGAGAGTGATGGCCCGTTAGGGGAGACGTCCGGCATGATGGTGAAGAACGGTCAGGTGGACATCCCGCGTTGTCCTCATCACTCGTGTCGGAGTGGGTGAGAGAAGAAAAAATAATCACCAGAGCAAAGGTATCTGTGACACATCTGTGAACGTTTACTTCAAAACAACATTAAGAACACTGTCAGCCATATTGTGACGAAAAGACTGTTTCAATACCCAATCACGATATTTCTGATGCAAGAGATCACAGATTACAATGAAATTCGAAATATTTTAGGTAAATGAAACCTAATCTGCAGACTCTAAGGATGAGACAACACAACCTGTTGTTATTTATGTAGGGAAGATATCAAATTTGAGAGACTCGATCATTTATGAGATGACATCAGAGTGTTGCGTCGTTCGTCTTGTGAATCACCAGGAAAATATGACAGAAGCATGCCCAGGTCACTATGAAAGCAGATACGACAAACTACAGAACTTGGACCCTGTCCACAAAGTCTTCGTAGTATTACGCCATTCGTAAGCCCATGATAATGTATAGCGTGACGATAGGTCGTAACGTTACGAACACTCGGTGGATCGGGACCCTGTCTAGCATCCCGCATTACGGGAACAGTTTCTCATAGCTCGTACTGATGATCTCAACACCTCGGTAGACACAAGGGCCATATAAGCTCAGAATCAAGACGGTTTGTGTATTGATCACACCACGTAGACAAGTGACTTCCAAACTGTCGTTTCTTTACGAATACCGGTCACGTTTGATGTATTGGGTGAAACAGATTTTTCTACTCGGGACCAATTTATACCAGTCAAGTATATGCGAGGAGAAACGGTCTCAGGAGAAGAATACAACTCTGGGGCACATTTCATATAGTCAATAAAAGACATCAAAAAAATGATCTTGACTCTGGGCAAGCCTTTTCTGACCTATGTTAAGAGATGAAAGCAATTTTCAGTGGCAGTCATTGTGCCTTACAATGATGAAAAGACTAGGGTTTTCATGCTGTTGTTGAAGGCGATATATTGCGTGCATTGCATTCTTTAGTCTGTCATACAGACCCTGAAGCATATATATCCACGAAATCCCACGCAAGTCTAGAAAATGTGGCAAGTCTAGATTTCCACAGCTTCAGAAGAAAATCTCAGCGCTCCTTTTTATCATATTTTTTTTTCACCATGAGCCTTTTTTCTGTAAAATATGTTCATTTCAGAGACTAGTTGTTAGTCTATGCGTTATTATACGTCCCTGTATGTATACTGTGGTATAAACAGACAGGTCACCGACACATAGCGCAAACAGTGATACATTATATCAGTAACAAAATCAGTAACTCGATATGTCATATAAGGCGATGTCTTTTTAGCACAGGAAGAATCATTATCGCCATTGAGGACAGATATCGACACTTCCCTTGTCTCGAACTATGGAAAACTGTATAACGTATTGGGTCACAGAGCAATATTTTTCTTATGTATACGTACTTGAGTACGAGTAATTAGGAATACATATGATTTAACTGTTCTCGTGAAAGAACGAGGAAACATCCAATGCAAGTCAAAGACGGCATGTGCCTATGGCATCAGTTTGGTAACATCCTCTCTGTGTTGAACATGTTGATGGCTTCGACCTTCATAAGACAATAGATGCTCTGAAATCATCGTGTCTAGATAATGCTCGTATCTGTACCTAGTAATGGAAACGTCCTGAAATATAGAAAAGCTTGAGAAGTTGGAATAGTGTGTGACACAAAGGGAAAGTTGAAGTCATTCCTCTTGTCATACAGTCATATGGATGGTTGTTTTGTAACTCTCATATCTGAGCACCCTGTGCTAGGGGACCAACCAGTTGATTGTCTGTCACGTCTCCCGGCGGCGTGGTTCGCTGCTCATGCTGTCAGTCCGCTGTCTGAACCAGATTCGACCAGTGGCAGCTTGCCGTCATACGGCTGGGATATTGGTAAGTAGAACAGCTTGTATTGTTGTGTACAATTTATTCTCGCTCGTACAGTTGTATAATCATAAGAGTCTCACAAACGTCTTATGAGTGTATTATGACATTTACATGGTGGTGCTTGTTCGTTGTTGATCACGCCCTACACAAACGTCCTAATTACAATCGCCAGGAAACATGTGGTCGCTCCGTTATCAGATAACAGTGTGTTCCAGTCCACTGACCATCGGTTGTTTCTCAACAACGCATGAAACCCGAACCCGCAACTGGATTTGACATGGAACCACACTGGCTATGTGACCAACTCCTTAGATAGCTTTGTAATGCCTCTGTGGACAACCGTGACTCGCAGTAAGATTAACAATCACAGCCCGGTAGGTTGCGATCGATCAGTCAAGCGTTACGACCCAATTGACGTACCCTAATCTTACATGAATGGTGGTCGTTAGCCCCGACTTACTCACCGAGTCAATATGATCTGACGAAGATACTGAGTAACGGTTTCAAGGTGTCAACAGGGGACCTTGTCAGTCCACTATGTTAGACATTTAGATTGTGGATATTTTGGATGTTTGATATGGGAGACCAGTCAGTGCCACCGGCCTCTGCAGTTGCAGTAGAAGAGCTTCCACCTCCAGATGTGGGGACATCTCAAAAAAGGTAGAATTGTTTCTCTTTCTGTTTAATTTTCACGGTAGCATCAAGAATGTTCTTAAACATTTTATCTTTTCCGGGAGGGTTGTGTAACGTCAGAGGAACATAAGGGCCATTCGAAAATATGATAATGAGACATTCCAGGAGAGTCGTTATTAGAAGTACATTGACGCATCAAAACACTCTCAGAGCAAGCACACACACGAACATGCATCATTCACGAACATTTCACGTTTGGGCCCTCCCTCGTCTTTAATCAGGACACAACATAAATATTTAATCATTCCACGGCCTTCTTGCGTGGATAACAACGAGAACTCTCAGCGTGACGGGAAGCCTGGTTGGACAGGTGCATATGTGATATATAGGTATACTATGGTAGGTACTTTATTTATTTTCTGTTGAATACAGGAAAGTCCATCGATCATATTTCGCCACGATAGTCAACTGGGTTTGCGGGCTACGGGTGGCACAGTGGTCAAGGCGCCACGATTTGCGTTTTGGAAACGCCAGTAACGTGGGGTAGCAGGTTCGAATCCCGGTTCGTCCAAATTTTGTCAGCACCAGACCCGTAGGTTTCTCTAAGGTGGTACACGTGAGAGGCTGGCATGACTTCCTACAGTAAACAGACACTATGTTATAAGTGGAATATTTTATTTGTTTTTATTAACAATTTTATCAGCAGTCATGATACAGTCATCCTCGATAATCCTCCAGGGTATACGTTCCGATAAATCTCCACTAATCCAGGGTATACGTTCCGATAAATCTCCACTAGTGTTACGATATGAGACATTCATCCAGAGGAAATGCATGCCTCTTGCTGCTGGAGTAGATAAACTAAAAATGGTAGTTACATAAACATAATAAAAGATTTATATCCCAGACTGACAATAATTGTGAACATGTTTATACATCTGAGGTTAATATTATAAATAGAAGAGGATTGGTTGACAATGGGGCTCTATAAGTTATACATCCTTTAACACATCCTTTTACACTCTATTTGAAGAAACTGATGGGAAAATGCAAACATCCAGTAAGACAAATTAAAGACAGTCATGACTGGGCTAGAAATAAAAAAATAGAAGAAATCTAGTATATATTAATATGTTGAACCAGGAGTCTGGAAAGCTTCAAACAAAAAGTGAAAGAACGCCCATTCTGTTCACTTTTGGTACATATCTATTTTTGTAGTTCATTCTAAAAATTCTTTAGTGATTGTATTTTTTTTCAGTTTACATTTATAAATAACAAGTTTGGATAACATTAAAATAAAATCTAAAACACGACCAGTTACATTTTCCCCTTATTCCAAACAAAATTAGTCCTCCACTCAAGGTCACGTTTCAAATATGAACACAGCTATTTGTTATTCATTGAAGTAAATTATTCCAAAAAGCCTTGACTTCATGACACTCCCAAACGATATGTAAAATACTTTCTTTCTGTACTACAGAAACTGCACAATGAACTCTCTCCCTTACTAATTCTAAATAAGTATACATTTGTAGGTATCATTCTATGCAGCAATCTATATTGGAACCATCGTAATTTTGTGTCTTGAGTAGTCTTGAAAGGTTTGACAGGATTACTTGGTAAACTAAGTTTAGCTTTTTTCAGAAATTTCTTTACAGAACTTATCACGCCAAGATACTCTAAGACATTCACCTTCACATTATAACATTCCTTTTGTCAAGGACATAAAAGACTTACCATCAATAAGAATATCTATTATTTGAGTAACACCTTTTTCACTCCAACCTTTGTTAAAGACAGTTTGTTTACCAATAACGGTTTTAAGAGCTAAGAAAACAGGTTTTCTGCCACGAACTTTCAAATGCATTAGGTTATATCTGCTTTGAAAATTCTCCATCTGCATTAAGACAGCCTCTCCACAATTTATTCTTAATTCTATTAGCAAGTGTGTTAGGGAGAATATCGCCACAGGAATAAAGATTATGACAAGTATAGTGTTGTAACAAGAACAGAGGATTCATTTACAGTTTTCATTTGTAAATAGCTTTCTTATCCAAGTCACTACGTGACTTTCCATAATATAAGAAAATATCACACAAAATCAAATCCTCCTTCAGAGACTGACGTGCATGATGTTTCTGCTTTAATCCTTTCTCTTTTATTATTCCTCACAAAAGTTAAATAACATTTTGTTCAGTTTCACCAAGAAATTTGGCAAAGTGAGGAAAAGATAATTCAATTTTGATATAAGTAAAGATTTAAAAATTTGATAAGTGGATATTGTTACAACGGCGTTAACCCCATCTGGGGCTCTTACTTTCATCTCAAAGATCAATTCATGCTGCACATTGCCGCACATACATCACTTTGTGAAAACAACGGATGCACCAGAGTCTCAGTCCTGTTGTAGAGTTAGAAGCTAGAGGAGAACATCAAAACCTTTGGTTAGTACAGACTCAGAAAATAAACAGTTTCTAAAACTGATGTCAATATATCCGGTATCGAAGTATGCAGGAGTTTGTTTCATCGATGACAATGTGCTTGTTGCATGCAATGAGGAAAGAGGTTACAATATGCTGAGAAAAATCGGATGTATACCTACTACTGTATAGCATAAATTACGGGCCAGTGGCCTTCCGGCGTTATGAATATACAATGTGTAGATGCCGGGTACAAACAACAAGTACCCATGAAAACACCATGAACATTTAGTGCGGATACAATCAAATCGGAAAAAGGTAGTCCAGTAGTCCGTTTTCTAAAGGAGTGTGGAGAGGGTGCTGTATAGTACTAAACACAGTACCTTTCTGGTCTGATGTGACGAATACTTGCAGCATGCCTGCTAGAATATGACTGAGCCTTGTTACCTCACACACAGATCTGTCAACCAAGCAGGTCAACATGGGATATGTGTAATCTGTTGACCTTATATCTTAGCAGATCATTTCTGGTGTGATAGGCATGGACAAAGGAGACCAAATCTACAACAACGCCATGTTACATGCAGAAATATACAGCCCATGTGTACCCCACGATCCAAACCTATATGTCATCATATTGTCTTTGCTTTAACATAGACATTTTCATTCCTTTCTTTTCTTCCTCGCCTGTCTTGCTTATTTGTCCAACAAGAGTATAATAAGAAGTAACCCTCTGATCTTGCGGTGTTACAGTTGTAGGTACCATAACAACCATGTTATGACACGTGATTAATGGCGGCCAGCGAATGTAGTGTGTGGAGTCCATTCCACTAAAACTGCTCTTTGATCAAGAGAATAGCTCGTCGGTCTTTGGAAACATGGCGTCAGTTGGTGATGATACAGAAGACTTGATAGTGAGTAGTGTGATACAGTGGAACCCGGTCAATCCGGAAACCCTGTCCTCCGTCAGAATGTAGCGATAAATGCGCTGAACCTGAGATTCGATTATGAGGTAATTGTGTCCAGGTTAACGAACTTTCACGGATACGTGTTCTGAGGGCTGTCTATGGTGAGTGTTAAGAAGAGGTATAACGACAGGGTAATGTGATAACCACTGTCCTATATGTACACACTAAGGTAATACAGTTTGGACGACGTGTTTCTCAATTTGCAAGCATGCCTATGATTTTACAATTAAAGCTTGAGGAAACTAAAGGGTCCCTTCATGTGTCTATAGTTAACCTGTCAAACCGTAAGACTAAAACAGTTACCTCATGGAGATTTTGCTTGGAGGTTGCCTCTGGCCAGCATGCTTGACTACATCATCAGTCATCATACCCCCACAATGCCCTCAGACTTCAAAGACAATGATCATATGTAGAGAACCGCAACTGTATAAAACTGTCACTTGTAATTATATGTTGTTGTTTTTGTGGGTTTAGGGGTTGTTTTTTCTTGCTGTGATAAGATGCTGGGATGACTATAAATACCCGTAATGACGTCAAATATACTTAAGTACATGTCTCTCATTCCAGAGGCAGATTTCACTGAAGATCGTGTTTCTGAAGATCAGCAACATCGACACCATCAAGGAGGAGTATTCGGCAGACATCTTCCTCTCAGCCAGATGGAGAGAACCCGCACTAGACAGCACCAACAAGGTGGTGAGTACTCGGCAGACAACTTCCTCTCAGCTAAATGGAGAGAACAGGCACTAGACAACAACAAGGAGATGAGTACTCGGCAGACATCTTCCTCCCAGCCAGAGGGAGAGAACCCGCACTAGACAGCAAAAACAAGGTGGTGAGTACTCGGCAGACATCTTCCTCTCAGCCAGATGGAGGCAACCTGTCCCTCCCTCAGAGTGGCATGTTTCTCCAGTTCCACAGCATGACGTAAGTACTCGGTATCATTGCCGTGATGCAAGGTTGTGACTGATATACAGAATATAGTCGTAGGGGCGGTACGCGGGAGGAAATTACTTTTTCAAACAATGCATTCTTAACACACAGAAAATCAACTGGGAGTCGTACTTCGACCCCAAGCTCAACATTCAGAACAACATCGGTGAGTTGAAGCAGACGACATGGCGGGAGTTGCAGACGGAGGCGGGTGGGGAGACGTATGTGATGGAGAGACGCCGCATCAAGGGCAAGTTCTTCGAGAAGCTGGAGCTGCAGGACTTTCCCTTTGACATCCAAGTAGGTCTGGGAGTGTCCTGTCGATTTAGTACCAAATACTTTTTTCGTAGACAGGTTCAGAGTTGTCTACATAGGGGTCACATACATAGACTGAAATCTCACCTTGTCTGTAACTCGACCGTCCTTGTTCTCCCTATAGGACCTATCCATCCACATCACCAGCGAATCCCCGCCAACTGATGTGGAGCTGGTGGAGTTAAACTCCACCGTCAGCCACGTCAACGTGGACAGCTTTGTTGATCAGCAGGAGTGGGGGTTGTACGACTTCGTGGTGGGCGAGAAGCGTCTCACACCTAATGAATACAGCAGCGTCAAGTACAAGCGTCCTGCAATGGTCTTCCGGTGCTGCGCAGTGAGGAGGGTCGGCTACTTCACCTGGAACATCATGCTGGTCATTGTAAGCATACAGTTGGTCCTTCCTGTCGTAACTGAGTGAGTGATTTGGTCAACTCATGTATTTCCATGCGAAATGTACAGGGGTCGTTCATGAATCGACAGATAAAACTTTCACTTCTGACACTAGATTAGAAGTTTATTTCCCTGTCTCTTTTCCAGGCCATGATAAGTTCCCTGGCATTTGCCACTTTCTCCGTTGACCGGAAGCTGCCCCAGAACCGCCTCCAGTTGTCCTTCACCTTGGTCCTCACCATGGTGACCTTCAAGTTCGTGGCCTCGCAGTCAGTACCCAAGCTCTCCTACCTGACGTACCTGGTAGGTAAAGCATGACGTTGGAGGACACAGAACATATGTAGGAATACTGTTTCAGTTGCTCGGGGTTTTATAAAGCAGAAGCACCACTAGACAATTCTTGATGATAGAAAACACAGTTAGCCAGCTCCACTCACATTGTATCGGGCGAGCAGATACAGCATAATTATATCTAAGTTTCAATAATGCAATGATCCTGTGTTAATCTAACACGCCTGGATTACGGTCAGTAACATGGGGTCATTAGTTTTGGTATAACTGTCGTATGCACTTGATGTGCCGTATCAAAATTCACACTAATGTGATGATGTCATGACATCTTTTATTCAAGTCCCAGAAAATTAAACCACTAACAAAACATTCACATGTTTTGTCAACAAAAAAAAATGCAATCATCATAGCATATTTGCATCATATGTGACCAATAAATGTTCCCCTTCTCAACAACACAGTAGAGTTTGATCTGACCATACTTCCCTTAACAACATTGGGACCATTACAAGTGTCAGTCTGTTATTCGATAAAAAGAATTACTACTACGAAGTACCAAATGAGTTCAGCATTCCCATGGGTAACTCGCTTGTAAGCGGGGTACATTGAAAATAAAGGAGAGCGCTCAGCCAATCAGAAAACGACATTTATGTGTGAGGCAAGATAATTACACATATCACTACACCATTACACAGTGGGGACAGGAGTCTAACCTAAGTGACTTCATTTTCTATTGTAATCACCACATCACCTCATTCTTCCCCAGGACCGTTACATCCTTCTGTCGATGTCGTTCCTGTTCTTGGTCTGCCTTTGGCATGCCGTCGTCACGTTGTACAATGCTGACGCTGTCACCGCAGGCGTGATGGACTACTACGCATTCTTTACCTTTGTTGGTGTGTACCTGTTCGGGCAGCTGACTTTCATTCTCTTCGTGGGGACAAAGGTGAGTCTGACGACATCATGGGGATTTTTATAAGCTTTGGCTTAATGATATTTCAGTATGTGTTTGTTTTCTCTCTTGTGTCGATCGTCTCCATATTCCACAGAAACAGCATGTATATTAACCCATTTGATTGCTCGTCCTATGCAACTCGCCTTGGTTTGTTGAAACCCCTTATACTGATAAGCGTCGGTAGCAAAGCCCAGTTGTCCAAGGGTAGACTCGTAGGAACGATGGTCTAGTTCGATTCCCCATACTGTGTTTCAACTCACCAGCAGAATCCATTCCTTGTAACTTGAAAAGAGTAAATGTCCCCGTGTAAAGTGGGCCACGGTATGGAGATTTGGTTGATGTTTACATGTGTTCTACAAGGCAAGCATCGTCATGGTCAGCTTATACATTGACTCTTTGTCACTTTCAGTTCCTGATTAAAAAGAAACAGAAGGAACGTATTGAAGAAGAATATCAAGTAAGTTATGTTTCTGTTCAGAGAATCCCCGACAACCTGTGGAGATTTCTGGGTTATCTTGTAATACAGAATCTGTGTCACCTGTAATGATTTTCAGAAAAAGGGAGAAAATACTGGTTTGCCAGTCACAAAACAGAACCTGTGTCACCTGTAATGATTTTCAGAAAAAGGGAGAAAATACTGGTTTGCCAGTCACAAAACAGATATCGGCTGAATGGAACTATAGCTGGTACGCTACATACAATCCCTGTATCACCTGTGAGAAGACAACTTACAATGGACTTCTGTGAGAGCACATTGCTGACAGTCGCTTTTTCCACAATAAAAGCCAGTGGAAAGTATATCATGTGTAAATTTGCCAGTCAGCGGGGAGCTTGCTGTTTCAGTGTGACACAGTATTAGACCACATATTGCCAAGATCCTCCCACACTGCCATCGGTATAGGATAAATGCGACAAATCAAGTCCAATTGCAAACCGAAAATGGTCTTCTCCCTTTGTTTTCAATGTATCTGTGCACACTACCGTAAACCTTATGATCGTTAAACAGTGATGCCTTTGGGTTTTTTACAGAAAAAAGTTGAAAGCATGCCTGTGGAGAACCGACCACAACAGCGTAAACGAAGACGTAAGCATCTGATGAAGATCACGCCGTTCATATAAACAACGCCGCGTCAACCATCTGTTGGCGTTTGGGCAGACCCAATAGTTGAACAAAACTACATAAGTCATCTGCGTGAGTGAGTGAATGAGTGAGTGAGTGAGAGAGTGAGAGAGAGAGTCTAAAGTCATGACCAAGTTCCTACTCGTGAAGTTCCGGGTTAAAATTTGTCTTCAGCAACCCCTGTTTGTCACAGGCGACCAAAGTGATCGTGTGGTCAGGCTCGCTGACTTAATTGATGCACGGCATCGTATCCCAATTGCGTAGACCCTTCACTTACAGCCACTCTCGCCAGCCACACTGGACATGCGATTACCCTTGTTGGTCACTGGTGTGTCTGGCCCAGCGTTCACCTGGCAGCAACATCCCCCGTTGCCAGTGACCCCTCACGACACGTGTTGGGCATTGAAGACCTCAGACAGACCGAAGCAACATGGCCACCTATCTCGATCACCCATGCTGTCGTGAATAGCTGTACAGAGCCTGAAGAAGTCCATCTGTGGCATTCTGTTCTAACTTGATTAGTGCTGTCAGATTAGAAAACTGTGATAGAGGATACAAATATATATAATATATGTAAAACAATAACAGCCCACCAATGAGTTTGTCTTTTTTACCATGTCAATATTGTGGTTCCAGAGCTGAACGCCGTTTGATTCCGTGGATTGTGGTGCAACGGTTTATTGATCTGTACATGTATTATTGATGCAATGTCGAAGAATAGCTTATATACATCCTAAATAATATAACACAGGTATCAGTGCACCTACCTACACACGTATGTGAAGGGCAGTTTGTCTTGTGTACAGATCAAGTGAGAGAAAGGAACGTACACCGGTTTACACGATAGTATTCATGTATACACATTATGTCATACAAGTTCAAAGTGAATCTGAATTTGTCATGGTCATATGCCTTGGAGACGTCTTAAAACATCTGTGATGGGAGTTGACTGTCAACAACGCCAATCACTGGCTTACACGTAATCATAATAAATGTGCCTATCACGTGCCCACTAAGGAACCCAATATCAGGATTATTGGTTATGTAATATAAACTGTAGTACGTCATTATTCGAGCCCTGCAATCCTTGGTAGGCTGTTAAATTTGTGCCTCAACGAAATTGAACTTTATTTCCCCAAAGATAGCAAGACATAGCATTTTTACGGTTATCAGATGTCAATATCTACACATGCACATACAACGTTGAAATCATGGGATATAGTGAGTTTAGTTTTACGCCGCACTTAACAATGTTCCAGCTATATGGCGGACATTGGATAGACAATTCCTAAGTAAAAGTAATCCAATATATGGCATCTGTTACATCTGACCACTTTATGAAAGGTATTGTTGATTAATAGCTTCCGGCCATGGGGGGCGTGCCAAGGTACACCTGTGAGAGGGGTGCACCAAGTGAGTGGTCTCCAATACCATCTACAGAACTTCCATTTTGTGGAGGCCAATGGGGCTGAGTGGTTAGGTGGCTGACTGCTGGCAGATACCTGAAAGTGTCGACTCGAATCACAGATAGGACTCCACAAAAATGTACTAAAGTAATCCTAAATACAGCCTATGTTCCAGCTGAAAGCATTACCTGTATAATCAGGTGTCACGAGAATCTTACACGTGGCGCCATAATGTACGGGTATACCATAAGCCCATGGCATAACACATCATTGAGGGCTTAACGCAATATCTTGACCTTATATCACACAGATCATTTGTGGCACTATGACCATGGACAGCCTAGCTTTGATCTGAGCCTCTTATAGAGTAATCTCAGTCTTGTTGGTGCCATGGCGACCGTGTTGGGACACGTGATTAATGGCGGCCAACGAATATTGTGTATTGAGTCCCTCCATACGACATCGTTGACGAACAAAACGTCCCCCTCCGTGGAAACATGGCGGTAGTTAATGGCGGGGCAGACGACAATATTGTAAGTAAAATGATATGGTTAAACCTCGTTAATCCATACATTCCGACTCACTTTCGTCAATCCGTAATTATAAATCAAATTGATATGGACATATTCCGTTGAAACGGTAAAATCCGATTAAATAATTACTGTGGTCATATGGCGGCGTCCTATAGCATGTATAATATGTTCTTTATTCCTCCAAAGGACAGTTACAAGAAAAATGTGTTTATAGTAACTGTTATTTACAAGTGAAGATTAGAATGCAAGTTTAATGGTAATCTTTCTGGAATGAATACAGGTTTGTAATGACAGTCTGAGCGTAGAGGTGTAGATCGCACGTTTCTGGGGTGACAGGAGGTCTGCAGGACAACAGACATGCCACCATCTCTATGTCTGGTTTGGCGTGCAGTGCTACATTTACTTCTGGCGGGCTGACGTCAATGAGGGAGCACCACAGACTGTCTCTCTGGCACAGGTAGCTGGGACAGTGACAGATCACATAAGTCAGGAAATCATTATAATTCTGTCCACAGTTTGGGAAATCACCACACACAGCTCCTGGACGTCAAATCGCACACATGTTGACAACAAAGTTTGCAGCAGGCTTCAGCCATGGGTCGGACTTCGCCACATGCCATGCCATGTGGGTGGAGATCTCAGATTTTATCCACATAAAATGATGAAGGTCAGGGTCAGAGGAGATTCGATCTCGCCAGCTGCTCTCTTCTTTCTTCTTCACTGCGGTTTTGACGCAATTTTTCCACTTCGATTGACTTGGCAATGTCCTTGCTTTCAGGAATGAGTTCGGATAATGGGTTCATTTATACCTGTCCAGTATAGCGCATATGTCGGGCACATAACCCAACTGTGGGTATGTCTGAGTAGCGATAGGCGGGTTATGAACAACTTTTTGGGGGGAGAAAATCTGCTTTGAAATTTCATAACTGTCCTAAGAAGAACAGCTTTCTAGTATCAATTGATGCCTCAATGGAGTTCCAACCGGCATGTGCGTTACAGATATCAGTCCGTGTGTTTCTTGGGAAACGCTGAGCAATTGTCAGACAGAATATTTGAGCACGCTCGAGGGCAGTGACTTCTGCTTTAGAAAGCTCCGTCCACAGTTCAAACCCATACAAAGCTTTGGGTAAGTTGATTGTTCTTATTAATTTGAGGCTTGTCAGTGTGTTGAGTCCGTTTTGGTGTACACCAAACTTTATAAGAGCCATTGTCGTACCTCTTAATTTACTACATGCTTCGATAGTTCTGTTCCACGAGTTGAAACCAGCATCCAGTTGTATCCCCACACGTGTTATTTCAGTACAGCGTGGCAGGGATTTTCCATAAAGCGTCACTTCAGAATCGCGGGTCTTTGTTTTGGTGAAGGTAAGTATTTTACTCTTAGTAGGAGAAAACGTAAATTTCCACCGAGAGCTGTATCTCTCACAAGTGGACAGAAGATCCTGGAGGCCACCAATAAGAGGGCTGATTAGAGTGACGTCATCAGCCTGTGTTGGGACAGTTACATTGACATCGAAGACGACAGCTCCCATCTTGCTTGCAGATAGATTTCTCAACAGTTCATCAATGTACACTTAGTAAAACTTGGCAGATAAAATACTGCCCTGACGAACCCCTCTAATAAAGGGAACCACTGTGATTGCACATGATTAACCAAGACCCTACTTGTCATATCGATGTAGGCGTTATCTAGTAGTCTCCACAGGGAGTCCTTGATTTTCAGCTTTTTCAACTTCAAAAGGAGGCCAGGATGGTAGAGTGTATCGAACGCTTTAGAGCTGTCGAGGAATGCAGTCTCCTGGACCATGACTGATGTAAGGATTGATGACATGCCTTTCTGGAAACCAAACTGTTCAGGTCGTGGAAATGAACTTTCACACATTATCTGTGGCCTTCGTTTGCCTATAACAAGTTCAAATAGTTTAAACACCACTGGCAGAAGTGTTATACCTCTGTATGAGTCGACTGCAGATCTCGACTTGTTTCCACTTTTGAATATAGGTATTACAATGCCTCTCTTCCAGGAGTGAGGTATGTAGCCCGATTTCAGTGTGAGATTAAACAGGACAGAGAGACAGCGTGATAAACTTTACCTCCATACTTCAAATGTTCATATGTGATACCATCTTCACCAGCAGCTTTGTTGTTTGTAAGAGTTTGACACAAATCATATACTTCTTTGGGCGTTGTAAGCAGACCGCCAGCTGTAGGTTGTTGTCTAGACAACTCGTCTCTAATGTCGGCCACTTGTTTGTCGATCTCCGCTTTAAAGTTTTCGTCATAGTGGTCTTCTGTAACATTACTGTAGACATGTCTCAGGTGATCTGCCATTGTTTCAGCTAATTCTTTAGCGTCGCGAATCACTCCGTTTTTAGTTTTGAGGCTTGATATTTGTCTTTTCTTACTACAACGGTCTGGTGTTATTATATTATTAAATGTAATTATTGTAACCTTAACAAAAAACATGTGATCAACATAAAGGACCGTAGGTGTAAAAAATCACGCATGATTTGGAAGCAATCAGTGGTGCGTGCGCAATACACCAAACTTTCACATCAGACTGGCAACCAGGATGAAGAGATAACTAATCTATCAGAATCAACCTGTAAACGGTAAATGACATTTAGAATATGGGTTTTTTTCTGTTCATTCTCTGTTGTCTGGTAGACACGCTTTTCTAGCACTGAATAACTGCTTTCAACAAATCAATATCCCGTCTGTATTTATGTGTCTGGCAAACATCTACAAAACATTAAAATAATTGTTGTTGACTCGGAATACAGGTTTGAAATTTTTGGTACACATTGATACAAGTCATCAAGCAATTCTTTTGAATGAGATAGATGAAATTCTACTGAAGTACGAAGATATCTAAATTCACTATGTTGCTATGCAATCATGTCTGTTGTTTTACACAATGCTTTGCAAGACATTGAATAATATGTGGTGTTTCATCCAAGCTTCCAAAGAAAGAGACTAAATAGTGTCTTCAGTTACTATTGCAAGTCATGAAAGCAGGGGACGCTACTCTTTGTTAAATCTCACCCCATCCGCACCTGTCTTTGATATACAAAACATCCGGTATGTCACGACACTGTTGTATACAGATTCCACAGTACGTACATACATGTCTTCCATCACAGAGGTACGTCTCACTGAAGATCGTGTTTCTCAAGATCAGCAACATCGACACCATCAGGGAGGAATACCTGGCAGACATCTTCCTCTCAGCCAGATGGAGGGAACCGGCACTAGACAACAACAAGGAGGTGAGAGGGAGAGAGAACCGGCACAAGACAACAACAAGGAGGTACTGGGCAGACATCTTCCTCTCAGCCAGAGGGAGTGAGACTGTACTGGACAACAACAAGGAGGTGGGTACTGGGCAGACATCTTCCTCTCAGCCAGAGGGAGTGAAACTGTACTGGACAGACCCAACAAGGAGGTGAGTACTGGGCAGACATCTTCCTCTCAGCCAGAGGGAGTGAGACTGTACTGGACAGACCCAACAAGGAGGTGAGTACTGGGCAGACATCTTCCTCTCGGCCAGATGGAAAGAACATGCACTAGGTTAGATAGCGCAAAATATGGGTACATACTCGAGAGACATCTTCCTCTCTGCCCATGAAACATGCTCCACTATGTCGTGACATGAGGGTTTATTACATTCACACAGCCTGATCATCATCAGTCAGTTTTTGTTCTGTTTGCAACCCTCACTGGAGGGGAATGAGACATTGATCAGGGCATATATATCCAGGAATCATTTTTATTACATCTTGATCAATACTGTTTTGTAGAGATAAGGTCAACAAAAGAAGAAATAGTAATGTTGAGAAAATGCTTGTCGTTTGATATCAGTAAACACAACATGCATTGTTGACAGACCCAGAAAATCAACTGGGAGTCGTACTTCGACCCCAAGCTCAACATTCAGAACAACATCGGTGAGTTGAAGCAGACGACATGGCGGGAGTTGCAGACGGAGGCGGGTGGGGAGACGTATGTGATGGAGAGACGCCGCATCAAGGGCAAGTTCTTCGAGAAGCTGGAGCTGCAGGACTTTCCCTTTGACATCCAAGTAAGTCTGGGAATGTCCTGTCGACTTGGTACCAAACACATTTCAGAAAGGTTCAGAGTTGTCTACATGGGGGTCACATACATAGACCGTTATACTGAAATCTCACCTTGTCTGTAACTCGACCGTCCTTGTTTTCCCTATAGGACCTATCCATCCTCATCACCAGCGAATCCCCGCCAACTGACGTGGAGCTGGTGGAGTTAAACTCCACCGTCAGCCACGTCAACGTGGACAGCTTTGTTGATCAGCAGGAGTGGGGGCTGTACGACTTCGTGGTGGGTGAGAAGCGTCTCATGCCCAATGAATACAGCAGCGTCAAGTACAAGCGTCCTGGCTTCATCTTCAGGTGCTGCGCAGTGAGGAGGGTCGGCTACTTCACCTGGAACATCATGCTGGTCATTGTAAGCATATATTTGGCTTTCGAAATCAGAAACATAATTTCCAACCACGTGAGGGCCAAGTGACACGATGCCAAGGGTACACTCACAGATGTCTAATGGATTTCCGAATACATGTCCTGAAATTCACGTGCATTTCTCAGGGTGTGTTAAGTTAAGTTTTTAGGACCACTGCACTTTTCAACATTTTCCTTTGCTCAGAGGACATCAAATCGAACCAAATGCCGGAATGTTTGTTTGCCAGTTAGTCATGTTTTGGATACATCTCACCTGCAATGGCGAGGATGCTGCTTAGAACCCTCGTCGGGCGTTTTGACTTGACACTCCCATTTCTTATAGTTGATTATCCTTAATGTATGAAATTCCACGATAATTAGATCACACTTATCACATTTCCAGGCCATGATAAGTTCCCTGTCATTTGCCGCCTTCTCCGTTGACCGCGAGCTTCCTCAGAGACGTCTTCAGTTGTCCTTCACCTTGATCCTCACCATGGTGACCTTCAAGTTCGTGGCCTCGCAGTCAGTGCCCAAGCTCTCCTACCTGACGTACCTGGTAGGTAAAGCATGACGTCCGTGGACACATAGAGCGTACTGTGACGGTTCTTCAGGATGTTGTGAATTGTCACTTGGAGAATATTTCATACAATACCGAACATGCTCAACAGACACAATTCTTATAAATGACACTCCAGATGGCTGGACTCGAATACGTCAATGGTCATGACCAGAAGGTTTCGCCATATGGAGGTGATTGCCACAATCATGATGATAATGAGACATAATTATATATTATCCCAAAAAAGAAACGCATCGGCGTTTTGCATTTTTTTAATATGATCTATTAATTACCTATTGTGTTCAAACAATCGTCAAAATATGTGACAAAAGTGTTGATAACATGATTTTACACAGTTGCACAAGTAAAAAATCGACTTGACCTGAAATGTTGATTTTGATGAGATTTTCTTACAAGGATTAAAAACGCATCGCCACAACTCAACAAAAATCACCTTCCAGTTGAAATTGTGCAGCAAAAAGGCATGCACTGTCTGGCTATAAAAATCCAGATTACTTTCGGAAATCGGCATTCGTTTTTAAGGAGTTTCAAGGTCAAATCACTACGCCACGTCTTGACGCTGCGACACGGAACATCGCCATTGAAAGAATGAACGCTTGAGATTAACATTCTTCTGTTGCCAGGCGTCTGAATGTTAGTCTGAGCACGATATCACGGCTTGCAGCTCGTTACAACCAAACAGGTATAACAAATGACCGTCCCCGTACAGGCAGACCTCGAGTCACCACTGCAGCTCAAGATCGGTACATCCGGGTACTACATTTGCGTGATCGTACTGCCACAGGTGAGAGCACAGCAGCCAGGGTGCCTGGACTTCGGAGGATATCCGGTCAAACTGTACGGAACAGGTTGAGAGAGACTGGACTGATAGCTAGGAGACCCGACGTCGGGACCGTGCTACGTCGTCACCATGGCGCTCAACGTCTCCGTTATCTAAGATTATCCACTTGGTTGTAGAGACATTGGCTTCTTCTAAACTGATGTAAAAATTCATGCACTAAAGTCTATTTTATGGGAAATTAAGAAATGATATCTTCCCTAAATATTATCACATATATCCATCCGAAGTGAAATTAGCCCAGTTGTTTACATCAAAGAATACTTATATTATATATTGTCTTGTAAAATATTTATTTTTTGTGCAGCTCTCATGATGTTGTACGATGCTCTAATAATTGTATATTCTGTACACCTGATGTATAATGGGCCTGTGGCCCCTTTACTGAATAAAAACTCTCTCTCTGCTCTAAAGTCTATTTGTGGACGAGTTATACATGTTTGAAAATATACCATTTTCGCAACAGATATCTGGCCTGTGCGTTTCGTTTTGGGATAGTATATTTAAGTCAAAACTGTAAGTTCATGGTAATCACATCAACGTTTAAATGTGCGACCTTCTATTCTTCTCCAGGACCGTTACATCCTTCTGTCCATGTCGTTCCTGTTCCTGGTCTGCTGTTGGCACGCCGTTGTGGCGTTATATAAAAGTGACGACGACACCGCTGGCATGATGGACTACTACGCCTTCTTCGCCTTCGTTGGCGTGTATCTGTTCGGGCAGGTGATGTTCGTCGTCATCGTGGGAACCAAAGTGAGTCAGAAGACATTACATGTAGTGCACCCACAGCCACTTCCAACAGAATCGGGTAGTAGAAATATCCTTACTGGTTATTGTCCACGGAATCTGTTCATCTTCAACCCTTAGTATCTTGACAACACAATATCAATTATTTCAAATATCATTTTCAGTTCGTGTTCAAACGAAGACAGAAAGAACGTATAGAGGAAGAATACCAGGTCAGTTGCGTGTAGATTCAGGATGTAGAGCGAGATTGGAGGATTAACTATTACTAAGTTATAATACGGGCATAAAACCCAGTGTGACGTAAAACAACGTATGCGCCCATGTTTGATGATGGCTAAAGGTGAAACCAGCAAGCAGTATTTATTCGACGTTTACGTATTTCAGTCGGGTATCATGGTCCTGTTTTGAACCTTAAGTTTGCAATTTTTCAGTGACTTTGTTTCAGATAACGTTTTGATAACGTTTGTAATGCTGTGGTCAAATCAAGTTTCAAGGGTCTTATAACCACAGTTGAGAAATAATTGCCGAGAGAAAATCCTATGTTTGTGTGTGTGTGTTTTGGGGTAAGGCAAAGTCTGTGCCAAACCTCTTGTTTACCTCTAACAGACATATATTGCAGAGTTACATTTTGGGATATTTAGAAATAATAATTGATGTTGATCTGACCATGTCATTTTCCAAGATCTGATATTATGCAACTGTTATGACTTTAACAGAAAAAACTTGAAAGTCTGCCAACGTGGGATCGACCTGAAAAGCGTAAGAAAAAACACAAGCACTTCATGAAGATCAACCCTTTCACATAGACAACATATTCACGTCGTCGGCCTGTCCGAGTTATGTAGGTGATGGCAACAGATACCATGGACTGTTTTAACTGGAAAGTAATTTTACATCAATCAACAACACAACCAGTTTACAGTTGGGGATGGATTTCTTCAGGAAGCGGATCAACTCAGCTCAGTGTGTACCAAATGTGTAAGACCAGCGGTCCGGGTGGATTGCCACACAAACATTCACCACTCACACATCACCCGCACGCATCCTTAAACACTCACATGTGAGTGGATGTGACTGTTATTGATGCCATCAGTCGGGTTTATGTGAACCAGATGCAGTTACTTACACCTGTTATGTAGTTATTCATTCAACATTCAACTATAACATGATGACCACACAATAACTGACGTCACTCTCAGAACAACCATGTCTTCTTCTTGGTAACTTATCTACATTGTCGAAGTTGTCGTGTCTTACATTACCGACGTGGGCTGAAGCCTCGCCTAGCTGTGATGTGATGTGTTCTCTTCGAATAAAGACTGAACTAATGCGTTTGTGTTCGTTACATGTCCACACCGTGGTTCTTGAACTGGACGACGAAATGAAATATTTCCATACTTCCCGGGATTGTGGTACAACGGTTTATTGATTCGAACATGTGTTAATGATAGTTACAATACATCTGAACAAATATAACACATGCACCTATGTTCAGCCCTGAGTAGAGCAGACTTCCTAATGCCAGTCTCCACCATGTGAAACTAGGAATGTAATGTACAGAAGGGTTTGTAGGGCGGCAGGGCCTGACGTAGAGCCCCATGTAAACTGTACCGTCTTCAGGGATGTCGGAACTCACAGCTCAATACATGTCTTTGTTAGGCAGGTTGTTTTAAGGACCGTTCATAATTTATGGCAAGGGGGGTGATGATATTTATGCAAAAATCCTAAAATTTGCATACAAAGTAAGTACAGCGCACACATAGAGGACAGGGGATATCGTAACCGCTAGAAATGACTGTAAAACAATTCCTGCAGCAAGGGCAACGACAGAAGCGAGTTTGATAGACGCGGGTCTAGAAATAGCGATCTTAAAAGAAGGGTACAAATTACTGAAGCTTGTCTCTTTTAACACCTCCCAAGTGCCTGAAGCGTCTTTTTCTGTCCATTGACGAATGTGCACACCTGATGACATTGGTTAGGATAATACAGAATAAATAACAACACGGGTGTTATTCATGTCCTTCCTATTGAGAAATCTAAACAGATGTGTCGGGCATTGAGTTCACATCCAGCAAGCACATGCCGGAAGTATACCTTAGTTACCCAAGAATAGTACTGCGCATGTATGACACTGTAGACTGGTTTCCATGTTATCTGTCTCGGCTGGTCGTTATACATTTGAGTAAATCTCTAATTAGTCACTTAGCGTTATACGTGGACACTTACACTAACACACACTATACATTTGCACAGAAAGTTGTATGTAAGGTCTCTGAGCAAATTTGTTCGGTATTTCTTTCATAGATTTTGAGTTTCGTTGCATGAAAAGACGGGTTTTAGGGAATACACATTTTGATGCGTGAACATGATACTAAAGCCAGCGTCAAATATAAATGAAATCATTTGCTGTGAGCATTAATGAAATTTGTTACTTGTCAATGAAGTGGTACTGTTGGTGTTCTATACTTGTACTTGTACATTAGGCCGAACAATCACAGCCCTGTAGAAAAATAAGCAACACTTGGATATGTCTAATAATTTCTGTAAAAGCGCATAGGTGACAGCGCGTAGAAAGGCATAATTGGTCCAACCAATACGTGACGAAATTCAATGCTGATTGGCTACATTTCTATCCGTGACCGACGTCCTTGACAGAAGAGCTATTTCCGTGACAGGGAACCTGTCAAGTCACATTCAACTTCACCGGTCGGCAACGAATCTTAGTATTGAGGGCTTGTACAACCTATTCAGCAAAAATCATGTGTAAGCCCGGGCTTTTTCTTATAATGGTAGCTATCCCCCTGGCAACCGTATTACCACATAATACCGTTGACGACCGGAGAATAACGAAAATCAAGATCCACACTCGAGTTGTGAAAAGGCGAGTTTTAACGTTCTTTTCTTATGCATGCAGTACCCGGGGATATAATGCAAATTCATGTGAATCGACCCATGACGTTCGTTTGTGTAAACAAGAGGTCAGTTACCACGGGTGTTTGGTCGTATATGTTTGTGATTTCTGCTTTCATAGCGTCATTGTCTTACCGATGTGTCCTGAGATCGTTGGCAGACAATATCTACGACAGTATTAGCACGGTATAGCAATTACTGAATATAGGTCATTCTCAAAAGTCCCTTTTGACAGTTTTCAATGGTTTCTTAGAGTGTTATGACAACTATTTTCTTGTCATTTACACTCAACGTATGCTCTTTTTGTCACTCAATTTCAGTTTCTCTACGATTAGATGCCGAAAAAGTGTTGACATGGTGACTTGTCTCTCGATACAACCTCTGACTCATCCATCTAGAATCAAAATGATGAAATATAAATATGGTTCATAATGTTTATCTTTGACTTTACTTTACAAACAATTTTAGTATTCTTAAGCTTTGCAAGTTTAATGATTGCCTTTGTTACCAAGCATTCAGATATTAATTACCACTTCTGAAAGAGAAACAAACAAAATCAGTAATTATAATTGTTAATTGTGATAACAGATATGGGTTGGTACACGCTATCCAACCATATCAGCCCCAACCCACCGCTTCTCGATAAACTGAACCAAAATGTCACACTTAGGCAAAGGCATTTGACAGGTATAACACCAGTAATAATCTCTGGAGACAGTCAACAAACCACAACATTGAAGTGCTCTCAACAGAATGGCTTAGAAAGGCCTACTTTATTAGGATATGTAGTCAGTCTTAGTCCCTAGATCATATTTTTTTCATCCCACCAAGCTGTAGTTACTGCAAGAGCTCTCAATGAAGCTAGTCTAGATCTTAATCAATCAACCTCACTGCGGCTGCTTTCCAGAGTAAATGCAGTTCTTTATTTCCATCACAATCGTATATTTTCAGAGACTAAGTGTTTGCCTAATACATACAGAACATGACAAACACATCGTCCTGCTAGAAACAGCAACAGCCAACAAAAACATTGTCACAAATGCAAATGTCACATTGTGTTGTGTGAGTTGTTGTATATAACACCTTAATGCTGTGGTTTCTGTGGCAGACTGACAAAAGAGAAGTCGATGTATGAGAAGGAGGTGGAGACGCTGGAGGCCCGGGTCAACAAGCTGAAGGATGACGGAGCTGATGAGCATGATATCCGGAAACAGGTGAAATATTGCAGGGCGGTTGGCTTGCCCCTATCATTTCAAATAGTTAGTTACCTGCCTCACATCAGTGTATTATCCCCTAATACGTATGAACAGACAACTATATACAACAAACAAAAAGTATGGGAACACCCTAACATTTGATAGTCATATATAAACTTAAACGTGGTGAGGTCATTTATACCCTAAGGTAAATGCAACTTTTTGTGTGCTTAATGGTCACTTTAAACGACATGTTAGAAAATGCAGTGAAGCAACTCATTCAATATTCGTTGAGTTTGAGTGAAATGAAACATTGTCAAAAACAGTGAAAAACAAGGGTGCTGAAACACACCTGCGCCATGTTTGATTCAAACGCCCAAACACAACAGCCTAGTGCATATGGAAGACAAACGTCCCATGCAGCTTGTGGCAACGTTTCCTATAAAAGAAGCTACAGACAGTATTGAAGTCCCATAACTGTATTGATATGTGTGAGGTTAAGGAATGGTAATAGTCCGTACCTTCTCAAGCATGATGTATGTGACTTGGATTGTTACCATGGTTACAGACTGAGGTTCTGCAGGAGTCCCGTATGATGATCCCGGACACGAAGAAGAGGCTGAAGACAGCGTACGAAGAGCTGGAGCAGATACTTGTGAGTTCATCCATAACACAGTCATTAGAATTAACGTACAGCTTCGTTATCATGATTATGACTGAGATAGTTATGACATAAGTGGCCCAGTAGCACTAAAATGATGGACCTGGTGTTGAAAATATTTAGCCACAGATTATATATTGATATTATAAACTACAGCATCATGGATCGTGCATTGTTGACAAATATAGGGTCATGGCACAGTATTAGTCAGCTACATAGCATTATGGAGCCTTATATAGTTCAGGAATAGCTCCAAGTATTTATTGATGAGAAATATAGTATGATGGAACAGTATTGGTCAGACACAAAGTGTTATGAAGTTCATATTTCGTCAGATGTACAAATGTATACAGTTGCTGTGAGGTTTATTGCAGTAGGTTTATTGCTCATATTGGTCGGATATTTTGCATTATGAAGCTCATTTTGTTCAGAAATGTAGACTCTTGGGCCGCTGTTACTTAGGCCATGGATACGTTTTATCCAAAAAGGGAGGGACATGTGTGTTTGAAGGGGTCAATGACCCTGCCCAGATGTAGCCACCGGAATCCTGTCCATGCCATTGGCCTCTGCTAACTTTACCCTCTGGCCACAGTTCTAATGCCAGGTGTTTCCCTGATAGTGATAATTGATGTATCAATTAATCATGTGAATTACAGTGTTGCTCACACCTTCAACAACTTGTTTGCCAAGATTTAACTATGTGAGTGACTTTAGTTTTAGACCTCTTTTAACAATATCATGGCAGGGGACACCAGAATTGGGGAATCGAACCCTTCTCTTTGCCGTGATGAGCAAACATTTTAACACATGGCTACTTCAGTGATTCAACTATGTTCATTCCATGGGGCAACATTGAAAGATTGAAAATTGAGTTATAATGAGATTCCACGTGAAAAGAATTGTGAAATGAGAATTTTGTTTTGTCGAGATTAGATCTGACTCCAACTTATACTAAGCAGGTCCGTCCATCCGTTTCTCATGTACCCATTTTAAACAGCTGGGTGGACTGAGTGCAATTTGGTCGAGTGCCTTGCCAAGGGACACAACACAGTATGAGACACAGGTCACAAATGTTTGGTGTCTCCACCGGGATTCGAACCCGGGCCTTTAGCGTGAAAGACCAGCATGCTAACCACTACACCACTGTGCTCCACAGTGGATTACAGTATTGCTCTTGATTATAGTGTTGAACAAAGAGCCATTTTGTTTTTCTTTACAGCAAAACGACAGTGATTTGTCAGAGAGAGGGGAATTTGGACAAGCCAAGGATGCTTTGGAAGCAGCAAAAGCAGCTATAGCATAGTCTTGTCCTTCACATGTCTCTCATTCAGAAGTTTCGCTCTGCGAATGCATGTGGTTATTTGTATGAGCAGATAATAAAACCTGTTACAAATTCTTACAGTCTTACACATCTAATGTCTCCATATTGTTAGGGGTCAAGGACACTGTATTCACATATGCATATGGTGTGTATCAAAGCTCATTATTAGGGCTGCAACGATTCGGTTCAATTCATCGAAAATCGAAGCTGACACCTTAGTTTCGATTTTCGATAGCCAGTATCACTATTTCGATTCAGACGCATAGCAAGCCAATGTTGTTCGTGAAAGCCCGATAGGTTGCAAAGCATTATAATTAGATAGTATTGAGGGCTTGCTCAACTAACATGGTGATCTTTAGCAAATCGTGTGTAAGCGCGGTGTAACAGGCCAGAGTATGCCCCTGTCCCAGACTATACCCGGGGTTAAACTGGGCTAGTTTATCCCCCGGGGTATATTCTGGACTAGGCCATAGTATATCACACACACACACACACACACACACACACACACACACACACACACACACACACACACACACACACACACATTCGACGCCTACACACACACACAAAGCAGAGCGCTGAAATAATGCGAGACGGGATTGGTTAACTGCGGGCTAATTACCCAATGATAATTGTTGTTAGTAGACATCGCCAAGGGTGTCGTCCCATTACACACACACACACTTCGCAGGCGCCTTAAAACATTTACGGTTCAATGAACAGATTAGCTACTGCCTGTTACCTACACATTGCAATGGAATAGTCCAAATAAAAACAAGAAACAAATTGGAGCTATAATATTTACTTTAAAAGATGGCCGAAAAGACATTAATATGAACTTTGATTGCTGCAATGTACAAACAGTTTCATAAACATTTGGGTTTAACCTTCTCATCTAACGGGACCTTCCGGCATCATATCAAAAACACTGTCTAAAAGTCATCTAAACTTATTTGAGCATTTCAAAAACTAAATTTCCTACTACCTGTACACCTGTACATCATGTAACCATATTACTTTAAGCCGTATGTATCACGGCTTTGTATATCTGAAATATTTTAATCTTGGGAACCAATGATAAAAAAAAAGATAAAAAAAACGTTCCTACTAAATAGCACAACACCAGGGTTTTTTTAGGATTTACACCCACCTGCAGTAGGCAACTGGACAAGCTATCTCCAATAATTTGAGTCAACCATGTACAAGACTGAAGTACTCAACATCATCATATATTCCATCAGCAGTTAAAATGTGGAATAATATTCCCTCAGCTATTAGAAATTGCGACTCTGTTGCATAATTTAAAATTTCCACGTGAAAGAAAAACAAAGTTCTATTTACACACTATCAAACTTCTCAGAAACGAACCTGTTTTAGGCTCACACTGCTCTACTCACAAGACAGTGGTGTTGTGTCCATTATACCCGTAGGTGTTACCCTGATTAAACCTCTAGTTCAGTGTCTGTCAAATGGGAGATAACCCCGCCAAGTTGACGATGGATTTCACGCTAAACAAGCCGACTCGGAGAGATAAATGAAATTTGATGATTTTACATGAAGTCTGATGTTTCGATGAAGAATCGATTCGATCGAATCGAGGGTCCAATAACGAAAATCGAATCGAATCGAGGTGTGGGTGAATCGTTGCAGCCCTACTCATTATCAGGTTCAGTTCGAAGTGCAAGTAGTTATTTATTTTTATCAAGGGAGAGAACTCTTGAACAGAGGCTTGAGTATAATAATGTTTTCATTCAGTGATGGAATGATTGAAACACTGCGGTCCCTCCCTACAGAGAGTTAAGGTACTAAAATATAAATCACAAATTTCAAATCCATAAAATTAGTTTTGAATAAATGTTTTGCAGATTAATTTTGTTGTCAGACAAGCATTACAACACAGTGGAAAACTCAAGATAAGAACCTGTTTTGAGTAATTCTATTGCCCTAACAACTAATCTTTCAAGATATATGTGGCTAAAAAATATACAGTCAAGTCTCGTTAATCCGACATCGTCCGTTGCACAGCAAATTGTCGGATTAGCGAGGATGTCGGATTCTCGAATTCTGAGTACAGATAAAGTTCATGGTCAAAAACAGGACAATCATGATTCATATTAAGTGTGTGTGTATGTGCAATTAGTGCTGGGAATCGCCCTCTTAAACCATGTATTGTTATTGTTTGTTTTAACATAGTTCCAGCTGTTTCAGTATATTCTGAAACTGCTATGAATGCCAACCTGATGGGTTATATGTTTGACACTGAGGAGTAAACCACATTCATGGGGATAATAACTGTTATTGGCTGTATGCTAGAAAATAGTATGCTTGTGTACTGGTTCTGATTGAGATTGGGGGTCTGAAAGTATCACATCAAAATCTCTCCCGAAGTGATAAAACACTTATCCCCCTGCTGCCTTTAATCTACCCTGTGATGATATAACAAGAACACATGTCAGATAACATGTTTACATCATCGCATGTTGGAGACTCAAACAGAACAGATTTCCTCTATACATGGCATTTTACACTGGGTTGCTGGGAGGTTATTCATACGTCAGAGTTGACACCACAACTTAAATTCTTAAAACAAGACAAGAATAAAGAGTTTCTAGTTTCTTTGAAAGAAAATGTTATTTTAAGGTTATTTTCCGTTTCCTGAATAATGTCTTCTTTTGGAGGCATGTTGAAATTGCTGACTTTCTTGGTGTTGGTTGTTTGGGAATGTTAAGATTGGGTGTTGGAATACCAGTATCGTTTGTGGAAGTACATTGTGAATTACTTTGATGACAAGGCACCAATCGCTGACCCTAATAAGGATCTTCCAAATATGACCTTAAACAATAATAGTAAATATATGAGGAATTTATATCTTACAAAGCAGGATGTTGAAGATGTTCTATCATCGTTAAACATTACCAAAGCGACTGGACCAGATGGTATTGGAAACCGCTTCCTACGTTTGATATCCTCCTCCTTGTCACCAACATTAACTAACCTTTTTAACAAGTCACTTCAAACATCAGTTTTCCCAGACATATGGAAAGAATCATCAGTCATACCAATCCACAAGAAAGGTAATATTAACGATTGTTCTAACTATAGACCAGTTGCCTTAACATCTTGTTTATCCAAGGTTTTTGAAAAATGTATATTCAAATATGTCTTTAACTTCATGAGAGATAACAATTGCCTCTCAAATTTACAATCTGGATATTCATGTCAGGAGATTCAACAGCTTACCAACTCACGCATTAGTATAATTTTTTGCTAAAGCTATAGACAGCGGAAAGAAGTCAGAGCTGTATTCTGCGATATAAGCAAGGCATTTGATAAAGTTTGGCACAAAGGGATTATCCATAAACTAAAATCATGTGGGATAGATGGGAAGTTATTGAAATGTTTTGAAAGTTATTTGCAAAATAGAATGTAAACAGTAGTTATTCAAGGTTACAAATCAGAATTAAAACCGATAATGGCCGGAGTGACCCAAGGATCAGTTCTTGGACCCGTTTTATTCTTAGTATATATAAACGACATAGTTGATGGAATCGAAAGTAATATATCTTTTCGCAGACGACACATCACTCTGTGTAATAATCGACGATCCCCATACGAGTTCGTTTACTCTTAACTCAGATTTAGACAGAATATCTAAATGGGCGGAAACCTGGCAAGTAAAATTTAATCCAAACAAAACTGAAACTATTCAATTTTCACGCAAAACCAAACCTTCAAAGAAACCTCCCCTCTCGATGAACGGTACCCGTATAAATGAAATGAGATTCATAAGCATTTAGGCATTACTTTACAGCAAAACCTCCTTTGGCATTCCCACATTAATGAAATGATGAGAAAAGTTCGTTTTAGTAAAGGTAGAATAGGTCATGGACGGGAAGGCTAAAATCGTGACGCTTCTCTGTTCAATAAGTGTAGCCTTAGCGGTACTTGCAACAGAATGACCATTAACAGTGCAAAATCTATAGTGATTCACTTTAGATCACAGACTGTACCAAAAACAAGTACCATATTTATGTGTGGAGAGTGTGTTTTAGAAACTGTGGAGAGTTACTGTTACTTAGGTTTGCTTCTCACAGAATATTTAGATTACGCTAGGATGGCCATATCTACAGCTAATTCGGCCAGTAGGGCGCTTGGCCTTTTGATATCTAAATACAAATTGCTTGGTGGAATGGAATATGCTACGTTTACTAAACTGTATGATACAATGGTTTGGTCCATTTTGAATTATGGTTCATGTATATGGGGCTCTTATAATATGTCTTGTGTCAATACTGTCCATAATCGGACGTGTGGTGGCGCTGAAGTCACCTCGTGTGACCACCGTGGGCATCCAGAACTGCACGGCATCGCCTCGGCATCGAACGAATAAGTCTCAGAATCTCGTGTTGCCCAATCGCAGCCCACTCTGCCTGTAGTGCCTGTGCGAGTTGCTGAAGTGTCTGGGGCTGAGGGTTACGGCGTCGCACCCGTCTGTCCAGGGCATCCCACAGATGTTCGATCGGGTTCAAGTCCGGTGATCTTGAGGGCCAGGGGAGCACATTGATGTTGTGGTTCTGGAGGAAGTCTCTAGTGTGACGTGCTGTGTGGGGCCTGGCATTGTCCTGTTGAAACAACTCCCTCTGGCGATCAATGATTGGAAGGAGGTGAGGGCGTAGGATTTCGTCATAGTACCGTTGAGCTGTCAGGTTGCCCTGGATCATCACCAAATCACTTCTCCTACGGCAGGTGATCGTTCCCCACATCATAACACTGACCCCGGCCGAATCTGTCCACCTGGGGAACGCAAGCGTCGTCGAAACGTTCACGTCGACGTCGGTACACCCGCATTCTTCCATCGCGTCGTTCCAATAGAAATCGTGATTCATTACTGAACCAGATTCTACGCCAATTCGGTAGGTTCCAGGCCTGAACGTTGGTGCACCATTGAACTCGATGTCGACAATGTTGTTGTCGAAGCACAGGGCCAAAATAAGGTCTTCTGGCACGTAAACCAGCCTCTCTCAACCTGTTCCTGGCGGTCTGTGCAGAAAGTCTCCTCAATCCGCGTATTTGTCGTGCGGTACTGGTCGCCGTAGTTGTTCGATGACGCAGGTGATGTACCCGGATGTAGCGATCCTGCGCCGCAGTGGTCGCTTGAGGTCGCCCACTACGAGGGGCATCTGCTACCGCATTCTGCCGGTGCTTTGGTGAACATTCATGCGTCGTTCGTCAACAATATTCCATATACAATGAATAATCGACAGACAGCGATCAACCTTTTATACCCATCACTATCTGGTCCCCAACTTTCACGTACATTGCATGTGAATTGTGTATTCTGTGACAATACACGCTGAAATAGAAAATCATGCTGTTAAATACGGGTATTTTACGGATGGTGCGTTTTGTTGTGATGTTTCAAAACATAAACACCATAGGACTCATAAACAGAGCAAAACCTTTTGTAAAATGAATCACGTTTTAATTCATTGCTACATGATATTGCTATTTTCATGATGCGTTTCTTTTTGGGAGAGTACACATGTATGTATAATTTGTTTATTTTTGTAGATCTGTAAGTTTATTTACAACATACCTGACATAAACAAGAACGTCCTTGAGAAACGACGTATATATGTACACAGTTCACGGTAAGAGTCAGAACCAAAGTTCACAGATATTGTCACACACATCGTAAGAAACTTGCCGATGATTCGTGACGTTTGCCTCGGTTGACTTGATCTTGGAAGTTGGTTCACTCACATGATTGTTGGTTCGAGATGGAGTCGTCGATGATGTCCTGATTGTTGGTTACCGGATGACATCTTGATGATGATCGGGTTGTCGAGGCTTCTGCTTCTGTGATCCATGATGACGGCCGCCGTGACGCTAGCTTTGTCGTCCATCATGTCGACTACTATACCAGGTGCTTTACTGCGAAGTAGGCAGTGTAGACAGTGAGACCCCCACAGATAGTGACTGGAGGAATACCTGTAGTGTTGGGGCTTGGGGCTTTGGCTTGTGGGATCTTCAGGCTGCTCGACTCGTCTGCTTCACCCGGTTCTTTGGTTGAATCTTGGGCCTTCTGTGGATGGGCCGTCTGGGTCCTGCGTCCGGTGTTGCCATGTGTGTGGGTTGGTGTGTCGCCGTGGCCACTTTTGGTCCTCCGCCACTTATTGAGAACGAGCTGAAGTTTCAACTCGCTCAACAGAGGTACCAGTGGCACAACCAACCCACACAACACCCGAGACCTGAGTGAATTTACTAGACAGCCACCCCCTGGTTTGTGACTGTCACCGTAATATATACCTATTTTAGCTATCGCAGATAATCGAGTTTACAGATAAAACTTACGATAACGTTGTTATTGTGAATTTGAGATTATGTCATTTAGTTGGACCGAAGCATCGATGGCAAGTCGCGAGTATGCCACCAAGGTATTTGTGGCACGCACATGATTTGACCAACGTGGAATACAAACAGCCATAAAGACAGATAAACGTAATGCACCTTGGTCCTATTAGCTTTAGATATACTGGTCCTGGATTGTGTCCGATGTTTGTTATCAATGTGACCCTTAGCAGTTTTAAGATCGAGGAACGTGGTCAGTTAGTCTGTAATAATCCCAGGCTTCAATAAAGCATATCGTTATAAAATATTGGTAAAAACTTTGTCCAGTTTTTCCGTGTTAATATTCGTTACATGTCTACACCGTGGTTCTTGAACTGGACGAAGTAATGAAATTGTTCCTTACTTCCCTAGATTGTGGTACAACGGTTTATTGATTTGTACATGTATTAATAATGCAGTTTGGATGCATTATGTCAAAACTACATCTCAGCAAATATAACACAGGCACCTATGTTCAGCACTGGGTAGAACAGACGTCCATGATGCCGGTCTCCAACAGGAGAAACTAGAACTGTAACGTGAAGAAGGGTTTGTCGCAGGGTGTCATGCCAGATTTAAAACCCCATGTTAACTGTACAGCAGTTAGGAATGTCGGAACTTACAGCTGAATACATGTACGTCCTTGTTAGTCAAGTTGTTTTATCGCCGCTGTAGTTGACGGAGTGTCACCCTGATGTGGGAGGATACTTCAAGGTAGCAGGGGACGTTTACCACCTGGGGACAACTACACAGCTGTACCTGTCATACGAATACTGATAACCCGGGTAATTCGGGGACCGCCGGTGAGGCTTTTCGCACACTCGTGTGACGCATCGCCTGTAAAAATAATCATAACGACCCAGGGTCAGTACATGCACGTGTTCAAATCACATATTTTATACACCTGCTACATCAGATGGCCTGCACATGATGATTGATGACTGGTAAACCAACCAGTGGTTAAAACCATGAGTAAACATTCTTGTCAGTTGGCTTATACCCCGACACGCAATCACCCTTGTCCCCCCATATAGAGGTTTCCTTTGTTGGTTTCACTGCTGGGCAGCAAACTGACTTCATATGCACGTGTTTGCATTGGCCTCAACAAAGACACGATCATATTACTACGAAAGACAAAAGCACTTTAGATAAACATTCCACAGTTCTAAATCGGCTGATGAAGATAATATTGTTTGTTGTTTGTTTAACGCCGCACTTATTCCTGCTAAATGCCACGAAATTGAGTCAAATCCAGTGATCAACGTGAACGTGCCGTTGGCATGTTGCAAGCCAACAAAAATATTGGAAGATCAGTTATTGACGTCGCAAAAATGAGAAAAATAATGGATGCAGCCGTCGTACTGTGTATGACTTAGCGAGGCAGTCGTCTACAACAAACTGGCACCACTTCCACAGTTCTAACGATCGCCCAAGGTCGGGTCGTCCACCTGTGACGTCACGAGCAGAAGACGAGCAGATCAAATCGTCCTACGTCACCTACGTGACAGATTTCTGCCGGCTACACGAACCAGGGCTGAGATGTTTAGAGGTCGACTGTCCTCACAGACCATTCGAAATCGGTTGCGGGCTGCCAATCGCCATTCTCGACGTCCATATCGTGGGCCAATATTGACGCCGTTTCATCAACGTCAAAGTCTGCTGTGGGCCAAACGTCACCTCCGATGGACCCAGAGAGACTGGAATCGAGTCGTCTTTAGCGATGAATCCAGGTTTAACCTCACATTCGCGGACGGCAGGCACAGAGTCTGGAGACGACGTCGTGAACGGTATGCCCAATGTTGTGTACAGGAAGTCGACAGATTCGGAGGCGGAAGTTGCATGGTGTGGGGTGCTTTCTGTGGGAACAACCGTTCCCGACTTCTGGTCATCCGTGGAAACCTCACAGCTGCTGCTTACCGCGACCAGGTGCTCACCCCTGAACTCGTTCCTTTCATGGCAGCTCATGGCCCAGGTCTACAGCTCCAGCATGATAATGCTCGGCCGCATACCGCGATGTTGACACGAAATTTCCTTCAAAACGCTGGAATCAACGTCATAGACTGGCCATCGAGGTCCCCTGACCTTAATCCAATAGAGCACGTTTGAGATGCACTTGGGAGAAGGCTTCATGGTCTTAGGAACCAACCTCAGAATTTGCAGGAACTTGGCGCTGCCTTGCAAGAGCAATGGCGCAGAATGCCCAACCACGTGTTCACAAGCATCAGGCAGTCGATGAGGAGACGGTGTTTGGCAGTGGTGAATGCGCGGGGCGGCCATACATGATATTGAACTGAGAAATTTCGCATTTTTATTCTTGTGACTTGACATTCTGTATACCCATGTTTTGTAACGGCGGTGTAGCCTAATGGAACTGATTATGGCACTGTCAGTGTATCGAGTACATCACACAGATCTCAGCAATGAAATAATAACAATTTAACCATCTTACCATCTCTTGTTCTTTTATAGTGCCCTGAAGAAAGAATGTGAAGTTTCTTTTTTGACTCAGTATACTTCTATGGATAGTATGTTTTGAGTCTTCTCATCCAATAAAGACTACAAGACAAGTACAATGATATTGTTTTATTTTGTTTTGGGAAGCAGTTAACGTTGTTGAATGGTGTTGTTAGGGACAAAGTAGGGGTTGAACTTGCGCCTAGTGAAATCCAGATACACTTTGAGGTGTCAGCCATCAGGGCAGTGGAGGAAATCTATGAGGATTGTGAAGTGCGTGGATGCTTCTTCCACTTCACTCAGGCTGTGTGGCGAAAAGTGGCTGAGAAAGGACTGACAAACGACTACAAGGACATCCCACAGGTGCAGGCCTATATCAGGAGAGCAGCTGCCCTTCCACTACTTCCACGGGACATGGTGCAGGACACTTGGATTGCTGCCATGAACGAAGGTCCGGAGTCAGAGAAGGTCAGGAACTTCAACGACTACGTCACGAGTACATGGGTGGACTATGAGACACGTTTTCCAGTACGGATCTGGACGCAGTATGGCAACAACCACCTCGAGGGGTGGCACCTGAAGCTGAAAAACCTTATTGCCAAAGCCCACCCAAACATCTACCTCTTCGTCGCCAACATCAAGAAAATCGAAGTCATTGACAAAGCTAAACGTGCCCAGCTCGACTGTGGTGTCCTTCCCAAGTCACGCAAGCGTGTTTACAGAGACTTCTGAGACTGAAGGAGCACCTCCAGAGTGGCAGAAAAACGCCTCTTCAGTACCTTGATGCTGCTGGACATCTCATCAAGTTTGCCAAGTGATTGCCAGTTGTGTGTAATTGTGAAACAAGTAAAAGACTGTAAAACCACTGAAAGACTGTAAAACCACTGAAAGACTGTAAAACTTATCAGTTTTTCATGATAAATCCATGTCATAGGTCAGTTCATTAACTAGCTAACTAGTCAAGTTCATTTTAGCAGGGGTAGAACAGGTGAGATCGGTGTATTCACTTCCTGATCACTGGACCGTATCATGTTGTTTTAACCTGTAGGCAGTTTGGAACTGTGGGTAGTATGGGAATCAACCAAGTGTGCGAGCCTGACCACCCAATCCTGTTAGTCGCCTCTTACAAGCATGGGTTGATGAAGACCAATTCTAAGCCGGATCTTCACAGGTACTGAGGAAGATAGTAATTTGGCGGGTAGTTTCAGATCATGAGGACTTACAGGAATGGATTTATGGATTGGATGTTTGTAGCATGAATACTGGCATTCAACGTCTGTGAAGACAGAGAGTGGGCTGTATACATATAAAACACATGTAGGAATCAGGACCAGAGGCGTGTTCAGAACTGCGAACGCTCACATCGGCCCTGAACGGACGCGAGCGCTTGGTTACAATAAGCCATTCGTGACCAACTCGTGTTGTTCCGGGACAAGCCGAATAGCTTCTTTATTATATTCTTAAGGGTGAAATACTGTAAATATTGGTGCAAATAAAAATGGTATTGTCATTTTCACTGAGTAGAATATCACTTTTGCCTGGAACTACGAAAAGCGAACTACGAAATCGATGTCTCGATCATTTATAAACAATGATCAAAATATAATAAATAGAATATTTTGTTAATTTTGTCAATGGTTACCAAACTCGTGAACATATCAACTTTTTCAGACCACTCGATGACATATACATGTTATTTGACAACATTAACAAAATATTCTCCATGTCTTCTTTTTGGAGGTTACGGAAAGGGTCGAGTGGTGACGAATGACATTAAACATGATCGCCATCTTGGTTCGCTTGGCGAGGCAGCTGTGAGAATGGTTCGCGGGCGCTCGAGCAGGCACAGGCGTTCAGGATCGAGCGCTCGCTAGCGTTCGCGGGCACTCGTGGTTCTGAACACGCCTCTGGTTCTTAACCAGCGTTAGAATCACCAGGCTACCACATGGAACCACTTCATGCTATTTTATTTCTACTCTTGACTGTTATTGTTGTGTTGGGTTAAATGCGCCTTTGCTAAGTATTTCAGTTTTACAAGGGTATGTCTGTTTAAACATAGGAACCCATGTGGTGGTTGCTGGGCATGTTGGTGAAACCCACGTGCAGACCAACGATCAGACCAAGGATCGCAATCAGTACAAGTCTGGACTGTATATCACACTGAGCCACCGCAGAATGACCCCAGCCCCCTTATATATCAGACACATAAACAAACAACACCAAACATCAAGCGATCGTCACATTTTATATGTAGCAGTGAAGGCTTCCCAACAACATTTGAAGTCTCATACATTTTCAAATACACAAATAGTTTACAGTAACAAAAATACATATCACTTACAATAAGGATCAGACTTTAACAGTGAACACAGTTCTCTCTGCTCAAATGCAATACTTTATATGAACAGGTTGTACTAAAACCTTACAGTGTGTAAAAGCACCTGTTGCACTTAAGTAATACATGCAGCATACAGCTGGTGATTGTACAGGCAAATAAAACAATGCATGGCGTTAAAGCATGGCCCCATATACACAGTATTGATCACAGGAAGACATTGGGCTGATTTAGTGATAAATATCATAACACCTGGCACCTCAATACAACTTACAACCTATGGGCTGGGCAATTCACTGACTAAAATACACAAATGTGACACATGGATGGAATAATGCCATGGTTTCTATATGACAGCACCATCAACAGGACATGGAAGGAAATATGAACAGAGCATGATCAACAGTACAGCATCAACAAGTGGGTGCTTGATTCAAACTAACTGTCGATATACTCTCACTCACACACTTTCTCAGCTGATCACAAATGAGATACACATTACCATGACAAATTTCCTGCCATAGGATTAACCCATATTGCACTTAATGTACACAACCAAGTAAATCATGGTGGACATATGTATAATTAAGAAGCATTATGTAGACGATATACCTTGTACATAAACATATAACGGTGAAAGGAGATACAATTTCCTTATCTCATTTAGACATACACAATACAAACGTACCTAGATACATGTAGGTGGCGGTGTGTGTCTATATAATTAATGCAGTATTGCTGTGGCTTTCATTTTTCATTCAGTTCGTATTCAAACTCATATGTCCAGACCGATATCAGCCCCTGGAGATATTTATAGGGTTTATAGCCCACCATAATAAAGCCTAGTCTCGAGTATAGATTCCTCGCTGGCTGATGCACCTCCGTCGTAATCAGTTCTATCTTGTCGTAGTGACGTTGTTTACAAAAGGAGATCACCGTGGAAACCAACTTCTTGGCAATTCCTAAACGTCTGAAATTCCGTTTCACCGCCATTCGTCTCAGCCATGCTACTTTACGTTCTGTGTCACCAGCTGTTTTCTTCACAATCCCGACTGTTCCTGCAATCTCGCCGTTAACCTCGGCAATCCAAAAATTGTCGTCTTCGTCGCGGAAATAATTTTGTCGTGCATTTTTCATGTCACAATGAGTAGGGCCATACAAGTAGTACAATGTGCCAAAGAAGCTGAACCCATACACAGCGCACACATAGAAAACAAGGGATACTGTAACCGCTAGAAATGACTGTAAAACAATTCCTGCAGCAAGGGCAACGACAGAAGCGAGTTTGATTGACGCGGGTCTAGAAATAGCGATCTTAAAAGAAGGGTACAGATTACTGAAGCTTGCCTCTTTTAACACCTCCCAAGTGCCTGAAGCGTCTTTTTCTGTCCATTGACGAATGTGCACACCTGATGACATTGGTTAGGATAATACAGAATAAATAACAACACGGGTGTTATTCATGTCCTTCCTATTGAGAAATCTAAACAGATGTGTCGGGCATTCAGTTCACATCCAGCAAGCACATGCCGGAAGTATACCTTAGTTACCCAAGAATCGTACTGCGCATGTATGACACTGTAGACTGGTTTCCATGTTATCTGTCGCGGCTGGTCGTTTGGGGCTCGAAGAGAAGGTTGAATATGAGTAAATCTCTAATGAGTCATTAGGCGTTATACGTGGACACTTACACTAACATACACTATACATATGGACCAAAATTTGTAGGTAAGGTCTCTGAACAAATTTGTACGGTATTTCTTTCATAGATTTTGTGTTTCATTGGATGAAGAGGCAATCACAACCCTGTAGAAAAAATTCTATCATATTAGCAACACTTGGATCCTGTCTACTGATTTCTGTAAGAGCGCATAGATGACAGTGCGTAGAAAGGCATAACTGGTCAAACCAATTACATGACGAAATTCAATGCTGATTGGCTATATTTCTATCCGTGACCGGCGTCTCTGACTGAAGAGCTATTTCCGTGTCAAGGAACCAGCCCAGTCACATTTTTTCACAACTTCACCGGTCGGCGACGAACATTCGAGTGTGCATTTTGAATAACTTGACTTACAACCCTATTACCGTATAATACGATGGATGACCAGAGAATAAAGCAAATCAAGATCAGGACTGGAGTTGTGAAAAGGCGAGTTTTAACGTTCTTTTTATGCATGCAGTATAATGCAAATGTGGAATGTCGTGCGTTGATTCAACATGACATCAGCTTGTGTAAACAAGAGGTCAGTTACCACGGGTGTTTGGTCGTATATATTTGTGATTTCTGCTTTCATAGCGTCAGTTGTCTTACCGATGTGTCCTGAGCTCGTTGGCAGACAATATCTACGACAGTATTAGCACGGTATAGCAATCGTTAAAATAATTGATATTATCAAAAGTCGTTTTTGACAGTTTGATAGAGCTCTTCCCTTTCTTAGAGTTAGAGTGTTATGACAACCATTTTCTTGCAATTTACAGCCAGCGTATGCTCTTTTTGTCACTCAATTTCAGTATCTCTACAATAAGATGCTGAAAGAAGGGTTGACATGGTGACTTGTCTCTCGATAAAACCTGTGACTCATCCATCTAGAATCAAAATGATGCACGTCTAAATATAAATAAGGTTCATACTGTTTATCTTTGACTTTCTTTTCCAACTTTTTTTTTTCTTTTTTTTTTCTTATTTTATTTAGTCAAATATTACAGAAAACGCATTTCACGAGTATATACAGTATACATTTTCCGGATTCAAACATTTTTTTAAATTTATGGTGGAAGCCTGTATTCTGCTGTTTTCTTTTCCTTTTTTTACCTCGCGTTACATACACAAAATATGTAAAAAATTTTTATAAAGATGGGAAAGAAAGAAAGGAGAGATAAGGAAAGAGAGATAAGAAAAGATGAAAGAGTGCGGCCTAGAAAACCTCACTATGTCAATTTGTTAGTTTAATCATTTTGAAAGAGACATAAACATTTTCTTTTGAAATCTGAGTGATCTTCACCAAAGATATATTTTTCCAAATGGTAGTGATGTTTTATAAAATAAAAAAGTTGATCGAAATTTAATTCCGCTGAGGTATATCTTGTTTTATTGATATATTGCTTGATAATGATAAAAATGTGATTCACTAATACACTTGCCTCAGGGTCCCCCAGTAAAAACTTTGTGCTATCAATATTGAGGCGAGTACCAGTCTTCAATTTGTACCAGTTTGCTTAGTTTTCTCACATAAAAAGAATAAGTGCTCGAGTGTTTCTATTTCTCTGCCACATAAAGTACAAATGTCACCCTGATTATACCTATTTTACAAAGAAATGACTTCGTTGAGACTATTCTGTGCATTATTTTAAATTGAAAGTTCCTAGCCTTATTTTCTATGGTAACAACGTTAATCATTGTAAAACAGTCAGCAAGATAAGTATCGGATAAAACAGTATCAAGCTTAGATTCCCACTTGAGTTGAAGATTATCCAATGATATTGTGTGATTATCACATAAATGTGAGTAGACAAATTTACAGTCAGCTGAGTTACATACTTGTTTAAGAATAGTAGAGTCAGTATCGGCTAATTCATCATAATGAGGCGTTGCCTTAGCAAGATTAAGGTATTGTTTATTGTTTCTCAAAAATCTGAAATATATGAGATATGTTTCATGAAGATTAAATTCTTCTTTTAGTATTAGAAAAGGTTTCACTTCACCAGCGTCTGTTATAATATCTCGCATATTGTTCATTCCTTTTTTATACCATGAAACGAACAGACCTATATCAGTATATGGTACAAAATTCAAAATTGGTAGACATATAAAGTCACTAATGCATTCAGTATGTGTTTTATTGATACAACTGTAGCATACTACAACATCTTTCCAAAACAGATTGTTAATATTTTTGGAGTAGGATAAAAAAAATTCTCCTTGAAAGTTAAAGAGATCAATGTCCCCAAAAGGCGATAGTGTTTGAAATACTAAGTGCTGCCATAATCCCTTTGCTTTGAATAATCTGCTGATCCATTTAATCTTCATATAGTTGCAAAAAGATATGATATCTATCATTTTCAAACCCCCCTTTTCATAGTCATTTATCAACATATTTCTTTTAATTTTATCACGTTTGTCGCCCCAGATAAACCTGAAAAGGATAGTATTCAAACGTTTAAAGAAGCTCTTAGATGGGTTAGGAAGCGCCATGAAAAGATGTGTAAAAGGGGATAATCTGCGATTTGATAATCATAATTCTGCCTCTCAAAGTTAAAGATCTGTTTGACCATGAAAATAGTATTTTTCTAATTTTTGAAAATTGTTGTTCAAAGTTTAGTGAAATCATTTCATGTAAGTTAGTTGAAAAAATAATACCCAGAATTTTGAATGGTTCTTTCGACCAACGAAGAGGTATATGCGGACAGAGTTGCTCATTAGAATTTCGCTTGGAACCAAACCATATTGCTATGGTTTTATCACAGTTGAGGTTTAAACCAGACACGGCAGCAAATATTTTAATATCATAGCTAAGTTCAGATAATCCCTTTTCAGATCCTTCAAGTGTAAAATTGGTATCATCTGCGTACTGAAAAATGAGGTTTTCCATACCCTGGCCTTTATTTTAATTCCTTTTATGTTCTTATTTGTTCTAATTTCAATAGCTAGTAATTCGACACAAGCAGCGAAGATGTACGGGGCAACCGGGTCGCCTTGACGACAACCACGCCCTAAAGTGAAAAAGTCTGATAATGTACCAGAATTGACAATAGAGCTACAGCTATTCCTTTGAAAAAGTTTAACCCAATTTTTAAGTACAGGGCCAAAGTTAAAGGCTTCCAACGTTTTGTCAATGAAGTCCCACTCAACTGTATCGAATGCTTTCTCAAAATCAATTGCAACCAAAAGACCTGGTACTTCATGTTATTCACAATAATGCATTAAATCATACAGTATTCTAGTATTTTCCCCAATAAATCTATTTTTTTTAAACCCTGTTTGCGTTCCACTTATTATATCAGGAAGGACTTCTTTAAATAAATCGTGAAGCAGTTGCAGCGGATGCAACTTTATAGTCTACGTTTAAAAGACTAATTGGTCACCAATGTTTCAAATAGCGTCTGTCACGAAAGTCTTTTGGTATACATGTAATTATACCTTGTCTTTGGAAATCCGACAAAATTCCCGTTTTGTATGAATATGTGATAGATTGCCAGAGAATTACGCCTATGTCATTCCAGAAAAATTTATAAAATTCTGCACTGAAAACCGTCCAAACCAGGACTTTTTCTGTTCTTCATATTTTTAATGTTCGTGCACATTCATCAAGCGTGAGTTCAGTTTCACAAAATCCGCGTTTATCATTTGAAAGTTTAACATCGATATTCTTGAAAAAATCTATGTCATTTTGGCAGTCACTTGCATGTTTACTTCTGTACAAATTATTATAAAAGTTGGAAGATTCTCTTAATATGTCTTGTCAGAACTGTGCTTGGTGTTATAAGTTCACCCATATTTTTATTGATATAATTTCTCTTTTCTAAATTCATAAAGTATTCGGTTTTTTTTCTCCCTCTTCGTACCATCTAGCCTTACTCCGAAATATAAGCCCTTTTACTTTAGCAATTCTAATATTTCAAGTTTTTCCTTTTTGAAGCATAAATCTATATTTTCATCACTACTTAATGTTGAAAATCTGGCTTCCATTTCATATATTTCACGTTCCAGCGTTTTCTCTTCTTTTTCATTTTGTTTTTTTCGCTTAATTGAATACCCTACAGTTTTAGTTCTTATATTCATTTTAAGTATATCAAAAAATAATTGATCGTTCGCTGATAATTCAATACTTTTTAAGTTATCCAAATCTCCAGAGACATAGTATTCAGAGACAGTGTCACGTATGGTTTCTTTAACAAGATTGACATAGTCACGGTCATAGAGTAGGGACGAATTGAATTTCCAGTAACCCGGTCCACGCTAACATGGGACCCAGCGCAAGCTCAAGTGAAATGATAGAATGATCGGACCTGTAACTCACATCTATGGACGCGCGCTTGACAAGGGACATAACTTCTTCAGAGACAAGGAAATAGTCCAGTCTGCTTTGTTTAATGTCGGTGCCTTGTCGCCATGTATATTGTTGTTTATCTGGGTTAAAAATTCTCCACGGATCAACCAACCATAGCTTAGTTTTCTCAAATGCCCCAGTATTATTTCTGTGCTTTATATTATAGGTATCTAAGTAATAATCTTGAGCTACGTTCCAATCCCCACCCCAAATAATAGCCCCGGGTAATTGTTCTAATTCCGAGAAGAGATCTTGGAAGAAATCTGGCGAATCTTTATCTGGTCCGTATATATTTGTTACCGAAAATCAAATATTTTCTATTGTAATGTCAAGTATAACAAAGCGACCATTGTCATCTGAAATTGTTTCATGAACTTCATATTCAAAATTATCTTTAATCAAAATTAATATTCCCCCACTATTACTTGTTCCATGTGAGAAAAAACATCTATAGCCCCATTCAGCTGCCCATTGCTGTTCATTTTCTAAAGTACTATGTGTCTCTTGAAGAAATATAATAGACGATTTTCTCTTTCTTAGGAAACTGAAAATATCCCTTCGCTTTACCGAATCAGACTGGAGGCCCCTAGCATTCATAGATAAAATACACAAATTACTCATTGTTTATAGATTGTATGTATGCAAACGTGAGTGTGCAAGAGAGAGAGAGAGAGGGTAAAAATAAAATATGAATGATTGATATGCCTTGGATAGTGGCCCTTTCCACAAAATAAAAAGTAATAGTGGAGTATCTTCCATTTAGAAGAAATAAAAACAACAGTTTTTAGTATTCTGAAGTTTTGCAAAGTTTAATGATTTCCTTGGTTACCAAGTATTCAGACATTAAACACCACTTCTGAAAGAGAGACAAATAAAATAAGTATAACTATTTTATGTCATAAGAGTGTTGGGTTGGTACGCTATCCAACCATATCAGTCAAACCCCACTTCTCCCCAATTGAACCAAAATTTCAGACTTAGGCAAAGGCATTTGACAGGTATAACACCAGTAACATTCTCTAGAAACAATGAACAAACCACAACATTGTTCATTAAAGTGCTATCAACAGAATGGCTTAGAAAGGCATACTTAATAAAGATATATAGTCTGTCATATTGTTTCAATCCAGCAAGCCCAAGTTTACTGGTAAAGCCGGGGCTTCTTTCTAATTCTAAAGTAAATGCAGTTCTTTATTTCCATCACAATCGTATATTTTCAGAGACTAAGTGTTTGCCTAATACATACAGAACATGGCAAACACATCGTCCTGCTAGAAACAGCAACAGCCAACAAAAACATTGTCACGAATGCAAATGTCACACTGTGTTGTGTGAGTTGTTGTATATAACACTTTAATGCTGTGGTTTCTGTGGCAGACTGACAAAAGAGAAGTCGATGTATGAGAAGGAGGTGGAGACGCTGGAGGCACGGGTCAACAAGCTGAAGGATGACGGAGCTGATGAGCATGATATCCGGAAACAGGTGAAGTATCGCAGGGCGGTTGGCTTGCCCCTAACATTTCAAATAGTTAGTTACCTGCCTCACATTAGTGTATTATCCCCTAATTATTTTACGTATGAACAGACAAATATATTTGATGCGTGTGTTCCTTTTTCACTTTGCTTCTTGGTGGATAGCCTACCAATCAGTAATGTTTTTTGGGTTATATTAGACAGAATGCTTGAATAACTTGTTGAAAAAGTGTGGTATAAAAATCTGACCCTCCTCATACTTTACCAGTTTGGAAGAACAGCGTACAGTCTATGTGATAAGGATTGTTTGGCAGTGTTGGCCATGTTTATTAGTCAACAAAAGACATCAGGAGAGTTTCTGGGTATGATAGTGTTCCACAGAAATACATTTACAATTGATGTATCTTTAAGAAATTGAAAACTATGGACACATGGAAGTGATTTTTCTCAGGTTATCTCCCCTGTCTGTAAATTACTTACAGCCCTGATAGAGTTTTTTCTATTACATTGCTCGGCTATGTTGACTTTGCTCTGTCATATTTTTTACGATCCATTGCCCTGTGGGAGTAAAAAATATTGTTTGAACGATGGTGGACCATCATTTGACGTCTGTAAAATTATACGTGAAAAATGTATTAGAGCTAGGATATTGTTAGAAGTATAACGAAAATGAACAAGCAAGATAAATTGAGATACCAGGATTTAGTGATGGATACGCTTGGAAGAGCGGATTCTTTTCTGCAAAGGAGGCGTACAGAAAAAAAACCCGTCGTAGCAGGAAAAACGGCAAAGATTATAGGTTGGAGTAAGTGGGAAGGAGAAAGATCTAGCAGAGTCGTGCTCGAAAACGGAACCGTTGTTTGGGCAAACCAGAAATTTGAGCTTACGTTATAGGAGCCTTAAATCTGTAGGGCAACATGAGTTTCTGCAACCCAAATACAATGGAACCAAAAAAGCCCAACGTTTCGAGATTTTCCATTTAGACATTTGCAACCTATCTGTATTTCCATACACCAGGAATGGGCTTCACACATTGTGCCCATGTGGGGAATCAAACTCAGGTCTTCGATGTGATGAGCCAACGCTTTAACCATTAGGCTACCCCACCGCCCCATGAACAAGCAAGAGAAATTGAGATACCAGGATTTAGAGATGGATTCGCTTGGAAGAGTGGATTAAAGAAGCCTTAAAATCTGTAGGGCACCATGAGTTTCTGCAACCCAAATGCAATGGAACCAAAAAGCCCAACGTTTTGAGATTTTCCATTTAGACATTTGGTGCCCAAGCAGGTATACAGCAACCTATCTGTATTTCCAGAAAAATGGCAGTCGAAGCAACTTATCAAAATATGGGCTTTGCGAGACAAAAAAAGCGGTGGCATACCACTCCTACTGGAAAATATTGTGGGAAGCAATCTTCTACCGGACATTGCCCGTGTAGACTATCTCGATGGCAATCTCGTCAAAACAAATCTCCAGCCACTGGAAGGTCTACCTACATTTGTGGACGATATCTATGTATTTGGCTATCTTCGACGGAAAAGACTGTGTCTATAGAAAAGGAGATGTGTATTGCACCATCGGAGAAAAAGGAAAGGCATCCGTTTTAGTTGCCAACATAGCGAGTGCAGTACGTGAATCTTTCGAGCTAGAGGAGGGCTACGTGCAAACGAAAATCTTGCATACACTACAATATGCCATAGATGCCCCCTCTGCAATACGGTACACTGTACGAAGAATCGAGAAAGAAACCAATTCTGCGGCTAAGACACAATGGGAATCTCTACCTGGATGACCTGATATTCGGAATAGTCGTGGCAAAAGTGGATGTCTCGGAAATACCCATGGAGCAAATACAAGCCAGTGTTTTCAAATTCGAACGATTCCTATTGGCACATGGCCATGGACTGTATTCTATCGACTATACGAGGGATTTCTCCAGCACCCTAGATAGAAAGAGTCTCATGGAATACCTCCAAAAGAGACACAACCTTCGAAAACAAAGAGATCTTGCAACAGCCATGGACTGCGAGGGCCTACCATTCTAGACAATACGGGTAGTGTAGGCAACCAAGTATGTACTTGGGTTTGGAACCTGGAATGGCTATACCATGCCAACAAAAATCTACATCAAAGTAGTTTCTAAATTCGAAGCCGGAAAACTACGAGAACACATCGGTGGCCATTTAGCCGACTATGCGGACTGTTCCAACGAACATCTCAGAAACCCTTTCTCCATCCAGATGTCCAGAGTAGAGGTTGTACTCGCATAGAGGTTTCTTTGTACACGCACAGGACCAACACAGCACTGGCCGACAATTTGCTAGACGAAGCACTAGAGCTATTCTTGGGAGAAAACCTATTCGTCGTACAACCACCGGCAAAGAGGTGGGAGAATCTATCGAAATGTCTAGACCGTTGCATGGTGCTTGCGGACAGACCCCAGGGGACTATCTTTGTGTGTTGGTATGCGCACATGCAGCACATGTGCACGGGAAGAGTATCCGGAATCCAAGTACAACCCACCAAAGCCAATGTAGAAGACGATGCTCGATGGAACTGTGCCGTAGAATGGGCTACAGCCGATTTTGGATTCCGGGCATGTCCTCTATTTCGAGTTGACATTTTAGCCGCTACACCTACAGGAGTAGAAATAGGACCACTACGATGCTACACAAAAGCTCCCCATACGAGAACTATACTATCTCAAAGTCGTAGGCTGATGCAGCTACATTCCCAAGGTCCAAATCCAGATACGATGCTACCCCCGAACAAACGAGTTGCTTTCAAATGGCGAGAAAGAAAGGCCATAAACGCCATCGGCATAGAAAAATCATTTTTCTAGCAAACGTCTGACAATTCTGGCAAACGTCTGGCAAATCTAGGAAACGTCTGGCAAGTCTAGCAAATTCCCAGTTCTGTGCGGTATTTTCCTGGGTTTGTAGGGAGGATGGGAGAGGATTGGGATTCCCAAATAGACATGTAGGGTGGATGGGATTTCCATATAGACATATAGAAAAGTATGGGATATATATACCCAGGGAAAAAACACCATGCCACCAAAAAGAGATTTGTCCTTCGACAAGATCAACGAAATTCGCGCCCTTTGCGGTGTGCTCCCAGCAGCCAAGGTGAAAAAGAGCTTCGGTATCGGGTCCAAAAGGCTCTACGAGCTATGACAAAAGCCCCCTTGAAAGATTCGCGTACTGCACTCGCTATGTTGGAAACTACAATACAAGGATACAATACACATCTCCTTTTCTATAGACACAGTCTTTTCGTCGAAGATAGCCAAATACATAGATATCGTCCACAAATGAAGGTAGACCTTCCAGTGGTTGGAGATTTGTTTTGACGAGATTGCCATCGAGATAGTCTACACGGGCAATGTCGGGTAGAAGATTGCTTCCCACAATATTTTCCAGTAGGAGTGGTATGCCACCCCTTTTTTTGTCTCGCAATGCCCATATTTATGTTGCTTCGACTGCCATTTTTCTGGAAATACAGATAGGTTGCTGTATACCTGCTTGGGCACCAAATGTCTAAATGGAAAATCTCAAAACGTTGGGCTTTTTGGTTCCATTGCATTTGGGTTGCAGAAACTCATGGTGCCCTACAGATTTTAAGGCTTCTTTATTCCACTCTTCCAAGCGAATCCATCTCTAAATCCTGGTATCTCAATTTCTCTTGCTTGTTCATGGGGCAGTGGGGCAGCCTAATGGTTAAAGCGTTGGCTCGTCACATCGAAGACCTGAGTTTGATTCCCCACATGGGCACAATGTGTGAAGCCCATTCCTGGTGTACCCCGCCGTGATATATTGCTGGAACATTGCTAAAAGCGGCGTGAAACCATATTCACTCACTTCTTGGTGCACAATCATTCAAACAATATGTTTTACTCCCACAGGGGCAATGGATCGTAAAAATTATGACTTATAGGGACCTGGTCCGAAACTATCATTCCCTATACTACTCCTGTATTACTGCTCTTGTTGTCTCTGTCACTGAACCATGCAGTACTGTGAGAATTCAGTTACAGGACATGATTTTGGATTCACACAGTGCAGGGTCATACATAACACATGAATTTCCAGCGTATTTGACTCAACAATTTTGTGAAATGCTAGCCTTTTCATACGGGGTCTTAGTTGATGCAATATTTTTCAAGTAAGTGAATCCAAATAACTCCACTAATTAAAATAACATTGCACCCAATCAGATTACTTAGAACAGTACAGTATATCAAAATGCGCTTTCACAGCCCCTGAATTGTTCATTTCAGTCTTCCTGAAGTTGCACAATTCTGTTTTTGCCTGATTCCTGCTTATTGTATAAAGCAACCAAATGGTCCGACTCGAATGGTCATTGTACCCAGTGTGTGTATCATCGTACTGAGTATCAGTCTCTGTGTAGCCTGGTCCAGACATGATCATGCTCAGGCTGCTGTCCTGTCGGGGGGTTATTGATAAGTGTGAGGGTGAGGAATAGTAATAGCCCATACCTTCTCTAACTTGACACATGTGACTGTTGGACGTATGTGACTTGGATTGTTACCATGGTTACAGACTGAGGTTCTGCAGGAGTCCCGTATGATGATCCCGGACACGAAGAAGAGGCTGAAGACAGCGTACGAAGAGCTGGAGCAGATACTTGTGAGTTCATCCATAACACAGTCATTAAAATTAACATAGAGCTTCTTTATCATGATTATGACTGAGATAGTTATGACATAAGTGGCCCAGTAGCACTAAAATGATGGACCTGGTGTTGAAAATATTTAGCCACAGATTATATATTGATATTATAAACTACAGCATCATGGATCGTACATTGTTGACAAATATAGGGTCATGGCACAGTATTAGTCAGCTACATAGCATTATGGAGCCTTATATAGTTCAGAAATAGCTCCAAGTATTTATTGATGAGAAATATAGTATGATGGAACAGTATTGGTCAGACACAAAGTGTTATGAAGTTCATATTTCGTCAGATGTATACAGTTGCTGTGAGGTTTATTGCAGTAGGTTTATTGCTCATATTGGTCGGATATATTGCATTATGAAGCTCATTTTGTTCAGAAATATAGGGTCATGGACCGCTGTTACTTAGGCCATGGATACATTTTATCCAGAAAGGGAGGGACATGTGTGTTTGAAGGGGTCAATGACCCTGCCCAGATGTATGTAATGCCATTGGCCTCTGCTAACTTTTACCCTCTGGCCACAGTTCTAATGCCAGGTGTTTCCCTGATAGTGATAATTGGTGTAGCAATTAATCATGTGAATTACAGTGTTGCTCACACCTTCAACAACTTGTTTGCCAGATTTAACTATGTGAGTGACTTTAGTTTTAGACCTCTTTTAACAATATCATGGCAGGGGACACCAGAATTGGGGAATCGAACCCTGCTCTTTGCCGTGATGAGCAAACATTTTAACACATGGCTACTTCAGTGATTCAACTATGTTCATTCCATGGGGCAACATTGAAAGATTGAAAATTGGGTTATAATGAGATTCCACGTGAAAAGAATTGCAAAATGAGATTTTGTTTTGTCCAGCTTAGATCTAACTCCAACTTTTCAGATTCTTGATTATCATGTTTAACAAGGAGACTTTTTGTTTTTCTTTGCAGCAAAAAGAGAGTGATTTATCAGAAAGAGAGGAATTTGGACAAGCCAAGGAGATTTTGGAAGCAGCAAAGACAGCTCTTGCATAGTGTTGTCCTTCAAATGTCTCTTATTCAGAAGTTTCACTCTATGAATGCATGCTGTTATTTGTATGAACAGATGATAAAACCTGTTACAAATTGGCATTGTTACTGTCTTACACATCTAATGTCTCAATATTGTTAAGGGTCAAGGACATTGTATTTACATATGACATTTGGTGTGTATCAAAACTCATTATCAGGTTCTGAAGAGCAAGTAATTATATAATTATCCATGGGAGAGAACTCTTCAGAGGCTTGACTTTAATACTGTTTCCGTTCAGTGATGGAATGATTGAAACACTGTGGTCCCTCTACCAGAGAGAAATTATTATTTAACCAAGGGATTTTTCAGATTGAGGCAGATTAAGGACTGAAAAAGAAATCACAAATTTCAAATCAACAAAATTAGAAAAGTTTTAAAATATGTTTTGCAGATTGTTTTCCTGCCAGACAATCATTACAACACAGAGGAAAACTCAAAGATAAAACTGTAACAGAACCTGTTTTGAGTAATTCTGTTGGCCTAAGAACTAATCTTTCAAGATATATGTGGCTAAAAAATCGATTGTTTTCATTTGTTTTGTCATAATTCCAGCTGTTTCAGTATATTCTGAAACTGCTATGAATGCCAACCTGATGGGTTATATGTTTGACACTGAGGGCTAAACCACATTCATGGAGGATAATAACTGTATCCTCTGTATGCTTGTGTACTTGTTCTTATGGAAAATGGGGGTCTGAAAGTATCAAATCAAAATCTCTGCCCAAGTGATACAGCACTTAATCCCCCTGCTGCCTTTAATCTACCCTGTGATGCTATAACAAGAACACATGTTGTGTCAGATAACATGTTTACATCATCTCATGTTGGAGTCTCAAACAGAACAGATTTCCTCTATACATGGCATTTACACTGGGTTGCTGGGAGGTTATTCACACGTCAGAGTTGACACCACAACTTAAATTCTTAAAACAAGACAAGAATAAAGAGGTTCTTTGTAAGAAAAGTTATTTTAAGGTTATTTTCATCTGTTAGAGAAATTGTTACTTGAGTCAGTTGAACATGTGAAAGGTTATATTGGTTGGGAGGTGGTGTTTAAATCCACCATGCTCAAGTGTGTTCTGAATGATTCTGTTCCTCATACTTGAAGCACCCACTGCCCTGTGGTGGATCATTACTACTGACTCCTGGTTTGCCTGGTCAAAACTTGTATTGCTGCATAATGCCAGCTGACTTTGGGCATTATAACAGGAACAGTCACGAGGCAGTAGTACCATACTCAGTCTTAGAGAGATAGGAGTCAGGAGTAGAGAGGGAGTAATCCATCTGCCTGATTAAGAACGACAGGTACCTTTTATTTGTCTGATGTTGGGACCCCAGAACCAACTAGATTCCTAGAACCCCCATTCCCAGTTGTGACCTTAAATGATTTAGCTGTGGTACAGAGGTACAGGACCTAAATGAGCTGTTATACTGTCTTTGGTTTCGACAGTAACAAGTTAGAGTAATAAATAATTTGTGTATGCTCTCTGAAAATAAAGTCCACAGAATGTTTTTTGTCATTAATCTTACCCTTTCAGACTTGTGTCCCTCAATCATTGTGTGCAATTTGACTTATTTCTGTCTATGTCATTTTGAACCTGCTTCATGGCCTTATTATTGAGAATGTCTTAATTTCCAATCTGTAGGTGTTCTCTCGTAATGGCAATATTTAGCATGTGGGTGATGCAGGAGAAGAAGTTTCATATCGCCAACATTTAAGCTATTACTCATTGAACTTTGGGGGACAGACAATTAGGCAAGTCAGATATTGATCATCATCATTGTTTGGCCTCTAGGTAGCCACATTGTGTGGAAGTTCTCTCAACTCAGTGAGATGTGTCTGCTAAAGTGCCCTTGATGCTGATTCCGAGTCCCTATGATAACAACCCACCTTCCGGTGAGCATCATGATGTCAATGTCAACCCAGGTATGATCATGTCAGTATGTGTTCCTTTTTGCTTAAAATGTATGACAAATTTCATGAATAAACTTTTATTTAAGTGAATGTGTTTTGTGCTCACATTTTACACATCACAGCCTCTGAATTGACTGTATGTAGACAGTGTGAAACGTTTTACATGTCACACCTCTGATTTTACTGTATGTACCGTAGACAGTGTGAAACATTTTACACATCACAGCCTCTGGTTTTACTGTATGTAGACAGTGTGAAACGTTTTACATGTCACACCTCTGATTTTACTGTATGTACCGTAGACAGTGTGAAACATTTTACACATCACAGCCTCTGGTTTTACTGTATGTAGACAGTGTGAACCATTTTGCATATCACAGCCTCTGGTTTTACTGTATGTAGACAGTGTGAACCATTTTACATATCACAGCCTCTGGTTTTACTGTATGTAGACAGTGTGAACCATTTTGCATATCACAGCCTCTGGTTTTACTGTATGTAGACAGTGTGAACCATTTTGCATATCACAGCCTCTGGGTTTACTGTATGTAGACAGTGTGAAATTTTGCATATCATTTGGGTTTACTGTATGTAGATGTGAAACATTTTACATATGAGCCTCTGATTTTACTGTATGTAGACAGTGTGAAATGTTTGTCTGAAAAGCATTTTGTTTTTCACAATATGTCATGACATATGATTTGCTTGCAAATGTGTCCAACTATGGTGAATCCTTTGTCAGTCTCTTTTTCTTGAATCTCTGGTCCGTGGCTACACTCTGATGGGGACATTCATGCTCCTGAGTTAGACTCCTTAAAGTTTGACTAGGATTATCATAATATGTGCTGTGTATATTTGAATATATTTGACTCATCTGAACATCCGTGTGGAAAGTTCAGTAGTATATTCTAATCCAGATGGTTTCGTTAGGTATTGTTTGTATTAACAGGAGTTTGCTGCTTCATTAAGATTGATAGATACCTGAAATGATGTCACTATAACTGTTAAAACGGAACACTCCTGAAAGAACTGAATTGATGAACCTCCAGCTTTAAGGATTTCCATCTGTATGACCCAGGTGTTTGTATTACAATCAGCGTTTTGGGCTCTTCTCATGGGTAGTCGGGGCGGTGGGATAGCCTAGGGGTTAAAGCGTTGGCTCGTCATGCCGAAGACCCTAGTTCGAATCCGCACATGGGTACAATGTGTGAAGCCCATTTCTGGTGTCCCCCGCCGTGATGTTGCTGGAATATTGCTAAAAGCGGCGTAAAACCAAACTCAGTCAGTCAGCAATGGGTAGTCTTGTGAAGTTTTGTTTTGGCCTCTTTGCCAAAGCAAAAGTTTTCCCCATTAAGTTGCAAGCTCGATAGAGCTGAGTTTTGTGCTACTTTCTTGATGATATCATACTTTTTTGTCCAGACTCTTCTTGTTTTGGAAAAGAGATGCTATTTTAAACCTTCCTACCCAGATCGTATCCAGTCAAACTATACAATAGCTGGAAACAGTCATAAGTAATCGCCAACATTACACAGTACGGCAGACCAGGGCTCTGTTTTCTCAGATCGTATGAATCTGTGTCAATTAGAGGCCCATGTATATTGGATGCATCCCTTCCAGTGGAGGAGTAGGGTAGGTATAGCCAGACTTCCAGGAACTATCAAACTTCTCCGACAATCAGACTGAAATATGTAAATGAGACACTCTTCCTGTTAACACTACAGCCCACGATATTTTACGAGCGTTTCAGTTATACTGCTACCACTTGCAATCAATTTCTATGACAGATAACAATATTTATATCTGACGACCTAAACCATTAGACTATCATCAGTTTGGCCTTATGGTTGAACTTTTGACATCCTAACATATGGACAGTCCCAAACGTTACACCAGGCAGTATTCGGTGAATATCTTTTTCCAGCGATTCGTCGTCCGAGTTTTAAAGATGACGTAATACCGATTATATCTCATGTGGCACCCAGAGAATCTGCTTTTCCAAGTGTTTATGGAAAAACCTGTGGTTTAGTTAGTCGGGATATGAGGACCTACATAATCTGAAATCGATCATGTGTGATATATATGCAAAGTCTCACAAGCAATGGTTAAAACCTTTTTGCACAGTTCAACAATCATTTGATTGTATTTCGGAACTGTTGCCATGGAAAAGCAAAAATTGGTTTGTTTTAACTATTTCTGTAAAACAACGGTCATCAGTTGTTTTCATGCATAGTATTGCATAATTTCGAACGGTTTAAGTATTTTGCCGTTGAACCCAACATTCAGTTCCACATGAATCGGCTTCCTTTCGTCCCTGTCTTTTCTGTCTGGTATCTTGGAAGAGACATGGAGACAGCAAAGTGTAGAAAGGTGTATGTAACAGAAACACAGTAAAAGTAGATCAAATGGATAGAAGAAATGGGTGAACGTATGTGGCTTCTATATCGTCGTTTGTCCATCAGAACGGTTCGATCGCCTGAACCGGCATGGCATAGAACCAGACGACCAAACACATCGTTGTCCACAAAGCAGTGGAGCAAGTACCGTTTGACGTGGGTTCCTTGATGGTGTAGCAGTGCCTCCCACATGCCTGTAAACCTGGCCTTGTGACGATCAGACAAAATCTAAATGGACAACGGTACATCACTGACATCCTAGAAACGGTTGTTGTGCCACATTTCGATGGCATGCCCTGATCACAAGGCCAGTCTTCATGGGCGACAATAGTTGTCTGCAGCAAGTACGCACCGTTGATGATCTCTTACGTCAAGAGGCGGTAGCAACTCCACTTAAGCCCACCGTCAGCCCAGATCTTAACCCCATAGAGCTATGGCATGCTTCGGACATTATGTGTCGCATAATACGCCAGAGAGAGCCTTCAGCACAAAATCTTGATGTATCGGAAGAAGCCCTGCAAAATAACGCAATACCTCAACGTCTGATACAGCCAATGAGGAGGGTCAGGGATGTTATTGCAGTTGTTGAAGTTTACAATTGATATTGACATTGCGCGCGCTTATTGATACCAGGGAGACTATATATTATCCCTGTTGATACTTATGTGATTTCTTAAGCACTGGTTTATAAACCTAAATGTTTTAAATGACCACTTGTTAACTTCATACGACCACGTGTATCAACACAACAAAATGAGATTTACATGTTTACATTTTTTGCGTTTAGATTCTCCCCAAGGGTCGGTTTATCCAGATAGTAAGTTAAATTGAGGTTTTGATACGTTCTTTTACAGTGCTTAATAGTAATAAATTTATCCTATGGAAAAACATTATGGGGTGTAGCGATACATTTTTTCATGTATATAGATTATGGACTGAATATTCAATTAATCGGATTATATTATTCCGGACATTTCGGTCATTGTTATTCCAAGACAAGACTATAGTTTATCTGTGTATCTGGCTGTCTACTGCATTCATTGACAAACAAAATAAATTCTAACCAAACTGAATTATTCAAAATATGTCATGGACTATGTTTTTGGAAATACATTTCTAGTTATAAAGTGCCAGCTTATTCAGTTCCAAAACCGAAAGCGCCGGATCTCCCTGTCCTTTGTTTTAATGACCACAAAAGGTCACATAGGAAACTCATCATACAATCTAAATGCCGCTGTGTCAAGTACCGTAGTTCCATGTCCTTCCTTAAATTTAATCTACACAAGGAAACTGTTTGTGAGATGGCGGTTTCCTTGTCAATATATTTTCGTAACCTTACGATGTCATTTTCATGCATTAAAACACAACGGGTCGGACATTTTAGGGTGAATCTCAGCTGAAGTGAACCTTATTAAACCGAATGAGCCACGCAATCGCCTGAGTACTTCCTTTTTAACAGCTAGCCATTTTTAATAAAACGAGAAAATATGTGTTCATGATAAAATAAAGAATTTGAAGAGATAAAGTTACAATTTGGTGGGTCTAGCCATTTTTAATAAAACGAGAAAATATGTGTTCATGATAAAATAAAGAATTTGAAGAGATGAAGTTACAATTTGGTGGGTCGTTGTAGAAGGTGAATCAAATGAAAATACATTATGTAACATTTAGTCATTGTAAAGTCTCTGGTCACGCACGACACTGAGACAAATATATCATTGAATTGACACGTCTCATTGATTCACTCATTCATGTTCCGTTAACAGTTACAAGTACCACTTGAATTTATCAGTTGTATAAGGAAATAACTTTGGCACAGAGAAACGTTTCCTTATTCAGCACTGTTGTCAACCCAGAGGGCCTCGATGCTGTCTCTGTTGGTCGGTACTGTCAGCGGCCTTGTGTAAGACAGACCAGTAACTGTTGTTAACCCAGAGGGCCACGATGCTGTCTCTGCTGGTCGGACCTGTCAGCGTCCTTGCTGTCCTTGTCTCCAGAACCGACGCAAGCAAGGGTACGTTGATATCGATATTGGATTGTATTTACTTTCCTGGAGCTGTGAGGGATATGGCATTGAATGCCGTCGTGTTCTGTTTTGTCTAGAGACAGAAATACGCTGGCATCATATGTAGATATAATACGTTATAATTATGCCCGTGTAGACATTCGTATTATATATTGAGTATTACAGATAAAATTAATCAGTCTATCAACCACTACAACCTTCATGTTGGAACATAGAAGGTCTTAAAGGAAAACTACAGTTACCCTCATTTAAATAGTTTGTGTCTAAGTATGGTATTTTAGGATTTGTAGAAACATGGGCATGTGAAAGTGATGTGTTTTCAGGATATATACTAATTTGAATCCAGAATAAGAACTCTATTAGAAATTCGGGTGGCTTGCTGTTTCTGCTCAAGACGATATTTCAAATATGTTTAGTTCGCTTTATTCTGACTCTGAAAATAGTTTGTGGCTGAAAACAAACAATCCCGAAATTGACAATAATGTGTTGATAATTGGTCTGGTATACTTCTCTCCACCACATTTTAGTATCCACTCATCAGAAGCACTGTTTGACATTCTAGAAAACGAGATAATAAACTTCAAATCTGATTATCCTGATTGCCATATCATCATTATGGGTGATCTCAATGCTCGTACAAACTCTTCTCCTGACTACATAGTCAACGATGACGTCAAACACCTGCCTATCGACGACGACATGGACTACACTCAAGATGACGCTGTGTTACCCTCTCCTCCAGAGACCCTGTCATTAACAAAAGAAGTAATGAATTACTGGACTTTTGTAACCTGTCAGGCCTCAGGATCTGTAACGGAAGAATCGGAGCAGACGCTGGAATTGGTAAAATTACTTGCCTTGCAAATGACGGACAAAGCGTCGTAGACCATGTGTTAGCTTCACAACATACATTCTTTCTATTCAAGGAATTTGCCATTGCCGACCAAATAGAATCTACTCACTTGCCAATATCATTTTCGTTATCAATACCATGCCATAACTCCTCAGAAGAAACTGCTACATTATTACCTAAATGCAGACTGTACTGGAAAGATGAAATCAAGGAAGATTTACAAGCAGAGATGGTACGTTGAATCACAAGAAAACAGGCAAGAGTTCGATGATATTCTATCATCTCGAAATGTAAACACTGATGTCTCTGTGTTAACAAACATCATGAAAACATGTGCGCTTGGCTGTGGCAAGTCTCCTCCTGTCGCTGCTAACAGTCGGGATAAGAAGGGAGGTAACTGGTACGACGCTGAATGTGAGAGAGCACGTGCAACAGCGCGAGGGAGGCTGCGCGTGTTTCACGCCTCGAACAGTAGTGCTGACAGACAGGTGTACATTGCAGCCTGGAGACACTATAAACTGTTATGTAAACGGAAAGCCCAAGCTTTCTCAAACTCTTTCATGGAAACACTCTGTGAATCGTTAAAGCAACATGACAGTAGAACATTCTGGTCTCTTGTATCAAGAAAATCAATGACTTTTTCCAAAAATATAAGCTTAAATGACTGGATTAACCACTTTAAAGGTGTGTTTCATGAAAGCAAAAACTGTGTAAACTTTATTGAATTTTATAAATTCGTCGATGGCTTTGTTGATTCAATTGACGAGGATTTTATCAACATGACAGCTGATGGCGATGATGAACTTGATAGGACTATCACTTTAGATGAAGTGTTGTCTGCCATTGACTCAATGAAGTCTTGTAAAGCACCAGGATTTAATGGTATTCCCATAGAATGTTTTAAACATGCCCCATTAGAATGTACTGTCATGTTACTAAAGTTATATAATGTAATATTATCCACCGGTATTTACCCTGAACAATGGACTTCTGGGGTTATTCTTCCTGTTTACTAGAAGGGCAGTGTAAATGAAGCTAGTAACTACAGGCCTATTACTCTTTTTTGATGTGGCGGGTAAAATTTTCGCATAAATAATATGCAATAGGCTCTTAGTGTGGTCTACGGAGGAGAATGTTATTGTCAAAGAACAGGCAGGTTTCCGTAAAGGCTTTCAAACAACTGATAATATGTTCATTATTGATACTCTCATTCAGAAATATTTGTCGCAGAAGCGTGGTAGATTTTATTGTGCCTTTATTGATTTATGAGCTGCCTTTGATTCAGTCTATCGTAAAGGTTTATTATTTAAGCTCTGGAATTGTGGTGTTAAAGGAAAGGTATTTAGAATTATTAGAAATATTGATCAAAGTGTCCAGTCATGTATATCTCTTCCTTGTGGTTACTCCAGCTTTTTCCAGTGTAGTAGGGAGTAAGACAGGGCTGTCAGATGTCCCCGATGCTGTTTCCTCTTTTCATCAATGATCTTGTCGAGCATATGTCTTATGAGGGACAACATGGTGTAACTTTGGCATTCTGGGAAATATTTATTCTTCTGTTTGCTGACGAGATTGCAGTTATGGATATAAGTGTTGTTGGTTTGCAGAAAAGATTAAATTTACTATCAGAATATTGTGATAAATGGAAACTAGCAATCAATACTGCTAAAAGTAAAGTTATGGTCTTCCGTAACGGCGGTAGATTACGCTCATGTGAAAAGTTTTGGTTGAGTGGCTCCAAAATGGAAGTGGTTGGATGTTATAAATATTTAGGTGTCCAGTTGTCATCGTCAGGGTCTTGGTTTTTAACCCAGAAAACTCTGGCCCAACAGGCTTGGAAGGTATTGCAGTTGCTAATGTCAAAATTAGGTAAATTCTCTTTCTTCCGCATGACGTTGCTGAGCATATTTTCGATACTAAAGTTCTTCCTAGTCTTACTTATGGTTCCGAAGTTTGGGGATTTCACTCATCGCCTGATATTGAAGGTATTCATGATAAATTAATGTTATCGTTAAATAGAGGTACTCCAATGTTGTAAGCTCGTGGTATTTTAGGTAGACCTAATGTTAAAGGTTTTCACTATGTCAAAATAATCAAATTTTGGTATCTCGTTATTGTCGCAAGCCGACAATGTGATTTTGAAGCACTCCTATAATTTTCAGTATCGAAAAGCTGAAAACGGCAAGTCTTGTTGGGCATTAAACGTTAAATCATTATTATTCAGTTATGGTTTTGGTGAAGTTTGGCTACAACAAGGTGTAGGAAATAGTGTTTTATTTATCTCTCAGTTTAAGGAAAGGTGTATTGATATAGCAGAAATGGTTTCGCGAAGTTCGATTTCTACAGAACTCTTAATAATCAGTTTAGCTACTCAAATATACTCGAAACTGTAACAGTTAAAGTTTACATTGCAAATTTCATCAGATTTATTTGTTCAAATCATGAGTTCGAGGTGGAATATTCCCAGATCAGAAAGATTATGTCCATTCTGTATTGTCCCAAACATTGAATCCGAGTACCATTTTTGTTTAAAGTGCCCCTTTTATCATAATCTAAGATATACACTTCTTCCAAAATACTATTGGGAATATCCAACTTCGGATAAGATGCCAGCAGTATTTCTCTCAAAAGGTGTGATCTTGAGAAATCTCTGTAAATTTCTTTTTTCAGCAGCCAAGAAAAGACGAATGTTCTTTGAAGATGTCCCTCTTAGATAAACAATTTCAATGCATTTATTTTGTAAAAGCTGTTACTCATGTATAAATACATCTATTATAATTGCGAGCCATCATTTCAAGCTCTCTGTATACAACAAATATATGTACCACAATATCTGTATCATGGGCCTAAATAAACACACACTGGCACTGACTACAAGCATAGGGTACTGGGATGACAAACATAAGGGCTAGAGAAGACAAGCAAAAGGTACTGGGGAAAGACATGGGGTACTAGGGACCACAAGTATGGGGAACTGGAGACGACAAGCAAGCACGGGGTACTGTTCATCATTTCCGGAATAAGGAAATAAAGAAAAGAGTGAAGTTTATCTGAATTCCCATGCGTTTGTCAATGCTGAGTACAGGTAATGAAAGCAGGTAAATCAGGTAAAATACGAACCTCACTTAGTTGTTGATGTCTGTTAAGATAAAACAAGTTGGCTTCCACGTCGTATGTTGGATTACACAATGTGATGTGGAATATGATCATTATGATAAGTTCGTCGGTGTAGGCAACCTGTTGGGGTCGTTACTGGAATCTTACCAGAGGGAAGTCAGTCCGCGGCCTGGGAACAACCAGAGTGTGGAGGTGACTCTGGATCTGGCGATCAGGCAAGTTGTTGATCTGGTAAGAAGATGTCTTCAGAAAACTTCATGACAAAAACACTTTGAAACTTATGTAAGTCGTAGCATTCGTTAGGAAAACGGAACCTCAAGTACCCAAAGAAATTGAAACAATACTGTGTATAGTGTCGTCGCCTGAAGATAGGTTGGTACGATAATGAGATACTAGGGTGGCAGGGTAACGAGACACTAGGGTGGCGGGGTAATGAGACGCTAGGGTGGCGGGATAACGGGATACTAGGGTGGCAGGATAACAGGATACTATGGTGGCAGGATAACGAGATACTAGGGTGGCGGGATAACGAGATACTAGGGCGGCGGGATAACGAGATACTAGGGTGGCAGGATAACGAGATACTAGGGTGGCAGGATAACGAGATACTAGGGTGGCAGGATAACGAGATACTAGGGTGGCATAACGAGACTATAATAACGAGATACTAGGGTGGCAGGATATAACGAGGATACTAGGGTTGCAGGAGGATAACGAGATACTAGGGTGGCAGGGATAACGAGATACTAGGGTGGCAGTATAACGAGATACTAGGGTGGCGGGATAACGAGATACTAGGGTGGCAGGGATAACGAGATACTAGGGTGGCAGTATAACGAGATACTAGGGTGGCAGGATAACGAGATACTAGGGTGGCAGGATAACGAGATATAACGAGATACTAGGGTTGCAGGATAACGAGATACTAGGGTGGCAGGGTATAACGAGATACTAGGGTGGCAGTATAACGAGATACTAGGGTGGCAGGATAACGGGATACTAGGGCGGCAGGATAACGAGATACTAGGGTGGCAGTATAACGAGATACTAGGGTGGCAGTATAACGAGATACTAGGGTGGCAGTATAACGAGATACTAGGGTGGCAGTATAACGAGATAACGAGATACTAGGGTGGCAGTATAACGAGATACTAGGGTGGCAGTATAACGAGATACTAGGGTGGCAGGATAACGAGATACTAGGGTGGCAGTATAACGAGATACTAGGGTGGCAGTATAACGAGATACTAGGGTGGCAGTATAACGAGATACTAGGGTGGCAGGATAACGAGATACTAGGGTGGCGAGGATAACGAGATACTAGGGTGGCGGGATAACGAGATACTAGGGTGGCAGTATAACGAGATACTAGGGTGGCAGTATAACGAGATACTAGGGTGGCAGGGTAACGAGATACTAGGGTGGCAGTATAACGAGATACTAGGGTGGCGGGGTAACGAGATACTAGGGTGGCAGTATAACGAGATACTAGGGTGGCAGTATAACGAGATACTAGGGTGGCAGGATAACGAGATACTAGGGTGGCAGGATAACGAGATACTAGGGTGGCAGGATAACGAGATACTAGGGTGGCAGTATAACGAGATACTAGGGTGGCAGGATAACGAGATACTAGGGTGGCGGGGTAACGAGATACTAGGGTGGCAGTATAACGAGATACTAGGGTTGCGGGGTAACGAGATACTAGGGTGGCAGGGATAACGAGATCCTAGGGTAGCAGGATAACGAGATACTAGGGTGGCGGGATAACGAGATACTAGGGTGGAGGGAGATACAGGATAACGAGATACTAGGGTGGCGGGATAACGAGATCCTAGAGTAGCAGGATAACGAGATACTAGGGTGGCGGGATAACGAGATACTAGGGTGGCGGGGTAACGAGATACTAGGGTGGCGGGATAACGACATACTAGGGTGGCAAGGCTATGAGGTGGTAGGGTGTCTAGCAGTGTAGTGAGGTGGTGTGATATTGAGGTGTGGGGGACGTGTCTTGATTGGCCGGGTTGTCGGGACAGCGAAGTGAAATGGTGGGTCTCATGGATGGTGGTGTGAAGCAGGACGATGGGTTTGCTTGGTGGCAGAGCGTTGATGTTGTCCTGTACCGATCTTTTCTATACAAATTCTGTATTTCTAGGCCCAGACAAAGCAGATTCTGAGAACCAACCTGTGGATACGCCTGGTAAGATATTTGTTTTCTGCACGAATATACTGATATTGAGTTGCACTGCGCTTCACCCGAAAACGATAATCGTTCAAAGTACATGTTAGATATCCAGGGGGAATGAGGGCTGTGTGTCCGATCACATTCCATGATTTCTCCAAAAGCGGATTTCTTAAGATTCTAGTAGCAATATGATATGTTTTGCAGAACTGGACTGATCATAGACTTCAGTGGAACCCATCGCGTTTCGATGGAACTGACGCCATCTATGTCCCTCAGGACACTATCTGGACTCCCGACCTCACCCTTTACGATGAGTAAGTGAATTAAATGACTGGTAGTAGTTATTGCATACTTACAAAATGACGTGATCTCAGTATTTCGTAGTACTCTTCGCTAGAACCCCATGCTTCCCATCCCTAGTATCATATGTATCAGTATCCATGCTTGTGCCACCTGTACCCTCATGCTTGTCGTCTCCAGTACCCATGCTTGTCGTCTCCAGTACCCATGCTTGTCATCTCCAGTACCCATGCTTGTCGTCTCCAGTACCCATGCTTGTCGTCTCCAGTACCCATGCTTGTCGTCTCCAGTACCTATGCTTGTCGTCTCCAGTACCCATGCTTGTCGTCTCCAGTACCTATGCTTGTCGTCTCCAGTACCCATGCTTGTCATCTCCAGTACCCATGCTTGTCGTCTCCAGTACCCATGCTTGTCATCTCCAGTACCCATGCTTGTCGTCTCCAGTACCCATGCTTGTCGTCTCCAGTACCCATGCTTGTCATCTCCAGTACCCATGCTTGTCATCTCCAGTACCCATGCTTGTCGTCTCCAGTACCCATGCTTGTCGTCTCCATGCTTGTCGTCTCCAGTACCCATGCTTGTCGTCTCCAGTACCCATGCTTGTCGTCTCCAGTACCCATGCTTGTCGTCTCCAGTACCCATGCTTGTCATCTCCAGTACCCATGCTTGTCGTCTCCAGTACCCATGCTTGTCGTCTCCAGTACCCATGCTTGTCATCTCCAGTACCCATGCTTGTCATCTCCAGTACCCATGCTTGTCGTCTCCAGTACCCATGCTTGTCCTCCAGTATGCTTGTCTCCAGTACCCATGCTTGTCGTCTCCAGTACCCATGCTTGTCGTCTCCAGTACCCATGCTTGTCGTCTCCAGTCCCATGCTTGTCGTCTCCAGTACCCATCTCCAGCCCATGCTTGTCATCTCCAGTACCCATGCTTGTCGTCTCCAGTACCCATGCTTGTCGTCTCCATTACCCATGCTTGTCATCTCCAGTACCCATGCTTGTCGTCTCCAGTACCCATGCTTGTCATCTCCAGTACCCATGCTTGTCGTCTCCATGTATCCAGTACCCCATGCTTGTCATCTCCAGTACCCATGCTTGTCGTCTCCAGTACCTGATGCTTGTCGTCTCCAGTACCCATGCTTGTCATCTCCAGTACCCATGCTTGTCATCTCCAGTACCCATGCTTGTCGTCTCCAGTACCTATGCTTGTCATCTCCAGTACCCATGGTTGTCGTCTCCAGTACCCATGCTTGTCGTCTCCAGTACCCATGCTTGTCATATCCAGTACCCATGCTTGTCGTCTCCAGTACCCTTGCATCTCCAGTACCTCCATGCTTGTCGTCTCCAGTACCCATGCTTGTCGTCTCCAGTACCCATGCTTGTCGTCTCCAGTACCCATGCTTGTCGTCTCCAGTACCCATGCTTGTCGTCTCCAGTACCCATGCTTGTCATCTCCAGTACCCATGCTTGTCGTCTCCAGTACCCATGCTTGTCATCTCCAGTACCCATGCTTGTCGTCTCCATGCTTGTCGTCTCCAGTACCCATGCTTGTCGTCTCCAGTACCCATGCTTGTCATATCCAGTACCCATGCTTGTCGTCTCCAGTACCCATGCTTGTCATCTCCAGTACCCATGCTTGTCATCTCCAGTACCCATGCTTGTCATCCTCCAGTACCCATGCTTGTCATCTCCAGTACCCATCTCCATGCTTGTCATCTCCATTACCCATGCTTGTCATCCCTCCATACCCATGCTTCTGTCCATCCATTCCCTTCCTTGTCCTCTCCAGTACCCATGCTTGTCCTTATCTCCATGTACTCCATGTCCTCCATGTCGTCTCCAGTTCCCATTCCTTCCTTCCATGTCCATCTCCATTATCTCCATGCTTGTCCCTCCATCCTCCAGTACCCATCCATTGTTGTCATCTCCATTCCTCCATCCATTCCACTGTTTGTCATCTCCAGTCCATGCTTGTCCTCCATCTCCATGCCCCATCTCCATGCTTGTCATCCTCCATTCCCCATGGTTGTCATCCTCCATTACCCATGCTTGTCATCCCATTACCTATGTCTGTCTCCATTCCAGTACCCATGCTTCATGTCCATACTGTCCTTCCATGCTTGTCATGTCCAGTCGTCCATTCCTGTCATGTCCATCTCCATGCTTTCCTTCGTCTCCAGTACACCATGCTTGTCGTCTCCAGTACCCATGCTTTCTGTCATCTCCAGTCCCTTATGCCATGTCATCTCCATGTCCCTTGCTTGTCTCCCATGCTCCATGTACCCATCTCCATTCACATCCATTCACCCATTCCATGCCATTCCTTCCATTATCCATGCTTGTTGTCTCCAGTACCCATGCTTGTCATCTCCAGTACCCATGCTTTTATCATCTCCATGTTCCTTGCATGTCCTCCATTTCTTGTCATCCTCCATTACCTATGCTCCATCTCCATCTCCATGCCTGTCCATCTCCAGTACCCATGCCTTCCATTCCATGCCTTCTCCATGCCTTCGTCTCCACCGTCTCCATCTCCATTCGTCTCCAGTACCCATTTTCTTGTCGTCTCCATGCTACCCATTCCATTCCATTGTCCATCTCCATGCTCCATGTCATCCATTATTCTTGTCATCTCCAGTACCCATGCTTCATCTCCAGTACCCATGTTCATCTCCAGTACCCATGCTTCCGTCCATGCCTTGCTTGTCGTCTCCATTACCCATGCTTGTCATCTCCATTACCCATTCTTGTCATCTCCAGTCCTGTCATCCTCCAGTCCCATGTCCATCCAGTACCTCCATGCTTGTCATCCTCCAGTACCTTGCTTGTCCCATCTCCATTACCTATGCTTGTCATCTCCAGTACCCATGCTTGTCATCTCCATTTCCTATATGCATTGTCATATCCATTAGCCATGCCTTCCTTGTCCATCTCCATGCCTGTCATCCTTGTCATCTCCATTACCACATGCCTGTCTCCATCCTGCTTGTCAAGTCTCCATACCTGTCCTTCATTTCCATCCCATGCTTGTCCTCCGTCTCCATGCTTGTCATCTCCAGTACCCATGCTTGTCCTATCCATTACCTGATGCTTGTCGTCTCCAGTACCCATCCATTCTTGTCGTGTCCTCCAGTATTTTCCATGCCATGCTCCATGTAACCTATGCTTGTCATCTCCATTACCCATGCTTGTCATCCGGCACCCATGCTTGTCGTCTCCAGTACCCATGCTTGTCATCCTCCTCTTACCCATGCTTGGTATCTCCAGTACCCATGCCATTCATCTCCATCTCCTCATGCATGTTCATGTCCAGTACCCATGGTTGTCGTCTCCAGTACCCATGCTTGTCATCTCTTGTCTTCCAGTCTCCATTCCGACCCATGCTTGTCTCCCGGTGCGTTTGTCCTCCAGTACCCATGCTTGTCATCTCCAGTACCTTATGCCATGCATCTCCAGTACCCATGCTTGTCATCTCCAGTACCCATGCTTGTCATCTCCCCAGTACCTCATGCTTGTCTTCTCCAGTACCCATGCTTGTCATCTCCAGAGCACCCATTCTTGTCATCTCCAGTACCCATGCTTTGTACCCATTATGCTTGTGTCCAGAGCACTCCATGCTTGTCTCCATGCCCATTACGATGCTTGTCAACATGCCTATGTCTCCAGTCTCCAGTACCTCATGCTGTGTCAGTAATTTGCTTAAGCCATCCTCCATTACATGCTTGTCATCTCCAGTATTCATGCTTGTACCCATGCTTGTCATCTCCAGTACCCATGCGTCTGTCATCTCCAGTACCCATGTTTGTCATCTCCGGTACCCATGCTTGTCGTCTCCAGTACCCATGCTTGTCATCTCCAGTACCCATGCTTGTCATCTCCGGTACCCATGCTTGTCATCTCCAGTACCCATGCTACCATGCTTGTCATCTCCAGTACCCATGCTTGTCGTCTCCAGTACCCATGCTTGTCATCTCCAGTTGTCGCCCCCAGTACCTGCTTGTCGTCTCCAGTCTCCATGTACCTATTTGTCGTCTCCAGTGCCATGCTTCGTACCTGATGTCCAGTACCTCCATGCTTGTCGTCTCCATGTACCCATTCTTGTCATCTCCCAGTACCATGCTTGTCGTCTCCATTACCCATGCTTGTCATCTCCAGTACCCATGCTTGTCGTCTCCAGTACCCATGCTTGTCTTCTCCAGTACCCATGCTTGTCATCTCCAGTACCCCATGCTTGTGTCCAGTACCTATGCAAGTCATCCTGTGCTCATGCTTGTCATCCAGTACCCATGCTTGTCATCTCCAGTACCATGCTTGTCGTCTCCAGTACCCATGCTTGTCATCTCCCCATGCTTGTACCCATACCTTGCTTGTCATCTCCAGTACCATGCTTGTCTCCCAGTACCCATGCTTGTCGTCTCCAGTGTCATGCTTGTCGTCTCCAGTACCCATGCTTGTCGTCTCCAGTACCCATGCTTGTCATCTCCAGTACCCATGCTTGTCATCTCCAGTACCCATGCTTGTCATCTCCAGTACCCATGCTTGTCATCTCCAGTACCCATGCTTGTCGTCTCCAGTACCCATGCTTGTCATCTCCAGTACCTATGCTTGTCGTCTCCAGTACCTATGCTTGTCGTCTCCAGTACCCATGCTTGTCGTCTCCAGTACCCATGCTTGTACCATGCTTGTCTCTCAGTACCCATGCTTGTCGTCTCCAGTACCTATGCTTGTCGTCTCCAGTACCCATGCTTGTCATCTCCAGTACCCATGCTTGTCATATCCAGTACCTATGCTTGTTGTCTCCAGTACCCATGCTTGTCGTCTCCAGTACCCATGCTTGTCGTCTCCAGTACCCATGCTTGTCGTCTCCAGTACCCATGCTTGTCGTCTCCAGTACCCATGCTTGTCATCTCCAGTACCCATGCTTGTCATCTCCATTTCCCATGCTTGTCATATCCAGTACCCATGGTTGTCGTCTCCAGTACCCATGCTTGTCGTCTCCAGTACCCATGCTTGTCATCTCCAGTACCCATGCTTGTCATATCCAGTACCCATGCTTGTCGTCCCAAGTACCTGATGCTTGTCGTCTCCAGTACCCATGCTTGTCGTCTCCAGTACCCATGCTTGTCATATCCAGTACCCATGCTTGTCGTCTCCAGTACCCATGCTTGTCATATCCAGTACCCATGGTTGTCGTCTCCAGTACCCATGCTTGTCGTCTCCAGTACCCATCCTTGTCATATCCAGTACCCATGCTTGTCGTCTCCAGTACCCATGCTTGTCGTCCCAAGTACCTGATGCTTGTCGTCTCCAGTACCCATGCTTGTCGTCTCCAGTACCCATTCTTGTCATCTCCAGTATGTATGCTTGTCGTCTCCAGTACCTATGCTTGTCGTCTCCAGTACCCATGCTCGGTGTATCCAGTACCCATGCTTGCCGTCTCCAGTACCCATGCTTGTCGTCCCAAGTACCTGATGCTTGTCGTCTCCAGTACCCATGCTTGTCATCTCCATTACCCATGCTTGTCGTATCTCCTCCAGTACCCATGCTTGTCGCCTCCAGTACCCATGCTTGTCATCTCCAGTACCCATGCTTGTCGCCTCCAGTACCCATGCTTGTCGTCTCCAGTACCCATGCTTGTCAGGTCTCCAGTACCCATGCTTGTCATCTCCAGTACCCATGCTTGTCTCCAGGTACCCATGCTTGTCGTCTCCAGTACCCCCTGCTTGTCGCCTCCAGTACCCATGCTTGTCGCCTCCAGTACCCATGCTTGTGTCGTCTCCAGTACCCATGCTTGTCGTCTCCAGTACCCATGCTTGTCATCTCCAGTACCCATGCTTGTCGTCTCCAGTACCCATGCTTGTCGTCTCCAGTACCCATGCTTGTCATCTCCAGTACCCATGCTTGTCATCTCCAGTACCCATGCTTGTTGTCATCTCCATGCTTGTCGTCTCCAGTACCCATGCTTGTCGTCTCCAGTACCTATGCTTGTCGTCAATACTTTATGTTTTTTATCCTCGTTACACTATGTTTATCGCCCCTAATGTTCCCATTTGGTTTTGACAATGGATACAGTTGCCAAATGAAGACATTCATTCAGTAATGAACAGAATATACAAGTCTGTACTCTATTTGTAGTGCTGCGTTTGGAAGTAACATCGCTCTGTCGGAGCGGAAGTTCCACCAGTTGAAAGTAACCAATGACGGCAGAGTAACTCAGAGATTTCCCACTGTGGTCAGCAGTCTCTGTGGGGTAGACACCACCTATTTCCCGTTTGACAAACAGCGGTGTCCACTCCAGTTCGGCCTGTGGCTCCACGATGATGACCTGGTGACCTTGATAACCGACCAGACAGGGGACACCACATCGTATCTCGAGAATGCTGAATGGTATCTCAACGGAGTGGATGCAGAGAAGAAGCCATATTTGTACAATGGTTTAGTCTACAGCACCATCACATACACTGTGACCATACAAAGACGACCAGCATTCTTCATGCTCACCCTGTTCTTCCCTTGTTTTCTGCTCAGTGTTATGTCGATCCTTGGGTTCTTCCTCCCCCCTGCTTCGGGAGAGAAGGTCGGGCTGGAGGTCACCCTGCTACTGTCCCTGACGGTGTTCCTGTTTCTAACCATTGATACTCTGCCTCCAAATTCTGAACCATTGCCACTTTTGTGTAAGTATAGATAATAGGAAATGTGCATGTCATTGGCAATTACTCGGCCAGGGTTCCGGTAAAAAACAGACCCAAGTACCCGTTGTTTGTCGTAATAGCGATTTGTTTACAGGGCCTGGGGTGAGTGAGTGAGTATGGTTTTATGCCACTTTTAGCAATATTCCAGCTATATCATGGCGGGGGACACCAGAAATGGGCTTCACACATTGTACCCATGTGGGGAATCACACTCGGGTCGTCAGCGTGACGAGCGGACGCTTTAACCAGTAGGCTACCCCACCGCCCCTCACGGGGCCTGGGAGATTTGTGTACACATCAATGTGAAACTACGGGGCCGATGCTTTTATCTGGACAAACCTATCTGTCGCATCGTTGACTGGAGTAAAACAACACTCATTTCATAATTCATTCCTATTTCAGGGTGTAATCTGGTACTTTATACCCACGTGTGACAGCTATGTCAATGCAGTTACCATGTGTTCTATATTGTAGGCGTGTACTTCGTGCTGGTGATCATACTGGCGACCACGTCTTGTGTCCTGGCTGTTCTTGTTCAGAGACTTCATCTAAAAAACAGACAGGGCTGGAAGGTTCCTCCTCTGGTTCGGACTGTCATCATCCACTGGCTTGGTCGTCTGTTGCTTATGAAGAGTCCACACGTCCTCAGGAAACAAACGGATGTATGCGACTTTAACCACATTACGACATTTTTACAAAAAAGTGATCATAGTTAAGTAACAAAACTATGCATAAGTTCAGTTAGGCTTTAAATGTTTAGTTCCTTTCACCTAGATGTGTTTGATGTTTTAATCATTCCATGTTCTCTAGTTTGGCTTTTGTCTATACAGGAGGACCTTAAAACAGAAAGAGTGGAGGAAAATCAAGCAGCATCAAATCCTGCAGCATCCCCTGAGGAGAATGGGGTTGTCCGGGAGATACTGAAGGGCATGGAACAGCTTCTGGAACTCCATAAAGGGGACAAGGCTCCAGAATACTCTTCAGAATGTCAGGATTGGCTTATCATAGCATCTATCCTCGACAGATTCTTCCTCATCCTTTATGCAATCATTTCGGTTGTCATATCAACTGCCTTCCTCATTCAGTTTTCTGTTAAAACACATTCTTGACACTGAAACGGTGTTTGCTCGTGTACTTTTCACCAAACATGCTTGTCTCCCTTTCATCTATTTCCTATCAATAACATGAAAATCTCATCTTTTTGCTTAATGTATTTTATGAAATTTATCATACATTCAGTTAACTGTAACCAAATATTCTCTATCAAAATTAAATCGAAATTACAAAATCTTTTAAAAGCTTGGTAAAATATACTTTACAATCAAGTTTTTGGATGCATTTATTTATTTACATTAGATTCTACCTACAAACTGGCCTAATGCAAACCGTCAATGACCCTCTGCATTCAAAATGATGTTGGCCTCTTTCATCAAGGAGTTCATATATTCTAAAAGGTTGATGTTTCGGTGTTCCTTTCTGTAATCGTCTGCTCTGGTATATTGACTCCCCATCACGGCAGGGATTATCACTGATTTTGTTGTTGTTGTTGTTGAAGGCATACTTAGTTCTGCCTAACTCACCTCACGGCCAGAAGGAAGAAAAACCCAAAGTGATGTCAGTTATGCACGTTCACCACTCTGGTGAAACCAAAGGATATGGCTCCTACGACCCAAGAAACAATTAGGTGCATGACCATCGGTTTTGGGTACACCCAAGGCACAAAACTGTACAGGATGAACTTCGGCTACTTAGATCACTTTTTTCTTCCTTTTTCTACTGGCCAAGACAATATAAACATTAGCAAAATTAACTGGTCTTATCTGATACATCCGTAACAGAAAAAGAAACTGAAGCTTTTAATACTATAAGCTTTTATTAATCTGTGATTGAACGATGTAGATAGTGATCCCAGTATTTCCGACTGAGACATAATATATATGCTTACATGTACATGTGAAGTACAGGCATATTTCTGTACAGCTATCACACTTAGCTCAACAAACAGAGAGTCAGACTGGTACAGTTGAAAGACATACCTGTGTAAATAATATATTCAATAATAACAAGCAATAAATAAACATATTCTCCAATGATCATCAATGACAACTACATCAACAAAGTCAAAGCATATACAGTCGAGCACCGTTGTCTCGATATTCATGGGACCAAGAAAACATATAGAGTTATCCGAACTTCGAGACATCCGACCAGTGCATATCATCGTACATATCTCTATGAAAGAAAACAAAACGCTTCTCAGTATGTTTTGATTCGAAACTATAATCCGTTATCAGCAGTGTTTAGTCGTAACAGTGAGTACGTCCTAATGAATTCCTTCTTAATTAATCCTAATCAAATAACAAGTGACATCTTCAACTCAATTAGCCCTAATTAGTTTACACTACCGCTTCCCTTTGACGGGACCGTGTGTAAACGTGTGGAAGCAGCCTCAGTTCAGAGGGATACTTGCCCATGAAAGGTAGGTGAATATTGAGTTATTTGCAAATATCGAGTTAAAAGGGTAATTTTTCTTGTTGAAACCATGAAATTATATCGAGATAGCCGAGAAATCGAGACATCCATATCGAGACATCCGTATCGAATTAAAAGAGCTTGAATAATGATAAATTATGATATATTTTGCCGGGACCGAGATGTTATATCGAGACAACCAAGTTATCGAGTTATCAAAGTTCGACACAACGGTGCTCTACTGTACAGTGGAAGCTGTCTAGACCGGCACTCGTTGGGACTAAAGAAATAATCCGGTTTAGACAGTGTGCCGGATTGTACAGATGACACGGTTATTTCCGACTAGAAGTGAACAAGTTTTGTCACTCTCATATACATTTGATTCACAATAAAACATGTCAACTCACCAGTTACATGTACAAGTATACCCATGCTGAACTAAGATTAAATTGTCTTTGTCGGCAACCATGTAGTTTCAACCCGGAATTGACAGCTGCCGGATTGCAGAGCTTTTAAATGAAGACAATTGCACTAGCCACGGACGGGACTGAGATTTTATGCCGGTGTTGACAACTTGCCGGATTGGACAACTGCTGGTTTTGACAGCTTCCACTGTATACTGTTTTGATATTTCTTTGAAACATATGTTTCTTTATATAAATCATTTACTTGTTGATTGCTCCTAAGTATGGCCACAAACCAGCTGTTACTATCATGATTCTAAGGGAAAGCATCTTGTCCTTAATTTCTTCCTGATTTATTTTGAATGTTATTGTTGCTAAATATTAATACTTGAAAATATAGTTACAATATCAACAACTGATTGTTTATAGATTTCATTGTAAGGAAGGCACATTGAATGAACACAGATATTACACACATGGTCATTTCATTATCTCAGTAAAGGCAAGCAGATGCATGTGTGAATTGTCCTTAAAACGGTTGACCAGTGTGTTAGGTTAATATATGAAATGTCCAGTGACACTGACACTGACAGACCAAGGAAGGTAATCAGGGCAAGTCTGGGTGGCGTTAGCAGTACGTGTTTCGTAGTATCACCTGCCAACGTGGTCTACTTGAACACAAAGGACAAACACAAACATTGATACAAAGTCAGAGGTCCTGAAACAATACTAACAAGCTTGACCATTGCTTTTTAGGATGCAAATAGTTTATGAATTTGACCTGATGCCTTAATCACTATTGAATGTTCATGCCCTGATTAGAAACAAGCTGAACTCAATAGCCGACACGACTTACATTTAAAGTCCCCTTAGTTGCAATGACCTAAAGAAAACAGCCAAGTCATTATGTTGAAAAAACAAAAAACAAATGTAATAACATAAAACATGTATAAACAGTACGCATATTATTTCAGAAAACTCACAGGTCAAAATACATGTTACTAACTGGGTATTCTTGGACGGATATTGGATCAATCAATGATATACTCATGGAAACAAATAAAGGAACACACGAAAGTGCAAGTGTTCCTCTACTCTTTTCTGGGTTTCTCGTCATGCTTTATATTGCACTGTGAGTGAAAATATGGAAAAATGTAAAAGGAACACTTGTACTTTCATTTTTTCCCTTATTTGTTTCCATGAGTATATGTCGATGTTGGAACTATTTACAAATACAATAAATAGACTTTGCATTTCTAACATAACAATTCAAGACATACCCATTATCACAGTGAAGTATGGATTATGCTCTAAATACTGAGCGCAAACCTTGACACAGAAACTGTCACACTGATTACACAAACTAGTCACATAAATGAGACAGAACAAGCATGAGTCATCATCTCTCAAAAACAAGCATGGAAGCTGTGTACGTATGTCTGACTTGCAGTACATTCACCAGCACTTTGTCATCTTGAACTGACAACAAACCCTATTTGGTAAATTCTCTGCAAGACTGAGAAACAGTTGGTGGAATATTCAAGGCTATGAAAATAACACCAATAAGATTCAAGAGTCAAAATTTGAAAGGTGTCATATGCAAAAACTACATATAATTTTAGTTAAATCATATGTTGAGGGTCATACAGCAGTGCAGAGGGGGTTGCATCTCCGACATAAGCATCAATGATATGCCCTCTGCTATGCGATACATGTACAGGGGCCAGTAGAAATGAAGGAACCAAAGGTTACTAGTGGCAACTGCAGGTTCTGTCAACACATGCTTCAAGGTGACAAAGTTCAGCAGCATGTCTGACTTGTCCCAATTATTCAATATCAATAGAAAAGTGAGATTGCACTCTATAAGGCACTCTGTGGCACTCTGTGACACTCTGAGTTTACATTATCAGCTGGACACTGACATAACCACACAACAGGACGGACATCTCTACAAAACATATCCCAGACCAAGTTTTCACCACTGAACATATCTCAGGCCTCTTGTGTACAGTTAAAAATCTGTAATGTAAGGGTTACATTTTCACTGAAGTCTTGCCACAAATTTAAAGTATAAATGATATTATGAACTGATGCGTTCTGCAAAACAAGAGAATATTTCAGCCAATTTTTGATAATACATCATCAGATATAAAGAATTAAGAACCTTGTGACACAAGTGTACATTTTGTGTTGTGCCTACAGTGAGCAGATATACTGAATGCCACACTACATTACTTGCATGTGTAACCTGTAATATATTCACAAATTCACTACTAACATTTCACATAATACCTGTGCAAAACCTTTACTAACAGAACTCTCTAACAGACAAACACCATTATTGCTAATAAGTTTTATTGGTTCTATACAACTGAAATAAATTACATATTTCATAAACATACTTTTATTTTTGTGACAATTTCCATAACTGCCTCACCTATAGCTGTATAATATTGCATGAAAACTGTTACCTGAAAACATTTAACTTCTATGGCCTTTATTTAATTTAAAAGTATTCTGTGAAAACTTTCTCCATTAAACAAGCCATCCCCAAATGCCCATTCACCATTTGCTAACATGACCACAGATAATAGCTACCTCGTAAGTTAATATAGTCAATGTATATATACAAAACACATTGTGCTTACTGAGACGGTGAACAATGGAACTACCATGGGTGGTAAACCATCTGGACACAAGAATGCAATATTATCTTACGAGATCTAAACAGGTCCTGGTATTCAAAGTCTCACTGTATGTCATATGATGTTTTAAAATAACTTCCAGTTCCTTTCTGTTTTGTGTATATAAATTACTTCAAAAAGTGTAATACTTTGGGATTATTCTATTTTGACTCACAATTTCTCAAATTTTCTCTGTTGGAATGTAAGGTTAGACAAAGACACTCGTCCATTAGTCTGAGACAAGTGAAAATCGAATGTTACGATATGGTTTTGTATTTATGGAGTCATAAGCATAAAGAATTGCATGCACATTATACTCTGCTGATTTACACATTATCCACAACTGCTAAACACTTTATGCCTTATAAAATCAAACATATTGCAGTACTTCCTTGATTAAAACAATTCAAAACTATAACCAAAATTTAAAAATGCAAACAGTAACTATCTATATAGTAAAGTAACTACAAAATACACTGTATATAAGTCATCTCTCACAAAGAGTATAGGACAAGTGAGAGTGCTCGATCCACACTGGCTATAACACCAGGTGTTGAACACTGTACAGTAACTACCACAGATAAAGTCAACTAATATTTCCAGCAACACGTCCACACACAGCCATATTGTATCACAGGTGTCAGAAGTATGTGTCGTGGACAAATATACATTATATGTGACATCATCTTCATATAACTATATATAACTATATCAATATAGCACTCATTATAACATAGATCAGATCATATTGTGTGGAGCTATATATAATATATAATACCACCTCACTTCCGGAATATCATACACAAATTCTTCATAACATATAATTTTTGGAGAGAGAGAGAGAGTGTGTGTGTGTGTGTGTGTGTGTGTGTGATATATATGATGATTTAAAGGTGGGGTCATGGTCACCCGTTTTGTTCTGAGGATTTTCTACATGACATGCAGGGGGTTCACTTATTTTGTACATACATTTAAAGGGATGGGTGATCCATTCACACTGTACATGCTTATCCATAAAAAATCACCATCATTCCCCAATTTCCATACATTATGAACGGTCCCTAAGTTAGATAATAAATCAGCAATCATGACAGTTGTGTATATCTACTATAAACTCAGATATTATCACTCATCACTGCACTGAAGACTGAGACCAAATGGTAAAAGTGGTTTTGACCCGGCTGTTGTATCTACCATCTTTGTCATACAACACTTTCTGGGAAATCAATGTTGCCAGATTCCTCTGTACACTCATGAGGTATCACAGGAGCTGATGCAGCTCGGTAATGAAACGTTAAACACACACAGAGATTCTAGCCTTGTTTGGCAGGTTTGGGGCGACAGCTCCGTTGATGAACAAAAAGTCTGTCCGGGTTGAATGTCCGCCCACAGTTGTCACAGGGAACAAGCGCAGCCTGCGCACTCTCCCATGCTGCCTGGTTCATGGCTTCAATGTCATAGGCGCCCTTTCCTGTAAATACAAACAGGAACTATCACCCAATCCAACACAATACCCGTCGGCACAAGCTAACATTCTGACTGTGTTTTGCAAAATGTCATCAAGAGAACTTCACTGAGACATCCTGTTAGCTGTGACACAATGCTTGAACTTGAAGAACTTCAGAACTAACAGTACATGCGTCCCTTTCTTCACAAGGCAAGCCTAATATATTACCTGTGTAACCAACTTAAATAGACAATGACAAATGACTAAGGTAAGTTTCTGTGAGCACATTAATAATAATAATAATAATAATTAGTCCATTTATATTGGTTCTACTGCATGAAGTGTCATGTAATTTTTGTAATTTATATTTATTCACTCTATCATCTCTCACAGAATTCAAGAAGAACCAGTATGTCTTAGCCACTTGAGCCCTGGTCAGTGAACATGAGTGAATGTGTGAAGTAATTTACACAGCTTTTTGCAATATTCCAGCAACAGCAAGGGACACCAGAAATGGGCTTCACACATGTACCCATGTGGGGAATCGAACACGGGTTTTCGGCATGTCTGACGAGCAAACACTTTAACCACTAGGCTAGCCAACCGCCCGAGCCCAACATGAACTCACAACATTACAAGATAATAATGACATATCTTAGATCTTGGCCGATCATGTCCGCAGATGGTCAATAGTTATTAGAATGTGTGAAACTCACCTCCAATACTTCTAACTTCAGGTTTCTTTGGTTTAGGGCGTCTCATGTTCGGTGGCAGTTTGTCATTCTCAATGTGCCATTTCTTCATGCACTGTGGTTCATGGATGGATATTGATTTGGTTCCGAATTCACGGCCACATATGTAACACACAACTGTGCGAGGTTTCTGTATCACAGCCGGCTTGGAGATGGGAGGAGGCTGGGAGGAAATGATTGAGAGTAAAACTTTGAAGCAAGTAAAACACATCATCAAAGGTTTAGTTTTTTCTCAAGGATATGGATCTCACTATACAGTTAGTATTCCTATTTGTATTAAAGGATGGACAGTGCAACATAGTTAACATAGATATCAACAATGTTTGGTCATTTTTATATAAGGCCAGACCAATTTTATTTCTTGTTTCACGGATCCGCCAGTTGTATTTTTTCAAGAATAAGAAAAGAAAAATTATTATTTTTTCCCCGCTCAAAAAATAAAATCCTAATGTTTTTATGGGGCAAAAATGTAAAAGGTTTTTTTTAATTGTTTTTTGCCCCATATACACTTCATAAATTGCAAAAAGTAAAATACTTTTAATATTTAGAAGGAATATTACTTTGACTGGTGATTTTATTTTCATTTTATTTCCCTACTGCCTTTAGGTTTTCTGGGGACAAAATTCTGTAAAACAAGAAACAAAATTGGTCTGAAGAAAACAAAAACTTGTGCACTAGCACTGAATCAGAATATTACCTCATTAGCAGCATTGGACTTGTTCATGCCAGGCCCGCCCCCCTTCCTGATGGTAGCAGTCTTTGGTCGGCATGCCCGCTGGTGGACAGCCAGTCGGTCTGGAGCAAACGTTCGGCCACAGTTTGGACACGGAACCAGCTGAGCTTTTGAAGCTTCCCATGCAGCCTCATTCATCTGATCCCTTGAATATCATTGTAACCATGGTTACTTGCAAATTAGTTATCAATATTGGTAAATATGGTTAATTTCTGACAAACGCCACATAAACATAGTGAGCTATGACATAGTGGGCTAAAGAGCACTGGTAATGAAAAGGTCATTCATGTAATAGAAAATACTGCTTGGTTACCACATTGAATCATTTCAAAGTATTTTAAAATGTAATCACAACTTGTGGTTATTGAAGATCTCAACCCAGATTATAGACTTTGGGTGACCAACATCAAGTTCTTATACCACTTAATGTGGAGGGGTCTGAAATGGTTTCTTTTCTTTTTCAAATTCACACATTGACAGCTATTATGATGTACATTAGAAAAAATCATGTGAATTATTGGAACAAATTCCATTCTGATTCTATATGAAGAAATATAAGGAAATACTATACATTGTACCCTTATCAACTTTTTCAATAAATGGAAGTACAGACATCTGTGATGTTTTCACAGTTAGAACATCTGGTTATATGATTATTATCTGCTCACCTGGTGAGTCTACCACCCCCAACTGCTTGTGGTTTCTTTGGGATTGGTCGCCGCAATTCTTTGGGCAGTTTTTGGTTTTCAATTTTCCATTTTTCAAGGCACTGAGGTTCATGTATGGGTAGAGACTTGGTTCCGAACTCCCTTCCACAGATATAGCAGACAACTGTGCGGGGACCCTTTTGAGCTGGAGGCTGACCACTGAATCCACTTTTACTGGCTGGAGGCCCTCCTTCACTTGGCCCATTCAGTGTCTGGGATGACATGTTTGGAGTGCCATTCTTAGGTTTGCAGGCTCTGAGATGAACTTGAAGTCTATCTGGATTGAATGTCCTTCCACAGTTTGGGCAGGGAACCAGATTAGCCTGGGCACTCTTCCATGCAGCCTCATTCATTGCCTCAGCATCTATTTTACCTCCTGCTTTTAGTACTTCTGGTTTCTTCGGCTCCGGTCGACGTTTGCTCTCTCGGAAGTTTGTCATTTTCAATTTTCCACTTTTCCAAACATTTTGGTTCATGAATTCCCACTGAGGCTTTTCCAAACTGACGACCACATATATAACATAAAACAAACCTTGGTCCTTTGGAAGCAGGAGGGTTTGCTGCCTGTGGTTTCTTCTTGTCAGAAGTAAAAGTGGATTGTCGGTTTCCAACATGTGGTCTAGAGCCCACCTGCGATCTGCTTGATAACCTGGAGGATGGGGTTTTCGGCGCTGGCTGCTCTCAAGATCAACGGAGCTGTTCATATTGATGACATTTGGACTTGACAGGGTAGCGGTTCCTGGTCTTGACCCTCCATCATTTGCTCCTGTTCCTTCTCCTCCCTTTTTCTTCAGAGGCATCATTGGTTTACCAGGTTTACAACTTCGCTGGTGGACAGGCAGTCTGTCAGGGTTAAATGTCCTACCACAATTTTCACACTCAGCTAGATTTGACTGAGCACTCTGCCATGCCATTTCATTGAAACGCTCTGCATCATATTTTCCACTGCCACCTATTGTAGGAAGGATTTCTGGCTTCTGAGGAGCTTTCCTTCTCATCTGTTTTGGTAAATTGTTATTTTCAGCGTGCCACTTCTTTAAGCACTGTGGTTCATGAATAGAAATAGATTTAGACCCAAACTCTCGGCCACAGATATAGCACACAACTGTGGTAGGTTTCCTTGCCATCATCAACTCTTGTCTCTACAGCTATCTGAAAAGAATTAGAAAGCAAATGTCATAACAACAAATTAATGACATTGACAACCATTACACCTAATACGAGTGTAAAGCTATTTTTCTGTAACTGGTAATGATCCTATTGTTCCAATATACATGACATGGGCAAGCCCCAACTGTTGTTGCATTAATCCCTTGTTAAGCCATCTTTAATTAGCTTGGTAGCCATGTCGTTCTTTGTGGAGGGTCTTTAATCATAGTACTTAATCCTAGAGATTACTTTCAGGCCATATATTTAACAGGAGGTTTCTTGGTACAAAATACTGTCGGCAAAATAGGTGTAGTCTGAAGCCCACATTAAACCTCAAGTCACCATCGTACTTAAATGCAATCACAGAGGTAGAGGGAGTCATGGATCCTGACCAAACCTCCATCCTTGATACTTGATAGTCCTCCAAATGCCAATATCACCTGTACCATATTGTCATTCCATACACTGCCCTATATATCTTAGACAAACAGTTTGAATAGATTTGAAGTCACATCCAACCAGTCATTGTGAATTGACTTTTTTTGTATTATTTGAAAAGGCATTTTGATTGACATAGAAACCTGAGGTATATGCATATCTAGCTATCTTGGAGGGGCAGACATAAACAATCGAGTGGCAAAAACGTCATCTCGTGATTTAAAATTCCAACACATTAACAGTTCTATTTTGAAAATAACATGTTACCCAACATTATTTAATCAAATAATACAAAATGCTAAGAGTAACGTTACCTGTCCATACATGGACTGGTTAAATCCCTCCATGCAGCCACAAAACCATAATCCCGATAATTTCATCCACACCGAGCGCCCATCATGAATCACTCAAGTCCTGGCAACGCCAAATGACTTGTGATCAGTTTGAACTCAGTATGACATGGGATCATGGGCTACCAGTATCTGGTATCCTGTGAAATATGTATCACGCAAGCCGTTAACGCCTCTCACCTATGTAGAAAATCGATCTCACAGATTATGTTATGCTCACATATTGCTAACGGTATCTATTGACAGTAAAACCGTCAAAATATTTGTATCCTATGTAAACATCTTCCCTGGTTACGTCGCCCGCCATGTTGTATTCATGAGATCACGTGACAACACGGTCCCAATGGTACTATTTATAAACCTACAGATATATTTAAGATAGACAGTATGACTATTCGCCGACTATCCTTATTCCGTTTAGACAACGCACCAAACACAAACTAACTCTTGACCATCTTGATATTTATGAATAGGTAAACCAAACTGTCTGAAACGAAACTTGTTTCCATCTAAAGCGCTACGCTTATGAACTAAACCACCAGTTCAATTAGCTCTTTAGTTTCCGGAGGTAAGAAAATGCAACACGGAAATGGCTAAATCTTCGTCTGCTAGCACCGCAGTTCCTAACTTAAAAGATTATGTTTTCACGGAGAAACTTGGCAGTGGAACCTATGCCACGGTGTACAAAGCCTATAGAAAGGTATCGATCGTAGTCCCGTCAATGTTTTGTTGTTTTCAAGTATCTATTTAAACTAATCTATCCGTGCAACGCTAAGTTTTGAAAGCTCTGGACAGCGCTTTTCTTGAAAGTTTGTTATCAATATATATGGTTATGATCATCAAGGACAATGCATGGAGTGTAGTTGGTCATCATCACATGCATTTCGTTATGCAGTGTCACTTTGCAGTGTTATGTTTTCAGCTATATACAAGGAAACTTCATCTAATATAAAATTGTAGTTTGTTTGCCGTAACTATGAGAGTTATCATTAACAGGTTTTAACACTATTTTGAAGTATTTTCATTAAAAAGACGAATTGTATACGTCTTTGATTGAAATCATAAAACATCGTATTACTGTGTATCCCAGTGCTGTACCCTATGAACAATTTCGATATTGACTTGTCACTTCACAGACAGGGGTGGAATTAACTTTAAAATTGCTAGTGTACTCCGGTACAATGGCACGTGTAAAATCACTTGCCCTGGTAATTTTTCCACTATACCGGCCTATTTTCTTCTTGATTTTTAAATAAACAACATAATTAACATTGGAAAGTCAACTGGACACCAGTACAGCATGATATACAAATTTGCTTGCCCGACAGAAAAAACACTAGACTGGGACGTCGGGCAATGGGTTATTTCCACCCCTGCACAGTGAGAGCTGTGAGCTGTGCCATTAATAGATCCCCGATCCAAATCTGCAACACTCTTTTCATGCTTCAGCAAAGTGAATGTATCATGATCTAAAGTCATATGCCGTGCAGTTCACTTCCCAAGACTTCGCATTCAAACAGGTGTTATCATGGGACCCTCTGTTATCGCGGTAGTTAATGTTTTCGCCATCGGGATTATGAACGGCTACTAACATTTGGCATTTTATATATATTTTCAGTTGACTGAAGTTTAATCTTCATTTCTGTCACAAACAATGTGGCACATAGTTGCAACTCTATATGATCGCAGCAATCGTGGAAATTGAAGCAACTTTATTATCGCGGTATTGCTATTTTCTTCCTATGGCACGTGGTACAAGCAAATGACACTGTGAAACGCTTACTAAGGGACCGTTCATAAATTATGGCTGTGGGGTGATGATGATTTTAAGGGGGGGTCACCCATTTTGTTCTTGTAAGATAGGGGGGATCATCAATTTTGTACACACATTCTAGGGGGAGTCAGCTATTTTGTACATGAAAATATTTTTAAAATTATGCTTAAAAATTATGGGGGATGGTGGGTCATTGATTTTGTACATGACATGTCGGGGGTGGGGGTGGGAGGTCACTTACTTTGTACATAAATCTTAGGGGGGTTCATTCACATTGTACATGCTTCTCCATAAAAAACCATCATCATCACACTCCACCCACCATAAATTATGAACAGTCCCTAAGACAAGTAACAAATCTAAATAGTTTGATTATTTAAAACTATTTAGGAATTTCATTCACATTAGTAATATCATCATGTTTTTAACCAAAACATCTGAAACGTCAATTCATTTGGATACAAGAAAACAATAATGTAACAAAATAATGTTTTGCCGCCTTAAAACATACAATACAATTTGCTGCCGTGTGCAGGGTGACGTTGCATAATACGTCACTTCCTGTTATATTTTTAGGACAGAAAATATGCAAATGCCCTTATAGTTGTCGCAGGATTACTCTTGACTAAGTCAATTTTGATTAATGCTAGATGTAATGGCAGCAGGGGTCATACTAGTTTCAAAATGTTCCAAAACTTACTGAAAAGATGAATACATTAATATTTCTGTGATTAGACATGAGATTCCAATGAAATAAATGACTTTTTCAAGAGCAATGGATTTATTTTACGTAATTTGCATATGTACACAGGCAATGCGGGGCATGGTGTTTCTGCTTTCCCGATGTTTTCACGTACCGCGATAACAGAGAGTTCCAGTGTACAATAATTTAGATTATGCAACAATTTAGTTACTTATGGAGTTGGAAACAACCTTGAACAAAATTCAAAAGCCTCTAGCACCTCACTCCAGCTCCATCTATTGTTGTAGACAGTCATAAGAAGCCTATGCACAATTTTTTTGCCCTGGCTGACCACGTGACGGTCTCTTAAGTCATTCTCTTTTTTGTCACTGTTGAGTAAAGGTGACCTGCCAAAGATAGAAAAAATTTCCATCAGATAATTCCAGGTATCTGTAGATGTTTTGTAGTTAGATATCATGTTTATCTAAGAAGTTTTCTATAAAGAACAAGCAGAAAGGGGAAGGAAAAGGCATTTCTGTGCTACATGTAAACAGATGTTTTCAGCATATGACCATCACATTGCATGCAGTGACTGCAAGGTATTTCAGTTGGACCTGATACTCTATGATAAAGATTCCCCTATCCAAGATGAGTTCGCCAAATCCTACGCCTCCAGATGATAGCTTGGTGGATGATTCCTTGTGTCCCTTTCTCGGGAGGCCAATATCACTTTCTGGGTACACCATGTCCTTCTTGGATACCTGCTGCTACGTTAACATCAGGAGTGGTCATTGTGACAGGATTGGCAAATCCTACTGGTTCATCCATCCCTGCTCAGGGTTCATTGTTCCCTACAGACGATTCGCTGATAGCTTCAGTTGGTTTGTCGAACAATCCACCAAGTTCGTCAGTCCATCTGATCAGTTCATTGATCCAGTCTACTTCGATGACCCTCACTCACGCTGCTACTTGGAAAAGGCCCACATATGAGATGCTATTGTCCTTATTCATGGAGGCATGATCGGCCAGATTCCCTACATTTTGGGATATATGACTGCTGACAGGTGACATGGCCCCCAACATCACAGCAGGTGGGATGAGTATTTCAAGCTAGAACTCGTTCGTCAGCCCTGGTTAACAAAATATCTTTTTAATGATGCCATCTGATCCATCCTGGTCAAGGTCCACAAGGAAACTCATTTTGAAGTGTCCGTAGAATTGCTTACACTGAAGTCCTTACACTGGAGGCATCTGGTTTTGAGGGACTAACTCTACAGAGGCAGAGGAGGAACAAAATAACATTTCTCAAGCAGCATGCATCACCAGGACAGTCCAGTCACAACACATTATTATATGGGTCATTGTCAAAATTGGTAGGATTTTCAAATCATTATTACAGTAAAATCAAACTCCTGAAAATTGATTTAGTTTTTATTCAAATGAAATCTCAAATACTTAATTATTCAATAATACAAACATGAAAATCTTTTAAAGATGGCATTACACAGCTTTTTTTAATCAAACTTGAAGGTAAAAACTATTATCATGAATCTTGAAAGTGTTATTTTGTATCTTTCATTTATTTACCACAAAATAATTGCATTTTTCTAAAACATAATTATGCATATAGCTTTCAACAGGTAAAATTGTCTAAAATAAACATCAGCTACTAAGCCCAGGACATCTTTTGATGACACCAGCATAAAGAGGAGTGTTTCATGTATTATCATGAATTAATTAGAGCAGTCAATTAACACCAGTAACGGTTAGGACAATAGTGGTAACGGTTTGGACAGGAATGGTAACGGGCTGGACATAAAGCTTAAACAATTTAATTCAACATAGAAACAGGTAACATGAAAGGAAAAAAATGATATCATTTACTTCAATTGCTAACCCTATTTTGGACAGACAGTGAAATGTGTATTAGAAATTGTAACTTGTAACAAATGTGACATGTTTTCTTCCATGCTGTGGTAACGGTTTGGACATTTGTTATATCAATATGAAACTTGTGAATGAATTTAGGCTTTTGAATAAAAACAAACTGTAGCTTCTAAAGAATAGAAAAACACACCTGTCTAGGTTGAAAATCACTTATAATCTAAAGAAGAGTGCAATTGGGGAACGAAAATTGAATGAATAGTAACGGTTGTGACATTATTGGTAACGGTCAGGACATCAGTGTAACAAACAAATGTTATCCCTCTAAAAAGTTGCAAAAGATTAAATTCTGAAAGGTACTGCAACAACTATGATACTGTACACATGGTCATGCTACACAGGCCACTGCATAGATATCATTTTGCTGTTGATATTATGGTGCAATATTAGTCTCCACGAAATATACTTCTTTCATTCACTCGGATACCTTTAGTTTTTGTTAATCGTGAGATGGTAACACATATTTATCAAATACAAAGGTTTGGCCAACATATTAGCACCTAGCAAATATTCAAAGTAAATGGTAGCCTTACATATCTCACAGTTAAAGTTAAAACAGTTTACACCCAAAAAAAATTTAAAGGTTGGAATACTGAAAGTTGTTTACCGTTACTACATTTTGTCCAAACTGTTACCATAGATGTCCTAACCGTTACCTTTAATTCATAAAAACTATAGATCTTATAGAAAATAGAAACTTAACGTGGTTTTTATTATTTAAAGCAGATAGATAAGTAAATAGAAAACACACCATGGAACATATTCTTTAAAATTGAAATTTATTAAAGATATGTCCAGACTGTTACTATTATTTGTCCAACCGTTACTAGAGACTGTGTTTTTTATGCTACTACATCAAAACTCCTTTGAACAGTAAAAGTCAATGCTTAAACTTATCTTAACCCTTAAAGTAATTATAAATTTGTTTTATTTCAAATATTAATGAACAACGTTTTGAAATACAAATCATTTTGTCCAGACCGTTACAAGGACTGTCCAAACCGTTACTTTGCAGAATGGTAACGGTTTGGACAGTAACGGTCAAGACAATTTGTAAGTAAATCTAAAATAAAAAAAATGAATGATCCCTAAAAGATTTCAAAGGACATGCCTTCCACCTCTTCCATTTCTGGGCAACATATCCGTTGAAATTTTAAAAAACAAAATGTGTTGAATTTCATTATTTCATCTGCTGTCACATGCACAGGGGCTAGCTCAAGCAGACACAGGAAGTTGAATTACAATCCAGCTCCAGGGGGAAATTATTGCAGGAAGTTCATACACTGGTAACGGTCAGGACACAAAATCACAGGACAAGCATGTTACAATTTGTAGAAAAAAACTTTTTTAAGTTAAAAAAAAATTAAATGCAGTTTGAGTATGCCTGTTCAATCCTAATTGGCATAATATGAATTAGTTTGTTTATTTGCATTTAAATTTACATTATTTGTGAACATTGATATTAGGACCGTCACCTCCGGACAGAGCAAATCTGCCAATTTTGACCCTAAAATGTGGCTAAATATAAATTTCAAAATGACAAGACTAATGATATACCACATTTACTGACTAGTAAACATCTAAATATGTTTTCTAGCACAAAAAATCCTTTTAAGTTAACAGAGGTTTTTTTTATTTGGAACGGACAGAAAATCCTACCAATTTTGAAAATGACCCATATAGTCAGGAAATCAGGAGTATTTTCTCAGACTGTCAAAATTAGCCATTTCAAAACTTGTTGCTGACATTTGTTCCAACCTCATATAACCCAGTGTTTCTGCTGTCATTTTTTACAGCTGTACATTGTGACCCGGCTAGCATTTCGAATACCAGTCGTTTGTAAATTTCACTGGACAAGTGATCATGCTTTTCATTATGCGCATGACCTTGCACCCAAACAACCAATCAGAAATGTAGAGGGTATCGCAATGCGTCAATGCCGCTATTTTTAGCCTGGGATTTTCCAAAACTGCTATTTTTTATTTGACACCTCGGTGTCATTGTGAAAACATAATCTTTTTTAGGAGAAATAAAATTGACAGAGGTAATTAGAACATTGATTTTAAAATTTGCTAGACACGATGACCAACAGCTTTTGAAATTACCGGACATTCTAACTTTGTACCAGTCAAAGTCCAGTAAATACTGGATAAGGGAAACACTGATAATCTGGAGACTGAAGAACATTACGTCAAGATTGATACTCTGCAGATATATCTGGGTGTCAATAGCAACAGCCGATGAAGTAGTTAAGCATTGATTATTCACTGTTATGGGAATATACAAATACAGAATTAATGAAGATTTCTCATGGGATCTGTTTTCATATGAACAGTATCTTCAGTATAATCAGGGATTTACTTTGGTCTATCCCAGGAGACTCTCAGTAAGATTTGGGCCCCAGGCAGGTTGCCTGTATACTGCTCCTCTTGATTTCACAGATTTCTACTGATGTCGTATTTAAGAAATACACTTCGCTCTACCACCATGTATAGTGTAATAAAACACACTTTTGCCCTGAACTATTATAGTTAAAGCACGAGGACGCTTTGGCGTCCGAAAGTGCTTTAACGCTATAATAGTTCAGGGCTTAAAGTGTGTTTTATTACACTATACATGGTGGTAGGGCTAAGTGTTTCTTTCTAAGATGCCAAATTTAATACTTTCTAAAGATAATTACGATTAATTTAAGGCAGAAAACAAACGACGGTGTCGGGTGACCTAAATTAAGAATCCTCGCGACAGGGCTAACTGGTGCTATGTTCTATTGATGTGTCTGCCCCCCTACGCTAAGACGAACGCTACCAGAAAAACAAATGATAACAGTTTGATGACGGTTTACGCTCAGATTAAATATCTTCTCTGAATTATTTTAATTACATCTGTCATTAACGTGAAACCATATGGGGCAATATGAACGCTGCATTTCTACTACCAGCGTAAGTTTAGATCAGTACATCCAGAGGAAGTTGAGTAGTCAAGTTTACATTCCACAATTGCATTGTGGAATGTAAACATTACTTAACGCTACCGCGTCGCTGAAAACTTGTGAGTCGAAATGACACATTTTAACCGTCCGTGAAAACATAAACGTAATGTTTCCACCAGTGATGTTAGCTGCGTGAAGCAACAGCAAACCAAGAAACTGGATGCAACGGTGTAGTTTACTGTAGGATGTCGTACGAGGCGATGACAACTGACATGCATCTTGACGTCGCTGACATTGTGACGTAATGTAAAATGGTTCGATTACGAGGGGGCACACTAGAATGGCGCAGTGACGGGATAACGTCATTCAATTGTTACGTCATCAAAAAACTATACCTTTATTGTGTGATAATGTATTTTTTTTCGATTGTTCTAACCGCTAGGCATCTTAGAACTCTGCATAGATTTCAGTGTAAGAGTGAATAAAAGCAAACACTGACATGCTGAACCTGGATTGTATTTCTTACCAAAATAACATGCTAGTTATGTAAGTTGAAATGTACAATTTTGATCAAAATTAATTATTTAAACAGCCATACCTTCTTAGATCTGACAGGACTTGCTGTGTTGGTAAATTCATCCATTTCCAATCAGTAGGAGTAAAGAATGCAACATTTTGTGTCCCATGAAACTTGTAACATTTTATATGCAATAACTACAGTTATAACACACTCAAAGGGACCACTAATTTTAGTTTGTTGTAACCATTGTAAGTTACATGCATTTCGGGGGGCGGTGGGGTAGTCTAGTGGTTAAAGCGTTAGCTCGTCACGCCGAAGACCCGGGTTCGAATCCCCACATGGGTACAATGAGTGAAGCCCATTTCTGGTGTCCCCCACCGTGATATTGCTGGAATATTGCTAAAAGCGGCTTAAAACCAAACTCAGTCAGTCAGTACATGCATTTTGACTAAAATGTACAAAAAGTTGTTAGGACTCAATAAACATTTTGTTATGCTGTACTTGAAAGTCAGCAATCATTGGTTAACTCATTTCAACCAAAAGTGTTTGGTTTCATATCTCTTCCTCCTATTTAGAGTTACATCCATTGGGGACACCAGAATCCTATGATCATGGGTAGTTCACCCTAGTTATGCTGGTTTTATCCTAGTGGTGATAATCTCAGACCTGCATGTCCTTCCTTCCACTCTTTGTAATAAAAACTGCATAACTGTTGAATTTGGCAAGTGAGTGAGTGGTATGGTTTCACATGGCTTTTAGCAACATTCCAGCAATATCCAACTGGGACATCAGAAATGGGCTTCAAACATTGTACCCATGTAGGGAATTGAGCCCAGGTGAACAGCATGACGAGTGAACACTTTGACCACTAGGCTACCCCACCACACTGGACAGACACTCTCAAGTGTTGTGCTTTCAGGCTTTTATTCAAGAATTGTTTTGTGAATGTCACTTTACTATCCAGATGTGTTTCATATCACAGTGAGTCCTTATATCCATATGTGCTATTTGCTTGTGATTTTATTCACAGTGATTGCTGTTTCAGATAGGTATTCGAGAAGTTGTGGCAATAAAATGTGTATTGAAGTCCAGTTTAAATAAGGCCTCAACAGAGAATCTCCTCACTGAGATTGAGCTGCTGAAGAAGCTGAAGCATCCAAATATTGTAGAGTTGAGAGACTTCCAGGTGGGTTATAGACAAGACATCCTAGTGTTATCAGTACAGGTATATATTGTAGAGTTGAGAGACTTCCAGGTGGGTTATAGACAAGACATCCTAGTGTTATCAGTACAGGTATATATTGTAGAGTTGAGAGACTTCCAGGTGGGTTATAGACAAGACATCCTAGTGTTATCAGTACAGGTATATATTGTAGAGTTGAGAGACTTCCAGGTGGGTTATAGACAAGACATCCTAGTGTTATCAGTACAGGTATATATTGTAGAGTTGAGAGACTTCCAGGTGGGTTATAGACAAGACATCCTAGTGTTATCAGTACAGGTATATATTGTAGAGTTGAGAGACTTCCAGGTGGGTTATAGACAAGACATCCTAGTGTTATCAGTACAGGTATATATTGTAGAGTTGAGAGACTTCCAGGTGGGTTATAGACAAGACATCCTAGTGTTATCAGTACAGGTATATATTGTAGAGTTGAGAGACTTCCAGGTGGGTTATAGACAAGACATCCTAGTGTTATCAGTACAGGTATATATTGTAGAGTTGAGAGACTTCCAGGTGGGTTATAGACAAGACATCCTTGTGTTATCAGTACAGGTATATATTGTAGAGTTGAGAGACTTCCAGGTGGGTTATAGACAAGACATCCTAGTGTTATCAGTACAGGTATATATTGTAGAGTTGAGAGACTTCCAGGTGGGTTATAGACAAGACATCCTAGTGTGTTATCAGTACAGGTATATATTGTAGAGTTGAGAGACTTCCAGGTGGGTTATAGACAAGACATCCTAGTGTTATCAGTACAGGTATATATTGTAGAGTTGAGAGACTTCCAGGTGGGTTATAGACAAGACATCCTAGTGTTATCAGTACAGGTATATATTGTAGAGTTGAGAGACTTCCAGGTGGGTTATAGACAAGACATCCTAGTGTTATCAGTACAGGTATATATTGTAGAGTTGAGAGACTTCCAGGTGGGTTATAGACAAGACATCCTAGTGTTATCAGTACAGGTATATATTGTAGAGTTGAGAGACTTCCAGGTGGGTTATAGACAAGACATCCTAGTGTTATCAGTACAGGTATATATTGTAGAGTTGAGAGACTTCCAGGTGGGTTATAGACAAGACATCCTAGTGTTATCAGTACAGGTATATATTGTAGAGTTGAGAGACTTCCAGGTGGGTTATAGACAAGACATCCTAGTGTTATCAGTACAGGTATATATTGTAGAGTTGAGAGACTTCCAGGTGGGTTATAGACAAGACATCCTAGTGTTATCAGTACAGGTATATATTGTAGAGTTGAGAGACTTCCAGGTGGGTTATAGACAAGACATCCTAGTGTTATCAGTACAGGTATATATTGAAGATCTCATCGAGATTGCTTCATACAGGTATATATTGTACAATCATCTCCAGGTGGGTTATAGACAAGACATCCTAGTGTTATCAGTACAGGTATATATTGTAGAGTTGAGAGACTTCCAGGTGGGTTATTGACAGACATCCTAGTGTTATAACATGATGCAACTATATTGTAGAGTTGAGAGACTAATATATCATATAGACAAGACATCCTAGTGTCTTCAGTACAGGCATATCATTGTAGAGTTTTTCAGTTAGTGAAGTGAGTTATAGACAAGACATCCTAGTGTTTTCAGTACAGGTATATTGTAGAGTTGAGAGACTTCCAGGTGGGTTATAGACAAGACATCCTAGTGTTATCAGTACAGGTATATATTGTAGAGTTGAGAGACTTCCAGGTGGGTTATAGACAAGACATCCTTGTGTTATCAGTACAGGTATATATTGTAGAGTTGAGAGACTCCAGGTGGGTTATAGACAAGACATCCTAGTGTTATCAGTACAGGTATATATTGTAGAGTTGAGAGACTTCCAGGTGGGTTATAGACAAGACATCCTAGTGTTATCAGTACAGGTATATATTGTAGAGTTGAGAGACTTCCAGGTGGGTTATAGACAAGACATCCTAGTGTTATCAGTACAGGTATATATTGTAGAGTTGAGAGACTTCCAGGTGGGTTATAGACAAGACATCCTAGTGTTATCAGTACAGGTATATATTGTAGAGTTGAGAGACTTCCAGGTGGGTTATAGACAAGACATCCTAGTGTTATCAGTACAGGTATATATTGTAGAGTTGAGAGACTTCCAGGTGGGTTATAGACAAGACATCCTAGTGTTATCAGTACAGGTATATATTGTAGAGTTGAGAGACTTCCAGGTGGGTTATAGACAAGACATCCTAGTGTTATCAGTACAGGTATATATTGTAGAGTTGAGAGACTTCCAGGTGGGTTATAGACAAGACATCCTAGTGTTATCAGTACAGGTATATATTGTAGAGTTGAGAGACTTCCAGGTGGGTTATAGACAAGACATCCTAGTGTTATCAGTACAGGTATATATTGTAGAGTTGAGAGACTTCCAGGTGGGTTATAGACAAGACATCCTAGTGTTATCAGTACAGGTATATATTGTAGAGTTGAGAGACTTCCAGGTGGGTTATAGACAAGACATCCTCCTAGTGTTATCAGTACAGGTATATATTGTAGAGTTGAGAGACTTCCAGGTGGGTTATAGACAAGACATCCTAGTGTTATCAGTACAGGTATATATTGTAGAGTTGAGAGACTTCCAGGTGGGTTATAGACAAGACATCCTAGTGTTATCAGTACAGGTATATATTGTAGAGTTGAGAGACTTCCAGGTGGGTTATAGACAAGACATCCTAGTGTTATCAGTACAGGTATATATTGTAGAGTTGAGAGACTTCCAGGTGGGTTATAGACAAGACATCCTAGTGTTATCAGTACAGGTATATATTGTAGAGTTGAGAGACTTCCAGGTGGGTTATAGACAAGACATCCTAGTGTTATCAGTACAGGTATATATTGTAGAGTTGAGAGACTTCCAGGTGGGTTATAGACAAGACATCCTAGTGTTATCAGTACAGGTATATATTGTAGAGTTGAGAGACTTCCAGGTGGGTTATAGACAAGACATCCTAGTGTTATCAGTTATACAGGTATATATTGTAGAGTTGAGAGACTTCCAGGTGGGTTATAGACAAGACATCCTAGTGTTATCAGTACAGGTATATATTGTAGAGTTGAGAGACTTCCAGGTGGGTTATAGACAAGACATCCTAGTGTTATCAGTACAGGTATATATTGTAGAGTTGAGAGACTTCCAGGTGGGTTATAGACAAGACATCCTAGTGTTATCAGTACAGGTATATATTGTAGAGTTGAGAGACTTCCAGGTGGGTTATAGACAAGACATCCTAGTGTTATCAGTACAGGTATATATTGTAGAGTTGAGAGACTTCCAGGTGGGTTATAGACAAGACATCCTAGTGTTATCAGTACAGGTATATATTGTAGAGTTGAGAGACTTCCAGGTGGGTTATAGACAAGACATCCTAGTGTTATCAGTACAGGTATATATTGTAGAGTTGAGAGACTTCCAGGTGGGTTATAGACAAGACATCCTAGTGTTATCAGTACAGGTATATATTGTAGAGTTGAGAGACTTCCAGGTGGGTTATAGACAAGACATCCTAGTGTTATCAGTACAGGTATATATTGTAGAGTTGAGAGACTTCCAGGTGGGTTATAGACAAGACATCCTAGTGTTATCAGTACAGGTATATATTGTAGAGTTGAGAGACTTCCAGGTGGGTTATAGACAAGACATCCTAGTGTTATCAGTACAGGTATATATTGTAGAGTTGAGAGACTTCCAGGTGGGTTATAGACAAGACATCCTAGTGTTATCAGTACAGGTATATATTGTAGAGTTGAGAGACTTCCAGGTGGGTTATAGACAAGACATCCTAGTGTTATCAGTACAGGTATATATTGTAGAGTTGAGAGACTTCCAGGTGGGTTATAGACAAGACATCCTAGTGTTATCAGTACAGGTATATATTGTAGAGTTGAGAGACTTCCAGGTGGGTTATAGACAAGACATCCTAGTGTTATCAGTACAGGTATATATTGTAGAGTTGAGAGACTTCCAGGTGGGTTATAGACAAGACATCCTAGTGTTATTATCAGTACAGGTATATATTGTAGAGTTGAGAGACTTCCAGGTGGGTTATAGACAAGACATCCTAGTGTTATCAGTACAGGTATATATTGTAGAGTTGAGAGACTTCCAGGTGGGTTATAGACAAGACATCCTTGTTATATATGTTATATGTCATACTTTACACAGAAATTTACTTCGTTCTGATGTAGGGTAGGTTATTTTGAAGTATTGTGTATAAGGGAATAATAATGGGTGAATATACCAGTCTATTATGACATGTAACTTAATGATGAAATATAGTATTTATCTGGAAACATGAAATAATTAGAGAAAGCTGTTATTTGAATCAAGTGAAGTAACACTTACTCTGAAGTACTGTCAGTCTCCCTCGGTAGTTCACTGTGGTGAGAATCAGTAGATATCAGCATGTCCATGTAACACTGCCCTGTCCTCCTCCTCAGTGGGATGATTCCTACATCTACCTGATCATGGAACACTGCAGCGGTGGGGACTTCTCACACTTCATACGCAAACGCCGTCGTCTACCTGAACATCTGGTGAAAAGGTTTCTGCAGCAACTAGGTATGTTATATTTTTACAGCCCATTTTCAATCTAATTATCAGTGTTTGTTTGTCAGCTAGTGGGTTTTGCTAAAGTGGTAAACAATTAAGGACTTTTATTTCCATAGTAAGCTCATAAGCCTTGATGTGTTTGTCTGTTGTTTAATGTTTGATTCAGCAATATTCCAGCTATATGGCAGCGGTCTGTAAATCTAACCCAGAACTACACAGGTCATGATAGGATTGAAACAGTGTCCTTCACTCACTCCACTTCACCCAACCAGACCAACCCTCCCGCCTATTCATTCACTTACTCTGTGATGTTACTGAAATACTTTCCTAACAGGCACCATGCCCAGCTCACTCTTTCAATCACTCATTCATTCAGGAAGGAAGGAAGGAAGGCTCACTCAGGAAGCCCCACTCAGAAAACCTAGATCCAACTCTGATGTTACTAAGCAGTGTTTTGTCTACAGAACATGTGTCACATTGTCAACTTTCAAATTAACTTTGGACAAAATTATCCATCTTTCTATCCATATATCCATGTATTTATCCATCTCCTCCAGTCAGGTCATGGCTTGCTCAAACTATAGTTTGGCATGAAATGCATGTGGACCCGTTTTTTTGTAAATATCTCTTCATCCAATGACCCAATCGATCTCAAACTGTGCAAGTGGATGTTTTGTCAGACAACCTAATCACATTGTAAATCACCGATTTTATGCATTTGTATTAAAGAATCTGTCTATGTAACTGTCAACAAAATAAACAGCAGAACGCAGATGGCTTGCAGAGGGAGGGAGCCAATGACCTGTAACAGCGGCAGTGTTGGGTCATAAAGGTCAACGTTCGTCAATGTAGGTCAGCTATGCACCTGACAGGTATGAAGAGGTGTCACAGGTCGTGAATAGGGTAAAGTGGGTGCCAGCTGTTAACCATCATACGGAGTTTGTTTCTCTGAGTTGTTCAACATTAACCACAAAACCCATTAGTGAGAATTATTCTGTAGGTTAAAATCTTTAAATTTTGCAAATAGCCGGCGAATGACATCTCTGATGACCCTGATGTTAAAAGAATCTAACTTTGGATGCCTACCTTTTTGTACAAGGTTTTGTTTATTGGTTGTTGGTTTATTTTTCACAATTTTTAGCACAATGTTCTTTTTCATGCCAAGAGCAAAAGTTGTACATTTCATGTAATCTGACACCTTATAAATCGGTTTGCTACGTTTGCCCTCTTTTTAAAAAACATTCAACACATTTCTAATTAAACGTTTAGCATCATCTGAATAAGCTTTCATGATGACAGCTAGAAGTAGTCAATGTGAATGATCCAAACGGTCTATCACTGTGCAGTGCGTAGGTAACTATCATGAACTGCACGTGCATTTGCCTTTATGACCCAACACTGCCGCTGTTACAGGTCATTGGCTCCCTCCCTCTGCAAGCCGTCTGCGTTCTGCTGTTTATTTTGTTGACAGTTACATAGACAGATTCTTTAATACAAATGCATAAAATCGGTGATTTACAATGTGATTAGGTTGTCTGATAAAACATCCACTTGCACAGTTTGAGATCGATTGGGTCATTGGATGAAGAGATACATGTATTTACAAAAGAACAGGTCCACATGCATTTCATGCCAAACTATAGTAAGGGTGTAGTAAATCAAATATTAAGTAGTTACAGAATGAATGTGTGTATTTCACTATTTGTCAGTGTTACAATGTCTTTATCTCACTGTATGTGTAACTATGTTGAAGTTCAGTATTGTGTTACGACCTGTTTCCATCACCTTCCACTTTAATCAGAGATCATTAACTACATGCGCTTTATGGACATTGACATGTGACTTTCATTTGCACGTTGGTTGCACATTGAACACATCAGAATGATTGTGTCTGTTGTTAGCGACATCAGTCATCAGTAATGCATGTTTACCTTTGATCTGGGGTATTGATTTATTTGGTCATTGTGTTTGCTCAATGAAAGACTTAGAGTACAGATGACATGTAGAGTGCTGTTTGAACAGCTTCACCTGTCTCTATTCTTGTCATATACTGATGTAGGTGTGTGCTGGATATATTGGAGAATCTATATCTAAATATACATTGTATTGCTACATTGTGGCCTTTAAGGTTTAATGATTGTGAAATAACTAAAGTACTGTCAGAAATGCTAGAAAAATGCTTTTTGACTTATATTTAAAATTCAGAGGTATTACAGTTACTTAAATAACAAATATCACTTTAAGAGACATCTTCCTAATGTAGACCGAGGAAATAAATTTTGAGACATGCCCTAAAATGTGTTTTTACAGATGAAAATACCAAACACTTAGAAAAATAAGGGGTAGTGGGACGTTATTAGATACAAACATTAACTGCCTGTGTTACGTCATCAGCATGTACGGTATTGACAGGTGAAATTGACACCTGAGCGCACGCTCAGGAGAAGGGTCATCTCAGTAGATGTTTTCTTCAAAATGTTGAATATGTGTACGTATAGTATACGTATTGGTTATGTAAGGGATCATGTGATATCCACATCCTAAATATATATATATATACATATATATGTGTGTGTGTGTGTGTGTGTGTGTGTGCGTGCGTGTGTGTTTGTTTTGAAATAAACATACGAATTACTGTACATTGGAAAGAATCCTATCACTTGTGTTATCTTATCGATTGATTGTAGAAATGTGAAACGTTATAATAAATGTTTTGCATGTCAACAGTATATTTCATTGCAAAAATATGGATGTAATTCGGTCAGTTTAATCTTGTTGTGAACATTGGCCAAAGATTTAACGAAGTCACTGGTGTAGCTTCTTTAGAATATATATATTCTTCTTCTCATAAAGTTTGTAGACCGCCCGTCTAAGTACTCCCTTGTCAAAGTTGTCAAGGATGGTTTACATCCCGGTTTTGCTTTTGAGACGGTCCCTGTCTTGTCTGATTTGTTTACAATATTGTAAACTTGTTGGTAAGACATACCAACAGCTCTGTAATAAACCCTTTCTAAACTAATGAAAGGTTTACCTCTGTCTTTTTCAAGCACAAAAAACTTATAAACCTTTGTAACAATCGACTGCAAATAGTTGGCCATAGTGGACGCTGTGATAAAGATGTGCATGCATGACTGGAAACTTATTTATCAAAGAAAGTTAATTAAAGATCGAAATGAGTAGTTTTAATGATGGGGTTTCATTTATAACAATGCCAATTAGTGATTTATGTATTTGTACCCCCCTAGATTTATATTAATATTTCTTCAATAAAGAAACGATAATTAAGTAAAGTAACACAAACATTCAACATTTATTTGTTTAAGAAAAATGTTAATTCATATTTTTACACCACCTGTATTATTTAGCATAAATGTAAAGACCATTTCAGATTTCTGTTGTTGAACTCTGAAAAAATCTTGAGTTGTTGTTTTGGTACCAAATTCTCTCCTGTAAACTGCCCTTTAAATGCATGGGAATGTTAAATCGATTGAAATAAAAATTAGGTACACTATAGGCGAGTTGATATATTGACAACATAGTACATTTATCACTTTTATAAAGATATTAAGGCTAAAAAGCATTTTCTAGCATTTCAGACAGTACTTTAGATTCTAGTTATACCAGGCCACTACACTGGATATGCTTGTATTATTTATACATCAGTGTAATCACCCAGAACACTGAGATAACAGACTGTGTTTGTGGTACTGTTATGATGGTGGCACATTGATTACTTCTGATGGTTGCCCTTACAATGACTGAGATAGTGATACAGAACACTGAGTGAGCAGCTAAGCGTTTAGGAAGCAGAGGAGAAATGCATAGAAAAATCTTTTTACTATTTCCAGGTGATATTACAAGAGAGTTGTACATAGTGTTGTTGATTATGGTGTGTATTATAGCATGAAATGATATTTGTGAATAACCTGTCAAGTGACCTTTTATCCCTTGTATTTTAGTTACTTTGACAATGAACCAAATTCATTATCTTCCTGTTGGTCTCTGACAAGTTAAACTTGAAGTATAATGTGTATGATTTAAAGGTAGACGAGGGGCCATAATTAGTGTCTATCTTGCTTTTAGAAAAAGAAATTATCATTTAGGAGATAAACATCATGTGTTGGTGAATTTCCCGGGTGTTATTGAGTATTTGAAGCACGGGAATTCATTTGGAACCGATGGCGTCAGCCGGAGGTTTCAAATGAAATATTCCCTTGCTTCAAATACTCAATAACACCCGGAAATTCGCCAACACATGATGTTTATCGAGATTGTAAACACAAAAGTAAACCGAAAGGTCCACACACGTTTTTTGTGTCTGCTCTCATTGACATCGAGTACGGGTACAGCAGTGAAATGTCATCAGCCGGCCGTTTCGGCCGTCTCCCATGGTAGCATCTGGACTTTACGTCACAATATGATTTTAATGACGTCATCACAGCTGACGACGTAACAATACAATGGTGTGAGCGATGTTTGTAGGTATTAATATGCAGAGAATTTCTGGGAATCTAATACCATTTGATCACGTTTTTCAACCAATCAGATTAAAGAACACAGTGACTTTTGTTTTACAATAGTATTTGACATGTGTTTTCTTTGTTTGGGTTTTAGTTGTTCTTTAGATCTGTAGGTTGCTTGTGTGTAAGCAAGGACTGAAACCTGTGATCTAGTGGTAGGTGACTAACTCAGTCCAAACACCATGGAATCTAAAATAGCTTAATCTGTTGATAGCTACCTGGAAATATACCAGCATTACACTGCTGTAGGTGATTTTTACACACCCAAGGAAATGATGACTAGCAGGTCAATTTTAACAGGGTATTCAATATGATAAAATATCTTACGTATAATATAAGTTGTTCACTGGTCACGAGGGAGATATGGGTAGATGTACCCTCTATGTTTGTTTATGTTCCCTGAGCCCGAAAATAAAACAAATGTTAAAGAAATAGGAATTTTATTGATCTTGTAATTAGGAGATAATAGAATGAAAATAATATGCAGCTGTGAATTAATCATCTAGCTCGGATTCTAGTTCACTTCAAAGAATTATGAGTAATACTCATTGTTTCAAAACAATAGGGTGCTTTAAAACAATTTATTTTTGGTAACTTTGGCAGTAATAAATGTCTAAAATATAATGGGTGAAATATTGCCCTCATGCTTTGCAGTCATGGTATGTGCAGGTATTGTTACATAGTGTATGTGTACCCTCATCCCTCCTGCTCTCAGCTGGTGCCATGATGTACCTGTGGAGCAAGAATGTGGCCCACATGGATCTGAAACCCCAGAACATCCTCCTCACATCGGTCACACACCCCACCATCAAGATAGCAGGTATGTGTGCTGTCACAAGCTTCTACAATCAAGATAGCAGGTATGTGTGCTGTCACAAGCTTCTACCATCAAGATAGCAGGTATATGTGCTGTCACACACCCCACCATCAAGATAGCAGGTGTGTGTGCTGTCACACACCCCACCATCAAGATAGCAGGTATGTGTGCTGTCACAAGCTTCTACAATCAAGATAGCAGGTATGTGTGCTGTCACAAGCTTCTACCATCAAGATAGCAGGTATGTGTGCTGTCACACACCCCACCATCAAGATAGCAGGTATGTGTGCTGTCACAAGCTTCTACCATCAAGATAGCAGGTATGTGTGCTGTCACAAGCTTCTACCATCAAGATAGCAGGTATGTGTGCTGTCACACACCCCACCATCAAGATAGCAGGTATGTGTGCTGTCACACACCCCACCATCAAGATAGCAGGTATGTGTGCTGTCACACACCCCACCATCAAGATAGCAGGTATGTGTGCTGTCACAAGCTTCTACCATCAAGATAGCAGGTATGTGTGCTGTCACAAGCTTCTACCATCAAGATAGCAGGTATGTGTGCTGTCACACTACCCACCATCAAGATAGCAGGTATGTGTGCTGTCACAAGCTTCTACCATCTAGATAGCAGGTATGTGTGCTGTCACAAGCTTCTACCATCAAGATAGCAGGTATGTGTGCTGTCACAAGCTTCTACCATCAAGATGAATACTTTCTGGGGAGTTACCTGAATACTGATACATCGAGATTCATGAACCTTGCTCAAGGATTGGGATGGAGAACTTTGACAACGGCCCATTTTCAGGATTACTAGCCATTTTCTGGGCCACTGCCCTTGTATCAATAGTAAACTTCAAAATTTTAAAGGGCCATTTTTTATTCTAATGTGCAAAATGGCCCATGGCCCCTGCCTTTCCCAATCCCTGCTTGCTAACAGATACAACTCATGTTGTATTCAAACAAACTGCTGGTCAAATTTCACCGAGAATATATACACCTGGAACTTAATTAAGCACCCCCCCTATATTCTGGATGATGAGAAACAAAACTTGCTGTAACTCTTTCACTATTCCAAAGATAGTGGAACCTTAGCTATTATGAAACATACGATCTATTGGCAAATGAACATCAAGACAATGATTCCAATTCGTGTTGTTTTAATACTGTAATCAATGTGATTTGGTCACTATTGATTTTTGATGAAAATAGTCACTGAACAAGTATGGTCGTAGCATTGTCAATGGCTGACTATTACAAGAAATGATGCACAAGGAATGTCACATGTTAACATCTGATGGGTCTGGCATCAGTATCGGGTGTATCCCCCACGTTTGGATGACAGCTTGAATCCTCCTCCTCATGCTACTGGTAAACCTTCTGATACGATCAAGGGCAATTGCCGCCATTCTTCATGCAAAGCAGCTTCCAGCTGTGCAAGCTTCTGGAGAGGGGGTTCTCTCAACCTCACACGGGCGCCCAAGAAAGTCCCAGATGTGCTCCAAAGGATTCAAATCGGGCTCATTGCTGGCCAAGGTAATGTCATGATAGCCTCATTCTGGAGATGTGCGGTCACAGCATGAGCGAACGATGCGCCTGGCGCTGTCGCCCATGAATATCGGGCGAAGTAGCCAACGGGTGGTTGTCAAAGTGAGGCACGCGACAACTGGATGGAGAATATCCCGGATGTACTGCTGACCATTAAGATTTCCTCGGACAGTCACCATTTGAAGTTTACAGTCATGTGAAAGACAACCCCAGATCATAACCGATCCTCCACCATAAGGAACAGTAGGGTGGATATTCCAGGGCACATAAGCAGTGTTTTTATGTTTTTATGCCTCCACACTCTCATTCGACCGTCTGTAACGTGGAGGAGGAACCTGCTCTCATCTGACCAGTGGACCCTCCTCCATGTCCTCAGGTTCCACTGCCGACGGGCCATACACCACTCCAGACGTTGTCTCTTATGGAGATCAGACAGAGCAGGACGTTTGATGACTCTTCTGGACCTCATACCAAGTGCCCTAAGGCGGTTTCTGACGGTTCCGGTGGATAATTGTCTGTAGGGTAACCACAGCTTCAAAACCCAACTTGTGGCAAAGGGTTCTCGCTTACCAGACGCGCCAGGCTGGCGATCATCACGGGTCCGTTGTCTTCCTGGGTTGTCCAGGCCTTGGACGATCTCTCACATCTCCAGGCATCTGATGTTTTCGACAAGTCGGCTGATGACCGAAAGTAACTGTAGCCCAGTTGTCGTCCAATAGCTTTTTCCAGGTGTATATATACTAGTATGTTGTTTACTCTTGAACATTGGCAGATAAGGACAAGTTGGATAGTATATGTCTTTACAAGCATAAAAGTGGTTCCAAATAGTTCATTGATAAACTTTTCACAAAACTAGACAGATGGACTGAAAGCTGAAGTACAGGAGTAGCAGGCCTGTATAATGTGTTCTCACTACAAACCTTCTTCTTTCAGACTTTGGATTTGCAAAGCACTTGTTTGAGGGTGATGCTTTAAATGTGATGAGAGGGTCCCCTCTGTACATGGCGCCAGAGATCATCTGTAAAGGAGAATATGATGCCAGGGTGGATCTGTGGTCTATAGGTGTTATACTGTATGGTAGGTGGATCTGTGGTCTATAGGTGTTATACTGTATGGTAGGTGGATCTGTGGTCTATAGGTGTTATACTGTATGGTAGGTGGATCTGTGGTCTATAGGTGTAATACTGTATGATAGGTGATCTGTGGTCTATAGGTGTTATACTGTATGGTAGGTGGATCTGTGGTCTATAGATGTTATACTGTATGGTAGGTGGATCTGTGGTCTATATGTGTTATACTGTATGGTAGGTGGATCTGTGGTCTATAGGTGTTATACTGTATGGTAGGTGGATCTGTGGTCTATAGGTGTTATACTGTATTGTAGGTGGATCTGTGTGGTCTATAGGTGTTGTGGTACTGCATGGTAGGTGGATCTGTGGTCTATAGGTGTTATACTGTATGGTAGGTGGATCTGTGGTCTATTGGTGTTATACTGTATGGTAGGTGGATCTGTGGTCTATATATGTTATACTGTATGGTAGGTGGATCTGTGGTCTATATGTGTTATACTGTATGGTAGGTGGATCTGTGGTCTATATGTGTTATACCTGTATGGTAGGTGGATCTGTGGTCTGTGGTCTGTATAGGTGGATCTGTGGTCTATATGTGTTATACTGTATGGTAGGTGGATCTGGTGGTCTATATGTGTTATACTGTATGGTAGGTGGATCTGTGGTCTATAGGTGTTATACTGTATGGTAGGTGGATCTGTGGTCTATAGGTGTTATACTGTATGGTAGGTGGATCTGTGGTCTGTAGGTGTTATACTGTATGGTAGGTGGATCTGTGGTCTATAGGTGTTATACTGTATGGTAGGTGGATCTGTTGTCTATAGGTGTTATACTGTATTGTAGGTGGATCTGTGGTCTATAGGTGTTATGCTGTATGGTAGATGGATCTGTGGTCTATAGCTGTTATACTGTATGGTAGGTGGATCTGTGGTCCACAGGTGTTATACTGTATTGTAGATGGATCTGTCGTCTATATATGTTATGCTGTTCTGTAGGTGGATCTGTGGTCTATAGCTGTTATACTGTATGGTAGGTGGATATGTGGTCTATAGGTGTTATGCTGTATAGTAGGTGGATCTGTGGTCTATAGGTGTTATACTGTATGGTAGTTAGGTGTTATACTGTATTGTAGTTGGATCTGTGGTCTATAGGTGTTATGCTGTATGGGAGTTAGGTGTTATACTGTATGGTAGGTGGATCTGTGGTCTATAGTGTTATACTGTATGGTAGGTGGATCTGTGGTCTATAGGTGTTATGCTGTACGGTAGGTGGATCTGTGATCTATAGCTGTTATACTGTATGGTAGGTGGATCTGTGGTCTATATGTGTTATATTGTATGATAGGTGGATGTGTGGTCTATATGTGTTATACTGTATGGTAGATGGATCTGTGGTCTATATATGTTATACTGTATGGTAGGTGGATCTGTGGTCTATAGCTGTTATACTTTATTGTAGATTGATCTGTGGTCGATATGTGTTATGCTGTAGGGTAGATGGATCTGTGGTCTATAGGTGTTATACTGTATGGTAGTTAGGTGTTATACTGTATGATAGGTGATCTGTGGTCTATAGGTGTTATACTGTATTGTAGGTGGATCTGTGGTCTATAGGTGTTATACTGTATGGTAGTTAGGTGTTATACTGTATGGTAGGTGGATCTGTGGTCTATAGGTGTTATACTGTATGGTAGGTGGATCTGTGGTCTATATGTGTTATACTGTATGGTAGGTGGATCTGTGGTCTATATGTGTTATACTGTATGGTAGGTGGATCTGTGGTCTATATGTGTTATACTGTATGGTAGGTGGATCTGTGGTCTATAGGTGTTATACTGTATGGTAGGTGGATCTGTGGTCTATAGGTGTTATATTGTATGGTAGGTGGATCTGTGGTCTATATATGTGTTATACTGTATGGTAGGTGGATCTGTGGTCTATATGTGTTATACTGTATGGTAGGTGGATCTGTGGTCTATATGTGTTATACTGTATGGTAGGTGGATCTGTGGTCTATATGTGTTATACTGTATGGTAGGTGGATCTGTGGTCTATAGGTGTTATACCGTATGGTAGGTGGAAGCATAATCCAAGAATTGTACTGTGGGTTATGTCAGTCTGCTGTCTACAGGTTATGGCATCAGCAACCATTTTCAGGAGAATAACTTGAGTTCTTCAGAAGTGATGAACATGAGTGATATGTATGTCCATATCCACTATATATCATTCACCTGAAGAAATGGTAAGAATTTACCCAGAAACATTTTGTTTAACAAATATAGAAGTTGATATCCAAAATAATCTTTCAGAATTACTTGAGAAAATCCTCCCTCTGGTCCAAGCTGGATTTCAGCTTACACTTCTACAACTACTGCAACTATGAGTATGCTATTCAACATACAACTACTGATGTTTTATTAGACAGCATTTGTTTTTTACATGTAGATTAGCGCTGTCATCAATCTCTCACAGGCAGAATGTATATCTACTTTATTTTGTTGATTATTCTACTTGTATCAGCTAACTGTTATTTGATGTTTCTTTGCCCTCATGTACCTCCTATGCTTTGTTTCAGAATGTCTGTTTGGGAGAGCCCCCTTTGCCTCACAGAGCTTCAAGGAGTTGGGGAGTAAGATATGGGATGCCAAACCAGTAGAGGTGGGTCAGAGCTTAAGTAAGCACAGAATGGCTGTCTGATTGTAAACAGGTAGGGTCTATGGTATGGGTTGTAATAAACGAACAGAGGTTTTGTCAAACCAAATGTAACTACAAAAAGAACCTTTCTTCTGAAGCAAGATATACGTTTAAAACAACCCATCTACATCCAAAGTTTAGTGTCTCTGATATATGAGTTCGACACATCCTATCAGATGATAGTTATGTGCTGGAGACATGGTATGGAAAGGTACTGGTACCGACAAGCAACATGGAAGCTGTGCTAGAAATGTGGTTGGGGTAATGAAGCATATATGACATTTTAGATAACAGTTTCTTGTGTGTTGCATAGAGTGACATTTTGATGTAGATTCGTACACCATTATCAAGCTTACAGTGAGTAGAATCAGTTAGGAGAAGTGTGATAGCGGCAAACAGCAGAGTAACAATAACAGCAGGTACTTGATAACGAGGAGCACATAATTGAATGAGGCCAGGTGAAGAGTAAGAACAACGAATGACACAAGTCATGCAGCCATTAAAAAGGAAAGATTAAATTGTACAAGCTGATTGGATGCTAACTTAACAGTTGATTGATAGAGTCAGTTGCTTGATTAATTCCTATTAGTAAATTTGATCTCTGTAGCTCAAGGGTGTGTGGTGGGTGATCTCCATCAAACAATAGAGAAGTTGTTATCCATAAAGTCATAAGCTTCGTTGTTTACCCACCAACTTCCAGAATGCTGATCAAACTTGTGATCAAGGGTATTTTTCTGATCATGGTGGATGACCAGTCTTTGAGATGTAATATTGTCAGTTTTGTACCAGCTGTGACATACGACTGCACTCACACACATACATTGGCTAGAATGGGTCACCAGAAAACTTTGCTATGAGGCGACTTATGGTTAAAGCGTTGGCTCGTCTGCGTGACCCAGGTTCGATTAGGTGGTTAAGCTTTCTGGTGACTTGGCTTGATGTCTGGAATATTGCTAATGCGGTGTAAAACCCTCATTCAGTCAGTGGATTAGGTGGTTAGGCTTGTTGACTTGGCTGGTAACAGTGAATCCCTATTGCATTGTTGTGAATTGCCCAGATTGTTTACATGTCATGAAGATCAAACAGTCCTGAGTACAGCATTAAACATGAAAGCAATCACGGTGAAGACTGACTGAGTCCCTGTTTCAGCTGCCCTATGGAGTGGACATCACAGAGGAGGCCAGGGACCTTCTAATTCAACTGTTGAAAAGGAGCCCTGAAGAGAGAATTACATTTGAAAAATTCTTTGCTCATCCATTTGTGGATATGACCCATATGCCATCAGATGATAGCATGAATCAAGGCGGTGAGTGTTATACTCAAATTGTACAACAGAGTGAGTTTTTATACACAGGTTGTACTGTGTGGTGAGTCTTATACAGAAGTTGTACTTCAGTGTGAGATTTATACACAAGTCATGCCATGGATGGAGTGTTATAGAAATATATCCTAGCACTGTGTCATTTTAATTACAGGTTTTGCTCTATAAATGTAAAATATATAATCAACACTAAGGTTATACGGACCCTCATGAACATGGTAAGCAGAAGTTGTACTTGCATGGAATGAGGTGAAATAAGCATGCCATTTAAATTCACACATTTTTACCGATGTTACTGTAAACTAGCAGTCCATGGAAAACGAGGCAGTAATCAGTTCGTGATTGTTGATAATATGATGTGAAATTGGCTATCGCGGTTGGAGCGAAAAACCTACCCTCACGAACGTGGTAAGCGGAAGTTGTACGCACATGGAATGGGGTAAAGGTTTGGGAGTCGGCTTATCTATGGGGTCGGCTTATCTACGGTAATATACAGTACATGGAAAGGATCCAGATACATTCTTGTTTCATTGACATCACCATTGCTGATTCAGACTTACATTATGATGGATGCTTTGTGTGTAGATTGAGCTGGTCACACAGGCTGTGAAGAAAGACAATGAACGGAACTACAAGGCTGCTATCAGGTTATACACTGAAGCTCTAGACTTCTTCGTGGCAGCTGTACATTGTGAGTAACAGTAGTACAACATCTACAGAAACTGCTTGAAAAGTAGCAACAAGTTTTACAACTGTAATATTACTCATATGGGTAGAGATTCTTAATGAATACTGTTGAAAGTATATGTACCCCAGTTTGCATGTTATGACATCATACACTGAAACTGACACCATTATGCCAGCAGGACCAACAAATGTTCTTCCTCTTTCCCAGCTGCAAGGGTCTTCACTTACAGATGGCATTCACCCGTTTCTATTTCCTTGTAGCTTTTTGAAAACGCGAGGATAAAATATATCTGGGATGCAAACTGTCATGAAAATGTTTTTGACCTGTTCCGCTGTGGTAGGTCTGATGTCTTGTTATGTTGTGGACTATTTGTATTGTTCTGATGTTGGAGATGGATCTCAGATTTCAGTTAAATAACTATACATTTAACCTGTTTACTGATTTGTGGTCATACAGTCAACTTGGAACTTAAACCGTCCTTTTATTGCTGATAATATAATTGTTGACTATGTCAGAACCAAATGTCCTTCCTGTTTGGTAATTGAAGTTAACATTGATCTGATGACAAGACAATGTATATCCAGTGCAGTAAGCATTGACAATCCGTTCATCCACGTTTGCCTATTCAGACGTGCAGATGAAGCAAGTGAGCCTAGGATGTTTGATGAACCGAATATATTGATTTTCACTATTTCAGTTTTATCAAACATGTTTCTCAGTTGTTGACCCAGTTGTACAAGGTGATGCAGAGTTGTGTCCCCTGATGTTGCCAGGAACCTAAGACTGTTGGTTTGAATCTTACTTCACCCAGTCCATGTTTCTAGGTTTGTCAGCACCTGGGTTTCACTACAGAGGTAAACTTCTCAGATGTACATCAACTTTGGCCTTTCCTCCCCAGCTGACAAGTTAAAGCTAGAAAGCTTCACATTGGCATCAAACCCCACTGACTCTCTCTCTCTGTTGTAGATGAAAGGAACCCCAACAAGAAAGAAGTCCTGAGGAAGAAGGTACATATCAGAGAAGATGCAGCAAGTCTTCACTGCATGTAGTTTACAGGGTTGTTCAGAATATGTAACTCAGATGAACCCTTCAGTTGGTGCTAATGTCAGTATGGAGCGTGGGGAAGCCCATTGGTTAAAGCATTCATTCGTCACGCCACATGGGCACATTGGGTGAAGCCCGTTTCTGGTGTCCCCAGCCGTGATGTTGCTGCAATGTTGCCAAAAGAGGCATAAAACCCAACTCACTCACTCACTAATGTCAGTACTGTCAAGACACTTTGACACTCTGTACATTCACGAGTCTATGTAGACCCACAAAGTATACCCAATTGTGATTTTACTACACTAGCTGTCAGTTTCTGAAAAATGTCCCCCCATTGAAAAGACACTCTGTAACAACTGTGCAGGAGATTGTATTTTAAAACTTGTGTTAAAGGAAATATTGAAACTTTAAAAAACCTTCACCTTATATTTGTCACATTTTTTAAAAGCAAGCAGTGCCTCATGTCTACAGTCCATTACTCTCTGTACCTACTTGAACACTGTTTAGTGACTATCTGCGGTATACCAAACATACTGGAACAGACTCAGACAGTGTATTACCTCAGACTAGGCTCTGTCCAAGGGTCAGTCCTCACATACTGTATTCAGGTCATTCAGGCATGAGAACCACTCTGTTTATCTACCAAGTGTTTTCCATACAAATCTAGCAGTTGCCTATTCCACTAATTGCATATAACAATGTCTCAATTGTACATGAGACCTCGCCTTGATATGGGCACTCAACTGTGAAGCACCCTTTAATGTATTGATCTATCCCAATTTCATAAAACGATGCTCTTGTCACTGGCCCAGACTCGATTACAGTGAAACCTGTCTAAACCGGCACCCCATGGGAACCGAAATAAAATGCCGGTTTAGGCAGGGTGCTGGATTAGACAGTGATGATCATTTTCCAACATGGCTGCCATTTACACTCGTCAATCTCTTTATCTCTATAATGCCTTTGACCTTTTGTAAGTGTGGAACAAATTAAAACAATGTTGATAACAGATAATTATTCTTTCTTCAGCACTAAACATTGTTCAAAACATCACACTTTTTCAAAATGTCCGAAACCCATCATGGCACATAAGTGACTGACGAGTCAATAAAACCAATGCCTATTTATTTACTCTCTGACACATGTCACTCACATGAAAACAGTTACTACTGCAATCCCCCAGTGTTTATAAAGCAAAACCACGATAATCCTACTAGGGCTGGGACGGGTCCAAATTTCCTACCCGGGTACCTGTCCCCCTATTACCCGACCCGACCTGACCCGGGTACTCGTTGCGAGTTATTCCCCTTCAATAAAATGAGTTATGGATGGGATTAGGAGTGGTGTCTAGAAATATTTTGAATACTCGCATCAGGCACAAAGACAAAATGCACTTTGTGCACAGTGCAGCTAAGTCAGAAAGGAGGGAGTAGGTAATCCATGTGGCAACATCTGAACAACAAACATCCCTCCGTAACAAACCAGGAGCTACAAACAAATGCCGTTCCAATCTATCTATAGGCAAAATATAATTGAAGGTCTAAATAAAAAGTGTATACCATTAAACTAACAAGTAAACAATGTAATGTAAACATAAAGTTTTCAAAGTAAATACCTCTCTCCCTCTCCCGTGGACTTAAAATCCAATCACAGTAATCAGACAGACAGACAGATTGCTTATTTACGCCTCACCATATGTACATTAAAATAAATAATAATACATATAAAAATCTACAGTAAATATTATAAATGGAGTTATGAGAAACGGTTGATAATTAAATATCACAGAGCAATATATTGGAAGCATATGAGTAGATAAAATGACAACTGAACTTAAAAAAATATATACAAAAATATTAACATGAAATGTTAAACTTTTTTCTATAAAATTTGGCGGCGTCTTAAAAAAGTCTTAAAGCAGTTTTTGGCTCATACGTTTATAAGATCTTGAGAGCTTAAAAGGAGTTGTCACTTCTCAGGTTCGGATAAGAGGGTAAAACGTGGCATGAAAAACTTTGCTGATGTTAACAGGTCTTCTCTTAAATCGTTGTAAAGTGGACATTTCAATAAAATGCTGTTCAGATTCAACTCGATTTGGGCAGTGAAAACATCGTCTATCTGTAAGTTCGATTCCTTCATTACGTCCGGTTTCTATACGCGGAGGTGCTGTACCCATCCTGAACAAAGCAAGGGCATGTCTGTGACACTTTGAGGTGTTAAAACATAGGCCTCTGTTATATTGAATATTGATTTATGGATTCTGTAGCACAGGCCCTCGTGTCTATTCGAGGATTAAAGATTTTATAAATATATAAAAATCTGAGATGACCCCCGACGCGAAATGCTTCACAAATACAATACATCATGTATTGTACTGTAATGTAAAGTAATGCATCGTACAGTTTGGTAAATGTTTTGAAACCGAGTTACCTAATCAGTAACAATAGGTCTACCTTCGCGGTTTGTTGAGACTCTATTTGAGGCAGATGTCTGCGTTCTTGAGTCATTTAAATGTAAACAATTAACTACTTGGCGTACTTGCAACCTATGTTACATGTGACATGCTTGGTTGTCGACAGTTGATACCTTGTGCTAGTTTAGTCCACAATCTCAAACATAAGATAACATTGATCTCGTTGTAAATATATATAAGAAGTATTAACGCATTTAATTAAGTCTTCATTTATGAGTTACGTGATCAAAGCGGGTCCGGGTAATGTGACGGGTACCCGGGTCCAACTCATTACCCACCCGCCCCAGGTACCCGGGTTACCCGTCCCAGCCCTAAATCCTACTGATTGGACTGCTCATACCCATGCCGGCTTAGAGCATTTGATTCACCGCGCAATCACTACTTCCTGATTATCTAGTGTGCCAAGAGGATTACAGTGTAGTTAGTGTATTGGATTATGTGTCTTTTTTTTGATTGGACTGCCCATACCCATGCCGGTTTAGACAGTGTTAATTACAGTTAAAATTGCTTGTTGGGACCGGAATACGGATTAGACAATGTTTTAATGATCATAATATCGTTGTAAAATGGCAGGACCAAAATTTTATGCCGGTTTTGACAGTGTGCCGGATTAGGCAGGTGCCGGTGTTGTCAGGTTTCACTGTACTTACCAGCTGCCATCATGTAGCTGGAATATTGCTGATTGTAGTCTTAAACAACAAACAAACTTCTATTTATAACCACTGGTGTTCTTCAGGTCAAAGAGTACATGGACAGAGCTGAAGTGTTGAAGACCTTACTCAAGCCACAGAAGCCTGAAGACTCACTCAGCAGATCCCTGTCTCTCAACGAATATGAAGAACTCCGTAAGTACAATATGTCAGTGTTCGAAATACCTGCCTGCCTGACTGCCCGGGACAGATTATTTTCAACACGGACTGCCAGATTCTCAAATTCACCTGCCCGACGGTCAGGTTAAAATTTAAACATGTATATATGAAGATATTTTGTGGGCAGGTAAGTTTTGGTCAGGGATGGCAAGTTTTGCACCTAACCAGCCCTGTGGTCTAGCTGAAATGTTTGGGAGTTTCATACCTTGAATATGTACCTTCCATTATAAGGCCTTGAAATATTTTACATTCATAAGTAAATGTATTTTGTCAAGCATATATTGCACATTAAAACATCTAGGTAAGATGATTCCTGGGGCACCACGAAAACCAGCATCCATTAGAACTTCAGTAAATCTGACCACCATCACAAATTACAGAATGTATGTTATGTTTTTTCAGCTTAGAATTATTCAAAAAGTGATAAGAAAGTAGACACATTTTATGGATAACAACTCCTATTATATACTATAAGCGACATTTTCATAAATATCCTTATATTGTTGTCAAATATATATAAAGTTGTTATCCATCACTGTGTCGACTTTCTTTTGTGCCTCGTGACGTGAAGGTTGTGTGAATCTCTTTCAGATGACCTTTGTGTGGGGAAGCCGGAGTTGCAGGCCGCTCTACGACTGATCAAAGCTGCAGAATCTGAGGTAGGCTTGTGGTGGGGATGTTGACAGTAACAAATACAGGGCAGGTTCAGTGAATACCTGTATATATCCATAGTGTCATGCCATGTTTAATTTATGATTTTGAAAATATATGTATTATTGTAATTTCAGCTATTATTAAAAGATCATGCTGTTGTTGCAGGCAGTCCTGAGCCAATATTTTTGGCCATTGTGTATATGAATCTTGTGCAAGTCATTATATCATTATACAAATTATTGAGAAATTATATACCCACCATGACATGGGACAAGTCAGAGAAGTCACTCAAATTTATTGCTTCCTGCAGGGTACACTACCACACAGAGGGTACATCAGGCTGCATACCCCTCATTTTGCAGTTACAACTTCTATAGTTGTCTAGTAGACTTCATTGATATAATAAAGGATCCTGCTGTCATATAGTGTACAAATAATTCTACCTAATTTGTTTTTTATAGGTGATAATCAGTTTTTATCTTTGTTATTGATGTGTAAAGTTCACAGGTCCCTTTTGAACATATGGTAATTTTGCCCTTTCCAGATCAGTAACAAAATCACATTCTTAGTTCTGCTTGATATTTAACATGCTACAGACTGTGCCTGATTTGACCAGGTTGTGGTGTTTTGTTGTGAACAAACCTAAAGAGTTGTCTCCCTTGTCAAATATATTCGCATAGTATATTTCAGATGTATGATTGACTTGGAATATATAATTCTGTGAATGAAAGAATGTTTCTTTCATCTTTGCAGACAGACAAAGAAAAGTTTGAGCAGGCCTTACATCATTATGAGCTGGCCCTTGCACCTCTAGTCAAGTTTCTCCCTGGTACGTGCCACTGGAAACAGTAATCACTTCAACACCTGGATACATGTATGTAGTTGGTTTAACAATATTGTATTGACAAAACAGAAGAGGGTAAGACAATAGTGATCATGTATCAAGATCCTCTCCTTGTTTTATATAAAGACACTGACATCCATAACATTTAACAAACTCCAATGTTAAATGTGTGCAGCTGTGTACAATGCACAGTGCAGGTAACATTATCAATTTGTTAGCTGTAGCAGTGATAAATTACGGAAGGGCAATACCATCTTAGGGCCCACATTTTTGGTTACTTTCTTTGCAGATCACCAACTGTAAATTTGGCAAATTTGCTCTTTTTTCAACAAAGATGATAATTAGCATTTTACACCTGAAAGATATTTTATAAACCAAAACCTACTATAAATAATTCTGCATCAATGTTAAAAACACAAACATGATATATGTGCAAGGAATTAGTAAAACATGTGAGTGCTAGGTTTACATTTTTGGCCCACCTACTGGTACAAAACCATAATGCATGTTCAGAGAATGTGTGGATTTATAAATACTAACCGACTTATCAAAACATACTTGTTGTTAATGATGATAGAAACTGTACCATATGAGTTCAACTGTATAATTACAATCTCGTTATTGGATTCATTTCTTTGCAATGATTCATTATCAAACAGACTTAAAAGTTGAAATGTTGGTGTTTCAATTATCTTAAGACACAAATATACATAAAAACCCTATTAAGCTTAAACAAAAACAGCAATGAACAGCTCAGGTTGAAATGTTCACTGTGAGAGCAATTTTAGTCAATGTTTATGTGCCTATAACTGATGAAGTTACAAACATAACTACACGACCATGTGCTCTTCATGTTGTTCTCCTCCGTTGACAGAGGAACCCAAGGGAAGGAGGAAAGACTTGCTGAAAAAAGAGGTAAGTAAGTGATAATTGGAAAAAATGTATACAGCTACGGTGTCATTGGGCTTGAAGCTTTTAGTTCTTCCCTGTGTAAAAAACTCTTGATGTATTTTTGTCCACATCGCTGGTGTGTTCCAAATGCAGAAAAACCTCAAGAAACATTTTACATATAATTACCGTCAATATGGTTCAGCTTGTAGGGGCTTCATGTTTGCTTGTTTAAGTTATTGGAGTCGTGCTGTTTCATAGCATTATACTGAATGTGCCAGTGCCGTGCGTCATGTGTGCTTTTACAGAGAATCTCACCCAAGTGTCTTCTGATAACAATCAACACGAGTTGATAAAGTTACAAATATCTGAGGCTTTACTTTTATCAACGAGTGTTGATATATTTGATATCAGAAGATGCGAGGGTGAGATTCTATTTATCATCAAAAATCACTCTTCATTAGTTTTCAATGAAAAATGTCCATCTGTACGCGGTACTGCCATTAGACTTGCAGTGCAGTGATGTCATAGCATTGTGACATCAGCAAGTTCATGACATCCTAGCATTGTCAGGGCATTGTACAAAGTCTACTGTCGAAATGATTTCTCTCCTGTAGAACACAGTTTTGGATGATAAATCCACCTCTTGCTGCCGTTGTGCTTATCAGTCTTCTTGCTTTCATCAATAGTATTGTATCACCAATCAGTCAGTTTCCAAGATTTAGCTGAACCATGAAAATCCAGGTTGGACTTGGCGTTCAGCAACGTGTACTTGTCATTACAGGAGACTAGGTGGATGGGCTTGACTTGCTTGGTTGCTGGAAATCAGATCCCTATTGCATATCAATGTTCATGATGTCAATCATTGGATTGTCTGGTGCAAACTATTTACAGACTGACATCAGCAGCTGGAATAATCCTGACTTTGGCATTGAACAAACTTTGTAATAGCTTGGTTTGGGATGATAAGGCTGAGTTTAGATATTAATGCTCTGTGTCAACATACACAAGTAAGTACCATTACTGCGGGGTGATTTTACATGAGTGATAGGCAGAAAGATTGCTATTAATGGAAATTGTGTCTTTACCCTGTTATTAGTCATTGTAACTGATTGATCATGATTTGCCTTTTGTTATTTTAACCAATATCTAGCGCTGGCTGAATATTTTGCCTTGATCTCAGTTGTCATTAACTCGTTATGACATGGATGGAGCCTAGAAACACTTGGATGACATAAATATTTGTCATACCCAGGTAACTGTGACATAGCCAACATTTACTGTTGAAGTTCGTGGGGAGTCATATGTGTCTTCTGATATTAAATTCAGGTCACATTTCAGGTAAATTTACACGGCTTGCCTGAGCCGATATCTACTTTTATTGATGAGTCATTAAATTTTCATATGAAAAATGAGATTTCAACCCATTATTGTTATCAATCATTTCTTAATGAACTTAAAGCCCATGATGATATTTAGACTATCTTAGACACATCAACTCTCAAGAAAATGTCATCATCCACATTTAGCAGCTGAAACTTTTGTGGCCTAAATATTTTATGTAATGGCATGCTACAACTCATGATATGTTGACATTATCTACACCAATTCATTATTTACACCAATTCAGAATGCAAAAATAAATAAATAATGTCTTGTGCACATGGTAACTATGTTATGAGTTTATTCTGTTGAGAATGACCTCCAGCGTCATGCTCGTGGGCGTCAAAGTAAGTCTATGAAACCTGCATCGTTTCTGGCTCTGCTTCCACAATAATCTGACATGGCGTGATGTCACTGGAATACTGTCAAAAGTGGCATTAAACCCAACTCACTCACTCACTCACTCAGTCACAATAGGCATATTTCCAGAGTGGGTCTTAGTACTCAGTGGTCATATGATAGTCAGTAGCAATTGCACTGTTGTGGGTAGTAAGGTGTTGAACCGGTGTAACAGGCCAACCTTCCCCCCTGGCCAAACTTCCCTGGGGAAAGTTTGGCCTACGACAAATTTAATCCTAGGCTTAATGTTGTCCCGGGGAAAGTTTGTGTAAGGCTAAACTTTACCCACCCTTGAATCAACTTTAAAGGCTACTTGTTTCAAACCCTTGTTCTTATATCAAAAGAGGGAAATTCTGGCCAAGCTAGGCTATTTCTTCCCAAACCTTGTTTTCATGTTAATGTTCGTCTAGAAGAAGTCAGAACCAAAAACAAGACATAGCTATTCATGTGAACACATTGATAAGATATTCATGTGGATGTTAAGTTCCATGATGTTACTTACTCCAAATTGGCTTATCTCAAAATCATTACTAAATTCGAAACTTTAACTAAATAACCAGTTTTTACTTGGATGTCCAAATGTCCATATCCATTCAAAATGTTATTCCCTCACTCATGGCTTTAAACATGGCATCCACGTCGGTGACATCAACTTAACAGTTGGAAGCAGATGTAAACATCAACACAACAACCCAACACAATATCTATATCAAATGCTGTATCATCTATCATTCCACTATCATGCCTTATTCTATTCGACCCGATGAAGGTCCAAGTTAGAATACTGATCTTCAGTAACCCATGCTTGTCTCTACCCGTGAAGGTCCAGGTTAGAATACTGATCTTCAGTAACCCATGCTTGTTTCTACCCGTGAAGGTCCAGGTTAGAATACTGATCTTCAGTAACCCATGCTTGTCTCTACCCGTGAAGGTCCAGGTTAGAATACTGATCTTCAGTAACCCATGCTTGTCTCTACCCGTGAAGGTCCAGGTTAGAATACTGATCTTCAGTAACCCATGCTTGTCTCTACCCGTGAAGGTCCAGGTTAGAATACTGATCTTCAGTAACCCATGCTTGTCTCTACCCGTGAAGGTCCAGGTTAGAACATTGATCTTCAGTAACCCATGCTTGTCTCTACCCATGAAGGTCCAGGTTAGAATACTGATCTTCAGTAACCCATGCTTGTCTCTACCCGTGAAGGTCCAGGTTAGAATACTGATCTTCAGTAACCCATGCTTGTCTCTACCCGTGAAGGTCCAGGTTAGAATACTGATCTTCAGTAACCCATGCTTGTCTCTACCCGTGAAGGTCCAGGTTAGAATACTGATCTTCAGTAACCCATGCTTGTCTCTACCCGTGAAGGTCCAGGTTAGAATACTGATCTTCAGTAACCCATGCTTGTCTCTACCCGTGAAGGTCCAGGTTAGAACATTGATCTTCAGTAACCCATGCTTTTCTCTACCCGTGAAGGTCCAGGTTAGAATACTGATCTTCAGTAACCCATGCTTGTCCTTACCCGTGAAGGTCCAGGTTAGAATACTGATCTTCAGTAACCCATGCTTGTCTCTACCCGTGAAGGTCCAGGATGCTTGTCTCTACCCATGAAGGTCCAGGTTAGAATACTGATCTTCAGTAACCCATGCTTGTCTCTACCCGTGAAGGTCCAGGTTAGAACATTGATCTTCAGTAACCCATGCTTGTCTCTACCCGTGAAGGTCCAGGTTAGAATACTGATCTTCAGTAACCCATGCTTGTCTCTACCCGTGAAGGTCCAGGTTAGAAACATTGATCTTCAGCAACCCATGCTTGTCTCTACCCGTGAAGGTCCAGGTTAGAATACTGATCTTCCGTAACCCATGCTTGTCTCGACCCATGAAGGTCCAGGTTAGAATACTGATCTTCAGTAACCCATGCTTGTCTCTACCCATGAAGGTACAGGTTAGAATACTGATTTTCAGTAACCCATGCTTGTCTCTACCCATGAAGGTCCAGGTTAGAACATTGATCTTCAGTAACCCATGCTTGTCTTTACCCGTGAAGGTCCAGGTTAGAATACTGATCTTCAGTAACCCATGCTTGTCTCTACCCGTGAAGGTCCAGGTTAGAACATTGATCTTCAGTAACCCATGCTTGTCTCTACCTGTGAGGGTCCAGGTTAGAATACTGATCTTCAGTAACCCATGCTTGTCTCTACCCGTGAAGGTCCAGGTTAGAACATTGGATCTTCAGTAACCCATGCTTGTCTCTACCCGGCGAAGGTCCGGGTTAGAACATTGATCTTCAGTAACCCATGCTTGTCTCTACCCATGAAGGTCCAGGTTAGAATACTGGTCTTCAGTAACCCATGCTTGTCTCTACCCATGAAGGTCCAGGTTAGAATACTGATCTTCAGTAACCCATGCTTGTCTCTACCCATGAAGGTCCAGGTTAGAACATTGATCTTCAGTAACCCATGCTTGTCTCTACCCATGAAGGTCCAGGTTAGAATACTGATCTTCAGTAACCCATGCTTGTCTCTACCCGTGAAGGTCCAGGTTAGAACATTGATCTTCAGTAACCCATGCTTGTCTCTACCCGTGAAGGTCCAGGTTAGAATACTGATCTTCAGTAACCCATGCTTGTCTCTACCCGTGAAGGTCCAGGTTAGAACATTGATCTTCAGTAACCCATGCTTGTCTCTACCCGTGAAGGTCCAGGTTAGAACATTGATCTTCAGTAACCCATGCTTGTCCTTACCCGTGAAGGTCCAGGTTAGAATACTGATCTTCAGTAACCCATGCTTGTCATAAGAGGCGACTAACGGGATGGGGTGGTCAGGCTCGCTGACTTGGTTGACACATGTCATCGGTTCCCAATTGCGCTAGATCGATGCTCATGCTGTTCACTGGATTGTCTGGTCCAGACTCGATTATTTACAGACTGCCGCCATATAGCTGGAATATTGTTGAATGTGGTGTAAACTCAACTCACTCACTATTCTATATTCAAAAGACAAGGTTTGATAAGGAGTATACTTGGCCCATGGATATCTGAATCACATTTCATTCACCAAAAGTGATTATGGGTTAGTAAACAAGCTTATGTAAATAATGTTCTATTAGATTTACACATAAATACAACAAATATTAGATAATAAACAGCATGATAAGAGAGCAAGCAACCTGTATATATTACATCTTATTTACCCATCAAATGTGCGATTGAATGTTTACATCTTATGGTGACATGATTTGGACAGGTGAAGAACTAATGCATTGTGTCTTCATAAAAATGGTTCTTGATATAAGAGCAAGGGTGGGGAGGAAGTAGCCTAGGTAGGCCAGAACCATCCCCCTTTTGATATAAGAACAAGGGTGGGGTAGAAGTAGCCTAGGTAGTCCAGAATCTCCCCCTTTTGATATAAGAACAAGGGTGGGGAAGAAGTAGCCTAGCTAGGCCAGAACCATCCCCCTTTTGATATAAGAACAAGGGTGGGGAAGAAGTAGCCTAGGTAGGCCAGAATCATCCCCTTTTGATATAAGAACAAGGGTGGGGAAGAAGTGGCCTAGATAAGCCAGAATCTCCCCCTTTTGATATAAGAACAAGGGTGGGGAAGAAGTAGCCTAGGTAGGCCAGAATCATCCCCTTTTGATATAAGAACAAGGGTGGGGAAGAAGTGGCCTAGATAAGCCAGAATCTCCCCCTTTTGATATAAGAACAAGGGTGGGGAAGAAGTAGCCTAGATAAGCCAGAATCTCCCCCTTTTGATATAAGAACAAGGGTGGGGAAGAAGTAGCCTAGGTAGGCCAGAATCATCCCCTTTTGATATAAGAACAAGGGTGGGGAAGAAGTGTCCTAGATAAGCCAGAATCTCCCCCTTTTGATATAAGAACAAGGGTGGGGAAGAAGTGGCCTAGATAAGCCAGAATCTCCCCCTTTTGATATAAGAACAAGGGTGGGGAAGAAGTGGCCTAGATATAAGAACAAGGATGGGGAAGAAGTGGCCAGAATCTCCCCTTTTGATATAAGAACAAGGGTGGGGAAGAAGTGGCCTAGATAGGCCAGAATCTCCCCTTTTGATATAAGAACAAGGGTGGGGAAGAAGTAGCCTCAGGAACAAGGATGGGGAAGAAGTGGCCAGAATCTCCCCTTTTGATATAAGAACAAGGGTGGGGAAGAAGTAGCCTAGATAAGCCAGAATCTCCCCCTTTTGATATAAGAACAAGGGTGGGGAAGAAGTGGCCTAGATAGGCCAGAATCATCCCCTTTTGATATAAGAACAAGGGATGGGAAGAAGTAGCCTAGATAAGCCAGAATCTCCCCCTTTTGATATAAGAACAAGGGTGGGGAAGAAGTGGCCTAGATAAGCCAGAATCTCCCCCTTTTGATATAAGAACAAGGGTGGGGAAGAAGTAGCCTGGGTAGGCCAGAATCTCCCCTTTTGATATAAGAACAAGGGTGGGGAAGAAGTGGCCTAGATAAGCCAGAATCTCCCCCTTTTGATATAAGAACAAGGGTGGGGAAGAAGTGGCCCAGCTAGGCCAGAACCATCCCCCTTTTGATATAAGAACAAGGGTGGGGAAGAAGTGGCCTAGCTAGGCCAGAACCATCCCCCTTTTGATATGAAAACAAGGGTGGGGAAGAAGTGGCCTAGCTAGGCCAGAACCATCCCTTTTTGATATAAGAACAAGGGTGGGGAAAGAGCCCAGTGGCCTAAGCTAGGCCAGAATCATCCTTTTGATATAAGAACAAGGGTGGGGAAGAGGTGGCCTAGATAAGCCAGAATCTCCCCTTTTGATATAAAAACAAGGGGTGGGGAAAAGTAGCCTAGGTAGGCCAGAATCTTCCCCTTTTGATATAAGAACAAGGGTGGGAAGTGGCCACTAGAAGTGGCCTAGATAAGCCAGAATCTCCCCCATTTGATATAAGAACAAGGGTGGGGAAGAAGTAGCCTAGATAAGCCAGAATCTCCCTCTTTTGATATAAGAACAAGGGTGGGGAAGAAATGGCCTAGCTAGGCCAGAATTTTCTCCATTTGATATGAAAACAAGGGTGGGGAAGAAGAATCTCCCCACTTTTCATAGAAAACAGAACCAAATATCCTAGTTTAAAAAGGGGGGAAAGTTTGTGGGGTTTTTTTGGGGGGGGACTTTAGCCTAGCCCAAACTTTCCCCGGGGTAAGAATATCCTAGGACAAAACCTCCCCGAGGAAAGTTTAGACCGGGGACAAAATAGCCTGCTACACCGGATCTAACTATCTTTCTAGTCCAGCTAACACAAGGACTTTTTCACTGCAGCTGGAGAAGTGGATGGGCAAAGCGGAGGAGATCAAGTCATATCTGTCGGTGAAGTCCCTGTCGACGGAGCCAGTCACGAAGCAGGATGAGGAGGAGAATGATCAGTATCTAGGTATAGATGTAGGCTAGTCAATATGTCATGTCTTATCAACTTGAGGTACAATGGGGTACCCTAGTGGTTAAAACGTTCACTTGTCAAACCGAAGACCAGGGTTCGATTCCCCACATTGGTACAATGTGTGAAGCCTATTTCTGGTGTCCCCTGCCATGATATTGCTGGAATATTGCTAAAAGTGGCGTAAAACCCAACGTACTCACTCACTTGTCAACTTGTTGGAATCACCATAGAGCCTGTCAGTTGTTTTGTGTCCCAGGAACTGGGAGCTGCACCTGCTTGAGGTCTCCTGTACAGGTGACATGAGTTCACTATCTCTCCACATGTACCAGCATATGGTGAGGATGCAGGGTGTGGGGAAACTGTGTGTGGGTGTGGGGAAACTGTGTGTGGGTGGTGGGGAAACTGTGTGTGGGTGGTGGGGAGACAGTGTGTGGGTGTGGGGAAACTGTGTGTGGGGTGGGAGAGAGTGTGTGGGGTGGTGGGGAAGACTGTGTGTGGGTGGTGGGAAGGCTGTGTGGGGTAGTGGGAGGCAGTGTGTGGGTGGTGGGAGGCTGTGTGTGGGTGGTGGGAAGGCTGTGTGTGGGTGGTGGGAGGGAGGCTGTGTGTGGGTGGTGGGAAAACTGTGTGTGTGGAGTGGTGGGAAGGCTGTGTGTGGGTGGTGGGGAAGGCAGTGTGTGTGGGTGGTGGTGGGGAAGACTGTGTGTGGGTGGTGGGAAGGCTGTGTGGGTGGTGGGAAGGCTGTGGGTGGGGTGGTGGGAAGGCTGTGTGTGGGGTGGTGGAAACTGTGTGTGGTGGTGGGAAGGAAGACTGTGTGTGGTGGGGGAAAGGCTGTGTGGGCGTGGGTGGTGGGAAACTGTGTGTGGGTGGTGGGTGGGAAACTGTGGGGTGGTGGGAAGGCTGTGTGTGGGTGGTGGGAAACTGTGTGTGGAGTGGGCTGTGTGTGGGTGGTGGGGAAACTGTGGGGTGGTGAGGGTGTGTGTGGGTGGTTGTGTTTGTGGGTGGTGGGAAGGCTGTGTGTGTGCAAGGTGTGATGTGGGTGGTAGGGAGACAGTGTGTGTGTGTGGTGGTGGGAGAACTGTGGTGGGAAGGGAAGGCTGTGTGTGGGTGGTGGGAAGGCTGTGTGTGGGTGGTGGGGGAAGGCTGTGTGTGGTGTGATGGGAAGGCTGTGTGTGGGGTGAGGAAGGTGGTGTGGAGACTGTGTGGAGAGTAATAGGAAGGCTGTGTGTGGTGAGTTGGGGAGACTGTGTGGGTGGTGGAAAGGCTGTGTGTGGAGTGAGTGGGAAAGGCTGGTGTGTGGGTGGGAGATGTTTGTTGAGTTGTGGGGAGACTGTGTGGAGTAGTTAGGAGACTTTGGTGGTGTGGGAGAATACTGTGTGTGGTTGGGAGAGCTGTGTGTGGGTGGTGGGTATGTGTGGATGGGAGGCTGTTTGTGGAGTTGGGGAGACTATGTGTGATTGGGTGGTAGGGAGATAGTGTGTGGGTGGTGGGAAGACTGTGTGGTTGGGAGGCTGTTTGTGGAGTTGGGGAGACTATAGTATGTGGTGGTAGTGGGTGAGACAGTGGAAGGCTGTGGGTGGAACTATAGGAAGGAGACTGTGTGGGTGGTGGGAGACTGTTTGTGGATGGGAGGCTGTTTGTGGAGTTATGGAGATAAGACTGGGGCATGAATGCATGTTCTTTCATAAGTACATCTGAATCCATTGTTTGATAACCAAAGCTGGTTGAGGGGGAGTGTTTGTTGTTTGTTTGTTTGTTGTTGTTTGTTGTTTTTTGGGGTTTTGTTAGGTTTTTTGTTTTTCATTCCTTTTTTAATCTTTAACTTACAGTTGAAATGAAGAGTCGTCCTGTCATGTAAATGAATGTTTACTTCGTTTTCTTTGGATGCTTTTTATTGCTGTGAATCCTAGATTTGGCTTCCTTGGTTTGGGAGAACTTTACCCCTGCTTGGTGATACATTGTATCACCAGTGTGATAAATGTCAGTGAAATATGACACCCCATCTGCTGAAATGCTATGACAGAGGTGACATAACATCAACATGTCGATGTTGAAGGAGCAAGAAGCTGCCCTGAAATATGGCAATAAGAAGGGATTCAGATGTTGACATCCATGTCCAGAGAAAGTAGGCCCAGACTGACCAGACTCAATGAATTACCGGCAGCCCACATATGGCTGGAAAATTGGCGACTGTGAGTCTGTGACATAACCCAACATAAACACACACTATCAGTTTCTGATGCCTCCACTCTTGAATGTACTGTGGCACTGTGGGCAAGCTCAGATCTCCGACTTGAAGTGTACATATCATGGTATCTAAATTATTGATAGGCTCAGTACCTTTATCACAGTAGCTGGCCGTAGAGTGGAGACAAGATCTGTGACAGAGGAGGTCCCCTCTACCACTTATTTGTATGAACACACCTGTATGAGATTCCATCTCATTTAATTGGATCTTAGGCTTTTCAGCACAGCAGTTACGATGTCTACAAACTGATTGTCCCTGCCTAGCTTTAATGGACTAACATGTGAAATGGAAGAAATGCTGCATCACAGTGGTAGACAGGTGTTAGACAATCCAGAATTTTCCTACCATAGACAGGACTTTGAACTAATCTTTGAATTCACAAAAATTATGATTTATCCTCTATGCAGACTAAAACTTGTTTATTTTCCCTACAACAAATTTCAGTGTTGTTTTCTGATCAGAATATGATAAAAGTGATGCATCGGGTCTGTCATTATTGAGGGTGCAAAATCCGATTTACAAGTTGTACTCTTTTTTACTTGAATTTTATCTGTCATAACAAATCTCAAACTATGGCATTTATTACTCTGCACCCTACAGACATTCCTGCATGGAAGGAATGAGAGCACCAGTCCAAGAACGCTGTCACTTATAAATAGGTTCAGCAGCAGGGCTTGACTCGTCTGACGTCTCTCACTTCATAAACCTGACATGTTGTAAAAAGTTCATAATGCAGTCTGTGTAAAAAAAGTTACTCTGTGGCGCCATACATGTTCTTTGTGGTCTTACTAGGAAATGAGATATTTAAAAACTGTGGAGAGAATTGTACACAAACTCACTGATATCTTGATCAGGTCAATGGTGGTTGTAAAAAAATGTATTGAAAGTTTACAGCAGACAAAAATTTATGTTTGTTTAGTCTTTCCTAGAAATTGCAAAATGTAATTGATAGTAGGAAACAATGTAACCTTAACGTGTTTCCTCTTGGAGTACAATGGTTATATTGCTAGAATAGAACTGACATCTCACAAGGCCGCATGGATGTATTGATGAAGAAGTATTGTGTGCAGTGAAGAGTTATTCCCCTTGTAACAGTACACCAGGTTTTCCCATCCCGGCCCATATAATGCCTACTTAATGATGTTAACAGCTTCTGAGTAAATAAACTGACAATTTTCTGGCAGTAAATTTATAAACAATAAATATACAAAAATGCTGGCAATTTGATTGGGGAACTGAGAGAGACCACATTGCTTTTGCGTTAACAGCAGTTGCATAAACAGATCTGGTTTATAGACGCATGCCGGTATTGTGCGAGTTTGATAGTGGCAACATCATGCAAGAGGGTCTTCACAGGGGTACTCTGTCTGCCACACTTTGGCATTTGGTCAAATCAGTGCTGAATGTTTTATGTCAGATTGACACTTTTATGGTGGTCCAGGCCTCTTCATTTGACCATGTGGATATAGGATTAAATCTAGCCTCACTGTCATAACATGTACATGATACATACAGTTTATGCACAGTTAAAATCTATTCAATTTCGGTAGGAGCGTGCACATGGTGTTGTCTACTTGTTGAGAAACATATTCAACAAAATTCTGTAAGGGATATTTAGCAGACTTGGTTTCTTGTTTTTAGCAATTGCTAAAAAGAACTTAATGTTTTTCCTTTAAATGACCTTTTTTTGTATTTGTGATTTAGAAACTTGCCATTACATTTCTTTCCATTGGATAGTGAGGTGCAAAGTTATCAACAGAAATACGAGAATGGATTCAGTCCATCAATGTCCTGTCCATACACTCTCTTTCAGGGTGACACAAAAACTAGTGGAATTAGTGTTGTTATTGTATGAGTGTCATACAGTATCATTAGATAAAGAATGCACCTCAATTTTGAAATTTATGATTATTGGATCATAATTATTAACATTATGTCCCTTGGTAAGCCTTCCTTACACCTTATCCCATGAATTTAGCAGGGCAAACAACAAAACCCTGACTACATCTCTGTCAAGAAACCTTTACGGCAGTCTTAATTAATGCACTTTTTAATAAAAATTGGCATCCATCAGTGGGATGCTTGATGACCAAGTTTTCTGAGGATGCCTGATGTAATGCCATGTTCATCCTTATGATGTTGGTTAGTTTGTCATTGCCATACCGAGACTTTAATTTTTCACCAAGACAGTATATATCTAAGATGTACCTATCCTACTTATTGCACACTCCATCTACACCCTCTTATAAAGCTGTGGTTTGTACCTATCCTACTTATTGCACACTCCATCTACACCCTCTTATAAAGCTGTGGTTTGTACCTATCCTACTTGTTGCACACTCCATCTACACCCTCTTATAAAGCTGTGGTTTGTACTTGTTGCACCTATTTGTACCTATCCTACTTGTTGCACACTCCATCTACACCCTCTTATAAAGCTGTGGTTTGTACCTATCCTATCCTATCTACACCCTCTTATAAAGCTGTGGTTTGTACCTATCCTACTTTGTTGCACACTCCATCTACACCCTCTTATAAAGCTGTGGTTTGTACCTATCCTACTTATTGCACACTCCATCTACACCCTCTTATAAAGCTGTGGTTTGCCTATCCTACTCCATCTACACCCCTCTTATAAAGCTGTGGTTTGTACCTATCCTACTTATTGCACACTCCATCTAAACCCTCTTTTTAAGCAGTCCTATATGTTGCACATTCCAGTAAAACTTTCTTACAAAGCTGTAGTGTC